GTTACTACGTTTATTAAATAACTCACTTATATTTTGTCAAATTTAATTTAAAATATATATTTCATTTTTTCTTTAAAAATATGTTCTTTTAAAAAATTTTTTTAACTACGCGGAATAAACAGAACGTAAAACGCTGCAAAAACAAAACATGCGAATAACACAAATTAAGCAAAAATACACAAAAAGTATGCGAATAATACAAAGTACACAAAAATACACAAAAGCACAAAATTTAACACGAAAAGCACAGAAATTTCTCTTATCTATTTGCGATGTACCAAGGCTGGGTTATTGGAATTAACTTAGAGTTTATCAGCTTTAGAACTAATGAAATCTATTTATTCCAGTTTAATAATCAACAACGACTTTGAATGGATAATAATCAATGTATATAGGTATAATCTATGAAATTTTAAAAAAAAGTGAAATAAGAGTGATAAATAAACTTCAAGTAAACTTTATTTCATTATATAAAAATATTATTGCAACGAACCTGGACATTTGGTTGGACGCGTAGTTTCGGTTGAAATTTGACTTCCAATTAGCACTGGTCTGGGTCTAAGCACTCGTTTCTACAAGAACTTGTGTCAACTCTCACATGGTATCCCTTCATTTATATGAATAAACATTTGACCTGTTTGCAGTGAAAGTCACGTCTTTATATCGAAACCCGTGTAGAATGAATTCAAAGACAAAAAACTGCATAATAATAATCGTCAACCCTTCGAAAGTGGGTTTAAAATAGATCAAACAAATGCATACCAATAATCACCCGAAAGCCTCGATTATTTTTGACAAGAAGGGAAGTCCATCCTCATTCCAAACGGACACTAATAGGATCGCTTTGGTTCTGACCGTTGCACCTGCAAATAGCACCATATCTAAATCTTCGGGTGCACATTATTACGTTAACCCTTCAGTAAAAACGCAAAGAACGCGTGGCTCAGTTCACCGTATCCTAACTAAGCTTAACTTGTTGACCCATCGATTTTTACGAAGAGGGAAGCAGTGGCACTGAAGTCGGTCAAGCTGAACATCATCCTCCACCTTCTGTCATCCTATCAATCACCTTTGCATCTGCTAACTCAGACGGAGGTTAATTTACGAAACTACACAAACGGTCCCTTCCGAGTTTGTTTAGCATCACGAGATAGGAACTTCCAGAACCTATACCCACAAGCCTCCTAACGACGTCTTAAAGAAAGACTGATTTGGGTCATTATTGACACTAGTAACACTGATAGCACCATCTCTCTAGCTTACTGAACATGGCTGCGCCGGTTCTGTTTATATAGAGGCCATTGCAGTATATCCTGACCTCTGTAAAGCTGTTGTGATGCAGGTTAGCGTCAGGAACATTCTTGACTGTTCGTGTGTTTAACGATCTGCTGATCTTTACAAAATGGTAATCGAAAGAGTTGGGTCAGTTTGGCCTTGTGCAAAACGATTCCGCTGACAATAGCCTACAACGAACTTGCTTCAAAGTCTGGCTACCTTTGAAACTCTCCTCGCCACTTTAATATCAGTCATCCTTGAACTGAGCACCACTGACTCGCCAACTTACGACTGGAAGGTCATAAAATACAATGACCTCAAGATCAGTGTTCTTTGCTTTCATTGTTCTTAAAAAGTAATCACTCTCAACTTTTAAATCTCGCAATGGGGCGATAAACTTCGGTTTCGGGACGGCCACCTTTAGAGTATATAAAAGCGACTTTCAAGTCATGGTGATGCCACATGAACTAACTATCGACAACGAAGTTTAATTGCTAATCCCAAACACAATTCCAAAGAAGAAATGGAATACGTAATCAGCATCATTATTTTGTTTTCCGAGCTGATAGGTGGAGATAGAGAGCGTACCATTGCTGCGCACTAGGGAACTATGCAAGAAGATCAGGTCTCTCTTTTAATGAAATTTGTCGCAGTTGTGGAAAAGACGATGAGAATGCCTATCATCTATTATGTTTTTGTCCAGCACATGCACGTGGCCGACTTAATACATTATGCTTCGCTAAGGCTTCTAGCTGGTTTTAACCCCTGAGTTTTTCCTACATATACGGAAATACAATAGGTCAATAGGATTAAGTGGATCCACTAGGGATCGCCGGTATAACCTAACCAAACCTATCTAACATTTAATCTCGATTTTACTATGAACTCTTAAAGAAATAAGTACCCCAAGTCAATCAAAAAAAATTCATCGACCTGTTTATTTCGCAGTCCCCCTGTTAGATGAACTTTAACGACCCGAAGTTCCCGCAGAACTGGCGCCTGATTAGTTTACTGTCAGCTATAGGTAAGTTAGATGAAAGAGTGATCCTAAATAGACTTAAAATTTCGGAGAACTCGCTGAATATTCTCCCCGATGAGCAATTTGGTTTCAGAGAAGACCTCTCCTCAGAATTACAACTGGTGCGAACAGCTCAGATGAGACAGTCTGCCCTGAGCAGAAGAGAATCAACGGGTATGATTACTTTTGACATTGCCAAGGCATTTGCCAAGGTCTGACACGACAGCCTTATAGTTAAAATGTGTCGTTTTGGTATCCTAATCGGATTGATCAAAGTCCTTGACAGCTTCCTTCTCGAAAGGATGTTCCGTGTAAGAATCAACAGTACCACCTCATCAGTACGAAGAATAGAAGCCGGTGTTCCTCAAGGATTCCCGCTCTCCCTCTTGTTGTGCAACATGCTGCAGGAGCATATTAATGCCATCCTGGGGTTCTTTCAGAAATGGAAAATAAAAATTAACAATGACAAAACTAAAGCAACATCCACCGAGAGTAAGAGTTGGTGACATCGTGATTAATTGGGAGGATAGCATTAAATACTTAGGTATCACATTTGAAAAGCGGTTCATTTGGCAAAAGCATATACAAGTCAAAAGGAGCAGTTGCGCTAAAACTCTGCAATCCTTCAACCACTTTTCAAACACAACAACCTTAGCGCGAAAAGCAGAAAACTGATCTATAGCCAGATAATTAGACTAGCATTACTTTATGGGTGTGTCGCGTATAGCAAAGCTGCTGACTCTACTATACAAAAGCTACAAGTTGCTCAAAGTCGGGTTCTCCGAATGCTCTTTAAAGTACCATGGTACATCCGCACAAACGACATACTAAGAGACCTTAGAATAGACCCGATCAAATAATACATAAGGGACAGAGCGCTGAAGTTATATGCGAAAACTGACAGACAATCCTACTTAACACTATCTAATCTTAGAGTAATCACTCTCCGCACGGGGAGGTACGCAGATCTTAGATCAATCACTGAATAATCATGAAGCTTATAAGGAATACATAAATTAGTCAATGAGATGGGTGGGACCCTGTAGTACCCCCAGCTATCAAAGAGTAATACTGCCCAGTTGCGCTGACTCGAAAAAATGATCAACATACATACATACTACAACTACAGAAAACTGGGCCACATACAAAGAGATGAAAAGGGAGTTGAAGTATGATATAAACCTAGCAAAAAAGAGTCTTGAAGAAACTTGTTTGGTAACACAGACAGTTTTTCTAATACTAGTCAAATGCGCAACTGTTTTTTCGACTGTATTTGGCCTCTAAATGGTCACTAAACCAACTCTAGCAAGGAGACATACGAAATCGTTATAGATACAGACTTTTCAGGAGGTGAGGCGTCCTCAAATCATGTGCTTAGGAATGGCGATTAATCCGCCTTGAACTAATCCACATCTTTTTAAGTAATTTGAATGAATCAATTGACATGCATTAACTTTCAAACCATATAAATCGTCAGGTCCAGAAGGCATTATTCTCGCTAATATGCAACGGAAACATGTCATTCTTTCCTTCCAGTTGAACATTTACAATAATAGTCTCAAATTGTTGTACATCCCCAGTTATTGAGTAGCATTTATTCTTGAAATATAGATGGCAGTACACGCTAGCTAAAACTACATATCAAGATTACTATGTATATCCTTTTACATATCAAGCAAAATTGTATCCAAGGCAACAAGGCCCTCTAGTAATTATCATAATCTTATCGGACAGCAAAGTATCAAACATCAAATCTCTTGTAGGCGTAAAAGTATCATCCCTAACAATTCAAGAACGCTAAGCTTTTCTTAACGAATAGTCAACAATCACAAAAACATAAAATTTGCATACAAAATAATAAAATCTCTAGTTGCACATTCACACTCTAACTGAAGCACTTGTTTATTTATATTAATGAGTTCAGAAGCTAAACGATCACATTATGGTGATCTGATTTGTGCAGCTGATTGAGCTTTTTTATGTCAAAAAAACTATTAAAGAATTTTTATTTGTTTACAAATAAATTGTAAAAAAAGTTTAGTTATTATGTGCAATAATTCTTTATAATGAAAAATGCGAAAAACTTAAAAAATATTTTATATACTATGTCTGAAATAGTCAATAATAGGAACTATGTAGTATGTGTGATTTCATTAAATACTTTCTTTCGCAATTGGTTGTTTACAGCTTAAGTTTTGTTTGTTTACATGTTACACAAAAAAGATATGACAAATACATTAAATTTTTGGTAATTTTTCTACTAGAAAATTTATTTTTAAGGGTTGCATTGGATATTTTCCACTTATATCACTTATATGATACCTTTTAGTATGGTAAATCATCCTCATTAGTAACCCTAATGAACAGAACTGTCTTAATGATATAGAGTAAATATGCTTTAATATCCTAAACACAACACAATCGAACCCACTTTTTGCTATAACAAGCGATTTAGCAACTAACTTTCTAAATAATGCTCCTATTTTTTAGGAAAAATGGTGTGATCCACTTCTTTCTCTAAGTAAAGTTTTTCGCTTTATTTATTTCTTTTAATTATTCTTTTAATATAATTACCGCATTGATTGAGCCTTCAACATAAGGACTGATGGTCTCACGCTTGTAAGTGTAATTGGGGTATGAATACAATAGAAATAGTAGGAATTATGAATTCCAATTAACAACAATGTTATCTTCGATCAGGTGTGAAATTTATTATTAGAACTGAAATATTTGTTTAGTAGCGCAATACATGTTATGGCGGGTTATATTTTAAGGAGGTTCGGCCATAGTGTCACCAATAGTTTATTGAAAAATCACATTTTTGGAAAAGAATTTCTTAATCATGACAATAAACCTCTTGTTTTCGTCAGAAATACAAGTTTTTTTAATAAATGTATGTATTTTAAATAGTACTAATAATTTTAATAACATTAATGTATATTAAAGTGCCCGCAGAAGACTTGTGGCGTGGTGTAACATCTGTAAGTAATGCTGGCAAAAAAAGAGGCAGAGGAAAAGGAAGCGGTAAGAGGATTACAAAGAATTTAAATAGAGGCCAGTTTATAGGAATTGGCAAACAAAATATAATCTGGCCGGGTCTAAATTCTCCTGTAATGCGCGGTAAAGAATATGTTGACGTAACGAAACTGCCAGATAACACAGAGCATGAAAAAAATTTAGTTAAATTAAGAGATAGCGTAAAAGGTTATCGAATAATGAAATTAAGCCCCATAGATCGTGGATGGACAGGAACTAAAATGCCTGGTCGCAGTATTGGACCACCTGATGCTATTGGAGATGAAAGTTTTGATGGTTTTGATACTATTGTACTTGAGAATAAAATTGTTTTTATAATGAAGGGCAATATGGGACGTAAACGGCGATACTCTGTGCTAACTGTTACTGGTAATGGAAATGGTCTAGCAGGATTTGCACTTGCAAAAGCACCTGAAGTGCGTACTGCTTTAAGAAAATCGAAAAATCGTGCCGGACAAAAGTTATTAAGCGTAAAGTTAGATTCTAATAAAACAATTTTGCATGATTTTTATTGTGCATTTGGAAGTACCAAAATATTTGTAACAAAGAAACCTGAAGGTTATGGATTAGTTTGCCATCGTGCTATTCAAGCGATATGCAAAGTAATTGGTATAAAGGACTTGCATGCAAAAATAGAAGGATCGACTAATGTGCAACATATCGTAAAAGCATTTTTCATTGGATTATTACAGCAGAAATCTCATAAACAAATTGCAGAAAGTAATCAGTTACATGTTGTTAAATTTCGTGAAGAAACTGGTGGTTATCCCGAAGTTTTAGCGAGCCCTAACGATTGTAAAGCACGAAATGATAAAAGTAATGAAATATGGGACTTCAACCAGCAAACACTTGGAAATAAAGTCGTATTAAAGAAAAAAAAGAGGGTACCGTTTTATGTAAATAGTATCGGTTACAATCTCTATTTGAAAAAAAAGGAAATCTTTCGTAACCAAGATAAAGTTCGTTTGAACATGTTAATTCATGAAGGCGAACTTAGGAGCTTTTTAAGTGATAAATATCCGGAATGTCGTCCTGCACAATTCTCAAAGAATAAAGAACAAGATACCACGTAAACTACTTATAAGCTTAAAAAATGTTAAAACGTTTACGTGAAAACTATATGCTGATATGTTTCGGATTCATTACGCTATTTTATATTTATTGTAAATATTAATTGCTGAACACGTAAACTATATAAAAAGAAACAAATGATTGTGTATTATTTTATCGATTATCAAATTTGTCTTTAAAATCATACTTTTCGAATTTTATATTCTCATATTTATGATAATTATTAACTTAACAAAATTGGTTAGAGCTTAAATGCTATTTTTACATACGCAGTTAACACTTTGAATACGTATACGTTTTTGCCTTTAAAAGATATAGGTAAAATGCTTTACCATGTCAGCTAACAGCAAACTTTTCGACTGTCATTCAAATATTTAGTTTAACTATGCTGTTTTTATATGCTTCCAGAATTTAAAAAATTTCTTTCAGTTTTCGAATGCTGTTACCTACAAATCAAGTTTAGTGACTTACCAACGCGCCCTGTCAAACTTATTGTAAAGATTCTTAACTTTTTATTAATTACCATACAACTCTTGAATTCATGTAGGGGTTGAAACTCCTTGACAAGTTTGGTGCTATTTTCTGAGCAAAAGTTCTAACATAATCTGAAATTCATAAAAACTATTCTTGGGCAAGGATAACTAGCCTTTCAATACATTTTATCAACATTTGAATTCATCTGATAAGAATTGATTGCTTTTATTGTTGCCTGGATTGGCTATCAATATATGGTTCTAACATCAATCTATCACGTGAATTTTTTTTTAGAAGATATATACATTTTTTTCACATCTCTAAGTATTTTAGTGAGGGAATAGGTTTAAAATAGTAATATTATCACATAGTTGACTAATTCAATAAATTGAAAATTTGTCAGGAAATTTGACAAATGAATTGATTTCACCAAAAGCTCTTTAACAATTTGTCAGATTTCTTGTCAGGTAGTAATATCAGCGTACAATTTGAAAAAATAAATGACATACAGACTATGCGAGGTTGAAATAGACAATCAATTAATTTCCTTTGTTTAAATCTCCTGGGCTTGATGGTATTTATCCAGTTATGTTACAAAAGGCACCGAACCATGGCTAAAAAAATATATACAGAGGATGTTTGAGATTTAACAACATCCTGATCAACTGGAGAGTAACGAGAGTCTTTTTATTCCAAAAGTAAGAAAAAGCGGCCACTTCTACTCTAAAGATTATAAGCCAAGCAAAGTATTTGCAAAAATATTGGCAGTACATATAGGGTGTCAATTAGGTCCATAGTCCTGTTAAAATCACATCTAACGAATGTAACAGCAAAAATAAAGAAAGGAATCGGCTCATTTCTAAACTGAATAAGATATGGTCGTCAAATTTTTACAGTATCAATGCTTCTGTATGGATGCAAAGCGTGTTTCGTCACTGCATAAGTGCAGCAAAAATTACGCAGTCTTATTAATCGCTGTCTTCACAAAAACCTCAGAATTTTCTAGCCAAACGGCATTTTTAACGAGGAGCTAACCAAAGGGGAGGTGTGAGTAACAACGTCAGCATTCGAAGACGCAAATTTGGTTGGACATTCGTCAACCTTGCACATTACAAACGGTACCTTTAAAATATCAAACAATGTTACCTTCTATATATCTTTTTGTACATGCTGACTTTCTTCTTAATTTAACTTTCGTCACAGCAGCACGCGTGGTTTTAAGTTTCCTTTGAATAACTTGAAATTAATTAACATTAAAAATAAAAATCTAGTATCAATTGTAAAATATTCTTAATTTAAATAAACCTTTTTTTTCGCAAAACAAAATCATTTGTTTAATTACCCTGCTTACCCCTGAGGTAGAATCGCTACTATCAGAATAAAAAAAAATGAATATATATGTGTATGTTGTTTAGATTTTAAATTTAATAGTCATTATTTTATTAGAATATAGATATAGTTGTAAAGAATATAGCGATATAACTTTTATTTTAAACATTTTTATAAAATATTTTTAAATTAAATTTATGTGGCCCCAAATGATTATTACATATTTAATAAAGTTCATTAACATTAAATATAAACCTGAAATTTAACAATAATGGCAACAAATTAGAATCGAAATATAATGTTAAATATAAATTTATAAGCAATGCTAAAACTCTTAAAAAAATTATATTTACCCCAAATTTTATTTTATTAAAGCTATATTATAAACTGTAACATTTTATAGCATTTCAAATATTTAACTGGGTTTTGATAAAATAGAACTTTTAAGTGAGTCCGAGTAATCATTATTGCAATTTGAAATTTTTTCACCAAGCGAATTTTGCCTAAATAAATTAAGAAAAATATATTTTATTTTTTTGACCAAAATATATATTAAATATGAAATGTTTAGTTAAATAAAATTAAAAATTTTTATTAACATATTTATTAGTTAATTAAAAAAAATTTAATTGCTTAGAAGTATCATTCAATGTATACATACATATTTATCACTGTATTATAAGTATCAGGCGCTGATCTTGAACGTCCAGCACGAACAAATCTATCTAATCGAGTCTTTTCTTGTATCACTGTTTTTTGAGATATTTCTTTTAAGAACGGATTTCCAAAAGAGTGGTTTTTAAGCATTGTTTTTATTAGAATTAAGGTATCTAACTTAGGAATACTTCGAATAACCGAATTTAAATCCTCTTCGCTAATTTCTACCAAGCAACAGTTCTCTTCCTCAACTGGTAAAGGGTGCGAACCACCACGAACAACCCAAGAGTGATTCTAAAAAATAAATAATTGTAGATTAGTAGTTTTTATATTGGAGTAAATAAAATATTTTCACCTTTAATTCTGACATTTTTATACGCGTAGAAGGCTCCTTTAGCAACATACATTGTATACAGTCTTTCAAATCGTCACTTATTTTTGGTATGATAGGAAAAGATACCGTCTCACTCTTTATTTTTTCGTACAAAACCGGAATCGAATTCGCTAAGTATGGAACATTTCCAAATACCAATGAATAAAGAGTAATCCCTAATGACCAAATATCTGCACCTTTTCCGCAATACATATTCTGGTAAAAATACAATTAGATTGTATAAATATGTTAAAATAAAATAGGTTATAAGAGTTAATGTACCATCCACATATACAACTACTTTACAATTAAATAATTAATTATATTACAGTGGATTAACGTTAGCTTAACAGAAGTAAATATATATGTATAAGTAAGTGTAGAAGTAAAAGATTTTTAATATTAGCTCCATGAGCTACTCGTAGTAACTTTGAGTAACACTGTGTATACACAAGTGCGTTCCACCAGCAAATTTTACTTGTGTTTTACTTGAGTTTTACTACGAGTAGCTCGTGGAACAGACCCATTTTCTAATAAAAACATAAAAAAATTTTGAAATTATTTTTTCTTCCAACACATGTGTACTTTATTTCCATTACATACATTTTGAAAGAATATACTACAAAAATTCTTGTTTCATTTTTGATTTCGATTTGTAATAAATTTCTATATAAATCACAAACATTCCAGGACGGTATGATTCTTACAAGTATTTTTCCTTCATCTCACACCAAACATACACACGATATTTTAATAGAAAAGGTATGCATCAAAAAATTATTTTTTTTTTTTGATTCGGATTAACCAATAATTTCTACCTAAAAAATAAATAATTACAGTGTAGCTTTGTTTTAAAAAGTATACAAGAAAAGTTAATTTATCAGGGACCTTACACCTCACTCATGCGTACCATAACAATTTATTATTAAATTCTACATAAAAATGGAACGTTATTGTTCTCAGAAGTATTATTATTAAATAAATTAAACCAACCTAAATTGGTTCAAGTTCCAACTTGACAAATTTGAACAAAAGAAGCCAGATTAATGACCTTCAATCTCATCAATTCCTTTTTCGTTTTGTCGGTTTAAAGTCGAATTCTTCAAATTTGCAACCCATTTGCCTTAATATTTTCTTCTTTATTTTCGTTTTATCGTATATCAGAAAAATTAACACCAGGCAGATAAGACATAAATATCTTCAGATTGAATTAGCCGCATATTTTAAAGATAACTTTTTGTACAAAATACTGCGCATCGACAATCAGCTTAGCTTTACTGAAGATAGAAGTATAACAGTTAAATATGCAGTTTATACATCTTGAAGTAAGTAAAAGCAAAGTGAAGTGCGAGGAAAGAACCGGTTGCCAGCATAATTTCTGTAAATGACAAATTAACCCAAGTGTGCACAACCAAGTTCCGTCAATTTGTTCCGATTCATCCAGGATGTGTGCGGAACAAATTGGAACACAACCTCGTTTCTGTTGGTCAATTCTGGGCACTTTTCGTTGACCTTTTCTAACCAAGCGGTCGAGTGTGAGCAGTACAGGACTAAGTCAACACTTTTTCCAGACTGGAGCAGCTCGTAATAAACAATTACCTTCCCATTCTACCAAACACTCTACAAAACCTTGTTTAGTGTCAATTCAGACTTTGAAAACGTTTGTGGAGGGTCACCCGCCTTGTTTCTGATCGTTTACATTTAATATTATCCTTTTTAAGCCCCATGATTCCTTTGTTCCTTTGTTAAATTGGTGATCATGATTTCGTGTTTGCGTACTTCGGCGATATTCTCATTGCATCAAAAAAAGAAACTGAATATGGAATGCATTTGCAGATGGTTTTGGATCGACTCAGACTGGCAGTGAATTTTGCCAAATATCAGTTCAGCTGTTTCGAAATTGAGTTCCTTGGACATGTTATTAGTGTAAAGAGTTTGCGTCCTCCCAGGAGTAAAGTTTAAACTGTTCGTGTTTTTCCTCTGCCGTCGACAGCGAAACAACTTAGACAGTTTTTAGACATGATGAATTTTTATCGAACGTTTCTGCGTAACGTTGTGCAGAATCAGCAACGGTTGTTTCAACTTACTCCAGGTAATCGTAAGAGTGATAAGACAAAAATTTGTTGGTCTCCTGAAGATATAGCAGTTTTTGAAGCTCGCAATAATGATCTCGCACAAGCTACTTTGCTTGACTTCATGACCCTGGAGGCGCAATTGACACTCACGACTAATGCTTCAGACGTTGCGGCGGGTGCTGTCTATCAAGCTGTACAGTTTCAAGTACGCGTTGGAGGGGCGTGATCATCATTTTTACAGATCACAAACCATTGACATTTGCTTTCAGGCAAGTTAGTAAGAATGCATCACCTCGTCGTGCAAGACAGCTGGAGTTTATTAGTCAGTATTGCACTGATATCCATCATTTGGCTGGGGCAGATAATGCTGTGACTGACGCTTTGTTCAGTTGATCAGCTGCAACTGATCAGTTGGAGGCAAATAAGATTGAGTTTGTTGAAGGGCAGAAGACTGATGCAGAGTTGCTTGCTCAGTTGCAGAGCCAATATGGGGATGGCGTTGGGTTAAAGAAGTTGAGGCTGCTGGACTCGGGTATTGAATTGAACACTGATGTGTAAGGCAATGTGTTCGCACTTTTGTCGCCGTAAACTGTCGGCAGCTGTTTACTGTTCTTACAAAACTTCACGCTTTGGCTTATCTTGGTATTCGAGCGAATCGAAAGTTGGGGCAGGCTAGTTATGCTTGACCTGGTTTGGTTAGAGATGTGGCTGTGCTTGTGCGTAGTTGCATCGTGTGTCAGAAGTTTAAGATTCAGCGGCATACTAAAACACTGATTGGGTCTTTTATTGATTTGATGGTCGATTTCAGCCTCTTTCTGTTGACATTGTAGGCTCATTACCTTTATTCCAAGGAAAGCGTTATTGTTTGACTTGCGTCGATCATTTTTCTAGGTGGCCTGTTGCTGACCCACCAACCCACTGATTTGGGTCGGTAATTCACGTCTACTTTATTTCGGTAACTAACGAGATTGCTTAAAGTGAACCAATTCCATACCACGGCATATCACCCTTAAACAAATGACATGATGGAGCGTTTCCATAGGACATAGAAGTCGACCATACGGTGTCATTCGTCAAGCAGTTGGACGCAGTCATTTCCACTTGTGTTGTTAGGATTGTGGACAACACCGAAGCTAGACCTCAATGCTGGTCCTTCTGAGATGTCAATTGGTGATCCAGTTTGTATTCAGGGGCAGATGCTTTCGGATTGTGAACAGAAATCGTAAGAGAGTGATTTCGTTTCGTCACTGCGAAGGGCTCTGCCGAATTTAAAATCTGTTGGAGCTAGTAGACAATGTCAGCCATCTGCTTATGTTAAGCATGATGTGATGACTTATAAACAAGTGCTGCCATTTTCTGCCGCGGTAGAAATGTAATAGTTTCGAATGACAGATTGAAGGCAGCTTATTTCATGTGTGATGAAGTTGGGCAGGTCGTACCGGAAACTCGTCAGTCTACAGCGGTACCGGACGGTTATCAGCCACTGACTGCTTGTGACCGTAATTCTGGATCCCTTTCGCCATTTCGAGAGTGACGCGGTCTGGTAGATTGGTGCATTTTCCGGTAAAGTTGTCGGAATTTGAAGTATGATGATTAGCGGTATTGATTCGGATGTTGTCTCGCGATGTTGCTAGTATCCCAACGCTAGGAAGGGGTACAGTGGCGGTGCAAGAACGCGTTGAAAACTCATCGAAATTGAAGTTTCAAATTTAATTTCAGAAATGATCAGTTTTTTAATTTTTGTGAAGAAGAACGCTTCCGATTTCCATCTGAATAAATTTGAATAAAATTTGCTTTTGATCGTAGAGATTAATTTTCTTATTTGTTAAAAATGAGAGGAGTCTTTTGTTAAAATAATAAAGCATTATAAAGCGTAAATGTTATAATATTTGTAGTTGTAAGATATATAGAAACTAACATCATCTAGTGACAAAAAACAGTCAGTACTTTTTATATTGTACACTTACTAAATGCCTTTCTATCCCACACGCTAGTTATATCATTGGGCATTTTAAATTGATTTTAGCAAATAATCATTTTATTTTAAAAACTCATTGGATTTAATTATTAGTTAGGAAAGTTTTAAAACAAAAATAAGTAAAAGTAAATGCTTTCGTTATTAATATAAAAAATATAGAGGTTTTTTGAACAGTAGTGAACTACAACAATAAAAATTTATTTTTTATATTATTTTAATTAATTGAATTTTTGGCTAACCATACAGCTGTTTCTAGTATTGCCAAATACTCATCATTTCAGTGGCCTTGGAAATAATACTTGTATTCGTAAATAATTTTTTGAGAATGGAAATACCAGAAATCGAATTGTTCAATTGTTTAATGCAAATTATATTCGGCTCAAACTTAAATAAATCTTCAATTTTGTTTGTTTATATAAATAATGAACAAAAGCATATAAGCATTTAAAATAATTAAATTTATAGATAAGAACTTTTTTAAAAATTAGTGTAGGTTTATGATTAAAAGAAAAAAGACGAAATGTAAATTAAAATTTAATATTAACGTTTCGTTTTTTACACAGATAGTAGTGTTTATAATTTATGAGCATATTTACTTGATTTTAGATAATCTTGAATAGCATTAAGTGTAGACGTAAAATTTTTTTATAATTCAAATTAAATAATTAATAATAATTAATAAATGATTGTATACAAAATTAAATACGCATTTATAGTTTATAACGTAAGTCCCCTATAATTAAATTATTATTTAGTATTTATTATAATTATTAATGACGCTACTGGTATGTAATTACAATATACTGCTAGCTTTATGATGTAAGATTTTTAATTTAATTATTTGTGATAAGTATTTTAAATACCAAAAATAAGATCCCATTTCACTTTTTATACGAGAGATGGTTCGGCTTTGGCAAAGTTAAAAGTTTTTATTTTACTAATTTAGTATTATATTTCGTTTATAGGTGTAATTTATTTACCTTGCCAATGTTTAAAGTTTCTGGTGCCCGAAATGCTGGTGTTCCAGAGGAAGTACCATTACTTATATTTGCATCTTCTCCTATAAACTCATTACAAACTCCCAAATCAGCTATTTTGACACGACCACATTCAGTTTGCAACAAGTTAGCTGGTTTTAAGTCGGCATGTATAATACGTTGATAATGCACTAAAATATATAAAAGGGGCAGTTATTAAAAGTTCCATAAAGTTGTTTATGAAATTATATATCTTCAAATAAAGATAATATAAAGTATAATTGAAGATTTATGTCAGACGTAAATTATATCACAGAAACGTTCGCAAAATTCGCGACACGAAGTCACATTTGCCCCCTATTCCCCTGTGAACTTACTAACTTTAACATCTTGCTTGTTTATCAAGATTGACTATTTATCATGGTTTTGGAATTCTGTGCCATAAATAAAATCTTTTTTCTTGACAAACATATAAAACAGATGTTTTACTGTTAGTTCAAAATTAGGGAAATAAAGTCGTTACTTTATTACTATGGTCAGACGAAAATGATAAAAACAGATATTCCGCGTGTTATTAAAAAATTTGGTGAATACATGCATAAGAGTTACCTACGGCATTACACTTGCTCAATGGGTTTGTGGAAAAACACGTTTGCGACAAGAAGTTCGTATTTGTGGCCTTTATAGATATTAAAGGTGATTTTAAGAAGATAAATATAAAATAAAGAATATATATTATAAGAACGTCCATACTAACTATTGCAATGGGAACGCTTAGCATAGGTTTTTTTTCCCCTATTCTAGCCTTTGACAGTAAACTTTTTGCTGCTTGCCCTAGAGAGTAAGGGGTTGCCAATTTGAAGATTGCAGTTACAGGCAAATATCCAAGCATGCTTTTGGATATTCTAAGATAGAACATGGCCACGTTTACAAAATAAACATAAATTAAACGCTTAAAAATATACACTGAAAAAACTGTATTAATTATTTTTTCAAGAAAAGTAGACTACCCGCATTCTTTTTGCTAAAATATTACGGTGTGAAAATTCCTCTTCAAAATGGCGTGATATATCTTGCACTCATATATTACAGCAAACTGAGGACAGATTAAAGAAAACGAATGTGATGATTTGTATGTTTGCGCGGTACCAGGTGGAGATTAAGTCAATAAATTTTTTAATGGGCATATACTTCCATATTCAAATCCTTCTTGTAGTACGGTATGATAGTATTTAAATCTCGTAATTTATGATTGGAACTATATGTTTGTTTAATGTGAATTTCGGGAAACAATGCCATTCAAAGAAGTTGTAGGGCTGATAAATTGACCAGATGCAGTATAGTATTCCTTTGAACGCAGACAGAAGCGATATTAGAAAACTTATTTACAGATCGATTATTAAAACACAGCGTTACTTAAGAAATAGGTATTTACTAAATGATGGCACATGATAGCAAATAATCGAGAAACTTATTCAGCCTAATATGAAAAGACATATCTAACTTCATGTTTGATTTTGTCAATCACGGGTCAATCATACCCACTATGTTGATATTGTAGGGAGATTGTACAATCTCCAAATCAACTATATTCCCCATTGACACCGGAGTAGAAATATCGGTGTCTAAAGGTATTAAACCTGATACCGCACGAAACCAATAATATGTTAGCAGTAAATTTCTATATCGTTAAAATTTAAAAAAAAACGTGGAATTCAAAAACTCGTAACTTCAACGTAAAGAAACTTTTTGTGGCTAATTGCATATGTCTGGCACATCCGCTGCACAACACCACACCCGAACACCGATTGCATCGTTTACAGTCATTGAAATATGTTTCTAGCAAACCTAGGCAACCGTTATATCTGTTACTGTGAAAAGAACACTAAGATAATAGCGACTTTTAAAGTGGTAAATTGTGGAGTACCATTAAAGCCTTAACTAATCTTTCTCATCCTTATAACAAGACAATAAAATTAAATAGTATTACCTTTCCTGATCTCAAGTATTCTGCACAGCAATTTTGTCGTCTCTTTGTGACCAATGCTGCTGTCTTCCCTGGGAGTTCCGGAAGCTATATTCCAACGACAATAGTGCGTTGTTTCCAGGTACAATGTGTTAAGACAAGCCAAGACCTCTAAAGCTGTTGAGCCTGATGCCATCTCTATGCTCATGTTCAAGAACCTCGGATCCACTGGTCTTTCAGTTTTGACATACATTCTTAGTAACATCATCTCTAACACATAGAAGACTGGTAGAATAATACCATTGTTGAGGCCGGACCGGCAGGTGGAGGTGAATTCTACAAACCAATCTTTCTTAGGTTCAGTGGCCAAAATTCTGGATTCCTTAATCTTAAAGCCACACGTTCACCTCGCTTCCCATCAACATGAAGCATCATACCACCACTTCCGTCCATTGTGAGATCATAACCCAAATCTCTAATAGCCATAACCAAATTGGCACATGCGAACATACGGTACTAGTAGGCCTTAATATTTCAAAGATATTTGCCACAATCTCCCATAGTACTCTGTTAAGTGGCTTAACCGAAATACCTATCACTGATTAAATAAAACAATGAATCTGTAACTATCTAATAGGCAGATTATTCTTCATTGATTTTAGAGGAAAGCCAAAAACCAGTAAAATAAAATATGGTTTCCGCCGGGCAGTGTTCTTCCACCGATTCTATTTAAACTCTATATGTCTAAACTACCAAACACACAAACCCCAATCCACTCCCAGCCAGACCTTGTTGTAGGCTACAACAAAAGGCAATCCTAGAACGGCAATACGAGTCCATCATTTGCTGAGCATTGAGGCGGATATATAAATATTTGTAATAAAATTCTGCAAGCTCCGATTGAAAACTATTTGTAATTTTTAATTTAAACTTAACACGAGAGTAAAAATATATTTTTTTATTTATTCTGCAGGTGGCTTTCATGAGAATATTTACTGCCTTCTAGCAGATATTTCTATTATTTGCATAATAATTTAAACTTTATTGTTTTACTAATAAAAGTTTAAATATCTAAAATGTATGAAGCTTAATCTACAAATTTCAAATACTATTTACTTTTAAATTAGAAAATATGATTTAAAAACTATGTACTTACAATATTCCAATCCTAGTACTACATCACGGAAAACACTCCAAGTCCTGTTCTCACTTAACGGTTTATTGGTTGGTATGTTAAGAACTTCTCCGAGTTTAACTAATTCGAAAACCATGTAAAGAGAGTCCTCATTTGGATCATCTAAAACTTCGATTAATTTCACAACATTAGGGTGATCAAGTTTTTTTAGTACAGCTATTTCTCTATATACACGGTCCAAAGGAGATGTAATTTTTTTGGGACCACGCTTCATGAGACCAGCTTGCCGTAGTAGTCGTCGTTTCGATAATATTTTCATAGCATAATGGGTGGAGTCTTCTTCAGAATACGCAAGTTTAACTAATCCATAAGATCCCTAAAAACAAAAAATAAAATAAAAACAGTTACTGACACTATCGATATTTACAACACCTGTCCTATTTGATCCATTAATTTATATTGGTTTAACTGTAAAAAAGAACCGGACTTTTCAATAGAAATACGTTTAGATTCCCGAAGTTGGGGACGACGTTTATTTATAAGAGGGCTACCATATGGACTATATGAAACATTGGGATAAATAGGTCGAGATTCCAATGATTGCTGTGAAGAAGCTAGAAGAAAAAATAATAAAAAAGATGTAAATAAAACATGTTTTTTTTTTTGTTTTTATTTTGAAAAAAGCTCTATTTCAGATGCAATACTTAATATTCAAATTACAACATTTGCTTTATGCTTAATATTTTTTTTGACAATTTTGCGTTGTTGTACATGTGCCAGAAAATAAAAGCAACAACAGCATAATGAAGCATTCAACAAAATTAAAAATGTTTTAGCTTCTGATCAATATGTCACGCACTTCGATCCAACAAATAAAATAATTTTAGCTACTAATACTTCAGAATACTGCATGGGTGCAGTTCTCATCCATCAATTTAATGACGGAACTCTTCACCCAACTATGCACTATTCAACGACATTCAATGCTGCAGAGCGGAAGTATACTCAAATGCACAAAGAGGCTCGAGCTCTTGTGTTTTGATTAAAAAAATGCTACTATTACTTTTCTGTTCGTCGCTTTACCATTCATATTGATTATAAGCCACTTCATGCTATATTCAACCCGAAGAATGTCATCCCGTTGTTTATAGCGGCTCGTCTGCAACGTTATGCAACCACTATTCTGAAATACGACTCTTCTATTTAATATATCAATACTGATAGCATTGCATATGCCGATAGTATTTCTCGACTAATCGCATATCGTGTAAAACCTGATAAAGACACCGTCACCAAACTTCCAATCACTTTTACTAATATTCAGCAACTAAGGCCTGTCATACTCTCAATAAGGACACGTTCTACATCCAAAATAAAAAAAAACAAATCAAAAATAGTGAAGTAGCGGTATTTTTCCAGCATCGACATCATCTTATGATACAACAACGGATCATTTGCTACCACTGCAGCAGAAACTATTTTGAGAGATCTTTTGCGCAACACGGCCTTTGTGACACAATTGTTAGTGATAATGCTCCGCAATTCGTCTCGTAGGAATTAAAAAACTTTTGCGACTTTCAAGTAATTAATCACATAATTATAGCTTCATATAGTCCACAACTAAACGGCCAAGCAGAACGGTTTGTTGATCTTCTGAAATCAGGACTTAAAAAGGCAAATGGAAGTATTGACAGGAAGCTCAACAAGTTCCTTACTTGTTATCAATACACACCATCTTACAATCTCAGTATGAAATCAGCATCTGAGCTCCTAAATGGTAAAAAAACGAAAATTCGTTTTTACTTCGTTTTAAGTCCTGATCTTCTGAAATCAGGACTTAAAAAGGCAAATGGAAGTATTGACAGGAAGCTCAACAAGTTCCTTACTTGTTTCTATACACACCATCCTACAATCTCAGTATAAAATCAGCATCTGAGCTCCTAAATGGTAAAAAAACGAAAATTCGTTTTTACTTCGTTTTAAGTCCTGATCTTCTGAAATCAGGACTTAAAAAGGCAAATGGAAGTATTGACAGGAAGCTCAACAAGTTCCTTACTTGTTTCTATACACACCATCCTACAATCTCAGTATGAAATCAGCATCTGAGCTCCTAAATGGTAAAAAAACGAAAATTCGTTTTTACTGCACCAAACAGCAAAAATCGGAAGGCGAATTAAAAAAACAAAGTAATCACCAAGAGACAAAATGAAAACAGTTCAGCATTGGATCAGTTCAGCGTTTATTATAAACTTCATTTCACTAATTAAAAACGGACTTGGATACCTGCTGTAGTCATAAAGAAACTTGGAGTAGTGAACTATGAAGTGAAAACAGACCAGTAAATTAATGAGCGTGTTATTAAAGCACATGTAAACCAACCGAAGTATCGTTACACAAAAAATGAACTGAATGAATTGTTAGGGTTTCCGGAATACTCGCTTATGTATCGAAAGTAATTCCATCTCCTGCTATTGAGCAAAAAACTAATTCCAATGATGTTAATAGTAACCAGGAAATATCGACTATAACACATAATAAGGAGTCAACATGATCTCAAAGGGCTACAAAGGGTCATGGGCCACGTTGGTATCAAGAGTACCAACGATATTAAAAGGGAAGGACTGTAGTAAACGGATGTTGTACAATACTAAACGAGATTATAACACACAGCTCTTAGAAAGGCGTCGATACACATATTTTATATTTTTTAAACCCGCATGTATGTGTTGATATAGAAGTTACCACAGATATAACACTAAATAAGTTATACAATAAAGACAATACAAAATAATATATTTAATAATATGTATAATACCTTTGTTTCTGAATTTTGATCATTACTGCTAAGCTAAATATAATTTTGTCTTATTTTTTTATAAAGCTGTTTCTGGTCTTCTTTTTGTTAATCTTGTATGTATGTTAATATAAATATGTTTAAATGTATACATTTCATATACACATAGTAGAAAAAGTCTGTGTTCACGTATAAAATTTTTTTAAAGTTCGCATAATTTATTTAATTTTTACTAATAAATGTTTATCTTAATAAATACTATACATTAAATTTCATTGTATTGTGCACTACTTACTTTTTGGATATGAACTAGCGATATGGCAGCTATCCTCACCTATTTCTGTTCTATGATTCGAACAAAATGAATATTTAATATTTTCTTGAGTATTATTCTGAATTTTAGAAGACGGTTGTTGTGCTTCATTATGATTTGTCGATGTTTTAGGTAGTTCATTTAAAAACATTGATTCATTTTTATCATTAGTATTTAGATTTAAGTCTTCAATTTTATTTTGTAAGTCTACAAATGTATTGATTTGATTATTTTTTTTATTAACTACACTCTTCAGTTGTAATAATTTGTTGTCTTGATCATTCTTAGCAAAACCTTTACAAATATTCTCCGAATTATTGTGTTCAGATATATTTAAAAGGTCATTTTCGCCAACCGTATTTTTATTTAATATTTTACTGCATTCTTGAAACACAGTAACATCATCTGAACTCATTGCTATATTAATTAGTTTGTAGCGTGGATTTTTAACGTAATTCTGATTATAAATTTCATATAGCCATTTCTAGATTTTTATGTAACGAAGACATTAATAGAACACTTCTGAAAATAAATATACAATAAAAACTAATATTAAAAAAATTATTAATATTTTATAATATAAATATATATAATTTCTAAATACTATAAAAGTACTACTATGAGTAAGAATTAAAAGCTTTATAAATCAATCATGATGTTTAAATTACTATTTATTTTAAATAAGACTATATTTTTTAAAATTTGTTTTGTTTTTTTATACGTATTTTCGCTAATTCGCTTTTGCCTTCATCAAGAGAATTCATAATATTAAAACAACTATGCAATTTACAAAATATTTATACTTATTACAGGGTGATAGGTAAGAAATGGTGTCGGGATGGATCTAGTTTTGTTGTCCAGGCTTGATTATGCATATGTAGTTCGGTCAACTGATTGAGTTTGTTTTTTTAGAATGTATTTAAAAAAACTATGATGATACGTTACCCTTATCGTCGTTGAGTAAAGGTGTGACCTGTTATGTATTTCGATGCATTCTGCGGTTTCTAACTCTCCAGCTTTCTCTTATGTTTTAAATTATTTGGACGTTATCTCTGTCCATGTGGTGATTTTCCGTTATTATATGCCTGGTGACATTTGATTTTATGTGGGGCTTAATTTCTTTCGGTGCTTCTCTTGCTTCTTTTAAAGGTTCTTCAAGCTGATAAAGCTATTTTTGTTTGTCCGATGTATATTTTGTTGCAGCAGCCGCAGTTGATCTGGTATACTCCTCATTTTTCTAAGGGGTCAATTGGATTTTTTCTGCATGGTAATAGACTTTCGAGCTGATGTGGTCTACTGGAGTAAACTAAGTCGATACTGAATTTTTTTTAATTTGGTTTTAAGACCTTTGGAGAAACCACATACATTAAGGAAATAGCAGATATCAACGGATACTCCCAGAACACCATCAACAGAATCAGAAGAAACTCAGGCCACCAAATTCAAGAAATATCGTGAAATTAACAGCAGAAAAACCAAAACAAAAAAGGGTCGCCGTAGTGAACAACAACACCGTCTCCAAAGGTCTTAAAACCAAATTGAAAAAATTCAATATCGGCCTAGTTTACTCCAGTATATTTTTTAGTTTCTGAAATCTATACATATTTTGAGGTTGCACATTCTTGATAAACTTATGTAATTTTTGAAATATTGATATTCACAAGCTGGTGGACTATCTCCACTGGTAAAAATGAAGAGAACACTCAGACTTTACGGCGATTGCACGGTAATTAATCAAGAAAAGATACAATAACCTACGAATTCTACATATATATGCACAATATGTACAAATGGTTAAGTTTATCGATTCTTAGAAATCAAATCTATCAAATTGCTTTTAAACACTTCTAAAGTGTGCATGTCCGAATTCGCGCTTTGGTGGATCAAAGTTGTGAGTATATTATTACATTAAAATACGCAACGCAATGTCTATGGCTGGCGCGTCTTCTAAACCCCACTGAAATATATGTCTAACTTAAAATTACAAATACATAGTGAATTCCATTCTCAACTTGACGATGCAATATGTTTACAATGTAATTATAAAATAAGTTTAATACACTTAATAAATACGCTCATTACAACAATTTACTAATGATAAGAATTTAGCAGCGTTGCAGTGATCCATTACGAGCAGAATTAAATCAAGATGGATCGAATACAATTCATTACCAGTGGCTTCGCTGCAAATGCACGTTTTTGTATTATTTTAAAATGAAATTATGTGATGACAAAGCATTTACGCGTCTAGTTGTTTGCAAAACTCATAAAAATTCTGTAGTAGCAACATAGCTTACTTCCTGGATGATGAAGCATACCTCAATTGTATGCACATACCAGTGACGACTGCTCTAAGGTGCGGAGGTGTGCGGTGAACACCCTAACATAATTTGCAAAATGTCAAATAACATAGGTATAGGAATTTATTAAGTATCTTCACATCAAGAATTATTATTATTTATTACATTTCCATATATACACATTTTTAAAGTTTTAGCAAAAACAATTAAATATAATTGTCTATGAAAACTCAATCAATTTGCTTCTGTTAGCCGCTATACTTGTTAGTTGTGCTCATATATTTGCAGCTCAAATCACAGAACATTTCTATTTTATTTCGTCTCTCCCCTTTGTGTTCAAAGAAATTGGCCGCACATTTATACGTTGCATATGAACAAAATAATGTGCGTGTGCTCCCGTTCGTAATATCAGAAACACGGTTGCCATTTATGGTACTTTAGTACCAAAAGTACCACTTTTTTTCCGTTTGGTACTGTGGTACTCATGTTAAAAAAATGGTACATTTTCGGCGACCCAACTTTATTGTGGATATTTTCAATTAATTTTTTTTATAAATGTAACTTGTATTGTTTTATACTTTTTGTACATTTTATATAAATTGTATTTTCTTATAAAAAGACAATAGAAAAATTTTTGACCTTTTTTTACAGAAATGGTACCTTTTTAAACCAATTTTGGTACAGAAAAAAATTTTCAAGTGGCAACCGTGATCAGAAATAGAGATTTATATGTGGGAATTGTATGAGAGTAATTTTCTGTTCTATTCGAATATCAACTGCATGCATACGAATCCAACATGATGATTTGCCAAAGTGATTGCATGAGCGGCTGAAGTTTGCAGCTCATCTCGCCATACATTTCTATCACATTTCGTCTCTCCCCTTTTAACAGTAGCACCCACGAATTTCTGTCGCTCACTGTGCGGTGTACATGTGCGCACATTTATACGTTGCAAGTGGGTTTGATTTTGTTTGATCACTGCATAAACATGTATGGTTCTAAGTACAAACTTTTTTGTTTGAAAAAAGTTGGTTTGATGTTACGCGAATTATGTGAAAAGTTTTGTTTCTTCCATATTGATATAATATTCAACTTATATATATATAAATTATTAATTTAATTTGTTTAATATATTATTTTGTTAATAAATTGTTAGTATAATATTGCGAATATATTGTTGCCTTATATAATATAGTTATTATTAATAAAAGATCTCATATATTTTAATATAAGTGGTACATGTAAAAACAACATTATAGAAGGGCCGCACACCATTCCAGATAGGGCACGCGTCGTCACTGGCACATACCCTACTGCATACAAAGTCTCCACACTGTCTCCAAATCTTATTTGATTTTTAAATAATATTTAATGGACTTGCTTGTACACTAAAATCTATACGAAGCACCAATTCTTTACACTAACGTGTACTGAAATTCCTGCTTATTTGAAGTTGTAAATGTGTTACTCATCAAGCTTACGAGAACACCAACTGACCTTTAGTTATAATTAGATGTCACACGGAAGTCTCTTCTTGCGTTTCTTATAGTATGGAGTTGGCATTATAAGATCTGTCAAATTAATGACAGAAATTAATGTTTCCTGGAGACACTAAATAAAGAGCACAAAAGGGTTAAGTTAGGTTATATCGGCGATCCCAGGGGGATCCATTTAGGCCTATAGGTCCATTGTGAGCTTATGTATATAATATCCACTATTTTTCCGACGATTATAAACCAAATTTCAACAGCCCTAACACATCAGTCAATAAGGGTGAGTAACTAAGAAAAACAAAATTTTTCTGCAAAAATCGATTTTACTCATATAATCTGCTTCAAGGGGAATAAAGTCATTCCAACGCTTCTCTAACTTCTCGATGCCGTGCTTGTAGAAGGATTTGTCTTTTACCTCAAAATAGGCTTCAGTTGCAGCAATTGCTTCTTCATTTGAGATGAAATTCTTACCGGCGAGCATTTTTTTGAGATCAGCGAATAGCCACTAGTCGCTGGGGACCAGATCTGGACTATACGGTGGATGAGGAAGCAATTCGAGTCTAATTCGTGCAATTTTGCCATCATTTTTATTGACTTGTGACATCGTGCATTGTCTTTGTGAAACAAAATTTTCGCCATATGCGGTCGGTTTTTCACAATTTCTGCTCTCAAATGATCCAGTAATGCCGTATAGTAGTCACTATTGATGGTTTTTCCCTTTTCGAGATAGTCAATGAAGATTATACCATGTGCATCCCAAAATACTGAAGCCATAACCTTCACAGCTGACTGTTGTGCCTTTGGACGCTTCGGACGTTGCTCACCGGCTGCAGTCCACTCAGATGATGATCGTTTTGATTCCGGAGTGAAGTGATGGATCCATGTTTCATCCATTGTCACATAAAACCTAATGCTGAAATTGCACCCTCAACTAATTAGCATCAAGAGCAACACGAAAAACAGCTCAAGCTGCACGCGCTCAACCAGGTCAAACTATTTCAAATAAAACATCTCAGCAATCAAACAGCGCTAAATACCTAGGCATGCACTTAGATAGACGTCTGATAGAATGTGTGTTTTACATTTTTAAAAAAAGAAAATCCCTTGGGATTCAATACAGAAACATGTTTTGGCTACTGAATAAAAACTCTTCAGTATCTCTAAAAAATAAACTTATTTTATATACATTAAGACCGAAAAGTTTTCGGAAATTCTCATTTAAAATTCGCGCGCTGTATATTTTTCGATATTTTAAGTTTATGTAGTTTGGCAGCAATTAAGGACAATTACTATGCCAAAAATGAGCGCGATCTGTCAGACAGTTCGTTTACGGCAGCTGTTGAAACCAGTTCACCTCAGTAGTGCGTTGCGAAAAAAACAATGGAAAAAAATATTGAACAAAGAGTTTGCATCAAATTTTGTGTTTCGAACGAAATTTCGTGTGCAGAATCGTTGCGAATGCTACAAAAGGCTTATGGGGAATCAGTTTTATCGAAAACTCAAGTTTATGAGTGGTACAAAGCCTTTCAGGACGGTCGTACGACCGTCGAAGACATTTCGCAACGCACTACTGAGGTGAACTGGTTTCAACAGCTGCCGTAAACGAACTGTCTGACAGATCGCTCTCATTTTTTGCATAGTAATTAAGGACAGTGCTGCCAAACTACATAAACTTAAAATATCGAAAAATATACAGCGCGCGAATTTTAAATGAGAATTTCCGAAAACTTTTCAGTCTTAATGTAAAAGTGTGCTAAAACCAGTATGGACCTATGGCATTCAACTATGGGGAACAGCCTCAACATCCAACATAGAAATTATTCAAAGATTTCAGTCTTAAACTTTACGAGAAATGGTAAATGCTCCATGGTATGTAACTAATATTCAAATCCATCAGAACCTTAGCATAATCCCGGTAAGAGACGAAGTAAAAAAGGTAGCTAGAAAATACCATGAACGAATACAAATTCATTCCAACATCCTTGCTTCAAATTTAATATCCCCCTCAAAAATTTTTACGAGACTGAAAAGGAAAACGCCACTTCAGATATTATAATAAAAATCTTAATTTAAAAAGAAAAGAGTAGCTCTCCACAGGGAGAGAACTACCTTAATTGTAAATTATCATGACTTAAATAGTGTTTATTAAAAAATTGTAAACTGTCACCATGAGATAATACATATTGAATTTGAATTAAATAAAAAAAAAAAATTTTTACTTTTCTAATAATTATATCAGAATACTCAACAGTCAAGCTTGGCCGATATACATATAAAGCTTAAGTTATATAAAGCTAAGTATATATATATATATATATATGCAATTCTACAATAAAAATAGAATTAAAAAGCGGTATAAATCAAAAGTGTTTAGGAAAGATAGAACAGACTATCGAGTTTGTCAAAACTTAATAACCAAACTAGGGAAAGATTGTACGATTGATATACTGCAGTCTAATAACTTAACCTTAATCACAAACCCTAGGAGTTATATTATATATAACAGCTATATATAAATAAATTTTTAGTAGATGTTTTAACTGACTGTAGGATGTATAATAGGTACATACAAATTAAATTGATACTATTGAATACTTTCTGAGTCGTTATCCCATGCTACAAGAGTTCCAATCAGTTTATTATTTCTTATGAAAACACAGATAATTTGCATTTAATAAGTTCTTTTTATATACTACATATCGCATATACACAAATGCTATAAATAAAACATGTTTGTTATGTATGATGTTGATCATATAATACCAAAATACAAAATTTAATAGATTCATTCTCATAAATAAGAGGAAACATTTTTGTGTAATATTTATTTCTAATAGAATTTTTTAATTTAAAGAATTACTTACCCAGTTTTAAATATCCTTATTAATTGTAAATGTATAAATAACTGAAAAATCTCAATCAATTAAGAAATGTAAAATGTATTTGTGCAAAATATTGTTAATATTTTTTCTTTTATGGATTCCATATTCAGGAAGTGTTGGAATAAAAAGTAACCCCATAAGAACTGAATATATTTTCAAACAGTCTTATCCCCTTGAAGCAACTCAACAACGCGGATATCAGATTTCACCAAACTTCTATGCTGCAATTCAGCAATCTGAATTAGCTAAACAAAATATGCAAGAGTTATTACAAAACTTTTTGGAAAATTTACAACGTAACTTTACAAAATCTTCACCATTATTACTAAGCAATGCAGAGAACATGAATAAATATCAGCAATTGGACAAATTACATGGCTTGTCCGAATTTTTTAATTTGGCTTCTATAAGTGCAAACGATTTTTCTTTGAAATCAAAAACTTTTATTGAATTATCGAAAAATGAAAGCAATGAGTTGTTACTAAAATTACGTCGATTGCCTTCAACAGAAAAAATTTTACCGGGACATATTAAATCAAGCCTCACAAATTATTTTACTGAAATGGAGTTTTTTCATGTGATGTTTTCAGAAATAATGGATGAATGTCTAGAATATATAATAGATACCTTAAGGGTGACTCAGTTAGCTTTTATTGAATTTGCTAATATACAAAACGAATTACTACGTACTTGGCACCTTAATCCAACTGAAGGATGTTTTTTACGGTACATGGATTTTTTGCAAGAGTGGTCTGCGGAAATTTTTAAATGTGCAACGCAGGAACATAGTACAGCGTATGATATTTATGCGTTGACTATAGTAACGACTAAGTTTATTTTACAACAACTGGAACACCGCATTCAAAGACTTTTTAATTGTTTTATGTTTGGCCATTATAAAATACGATGTCGGTTTCTTTATTTTGTGGAGCAAGATTTTAAACTTTTATTACTAAAATTAAACGAACTTCAAATATACTATGACTTTAAAATCAAAACAGGTCATGGAACAACATTCCAGAACTTAAAAAGTGAAACTACAGGCGAAATACAAACAGTTCAAGAAAGATTGGATTGTATACCTTATGGATTTCCGGAATTACAGATGCAAAGTGATTTAAAAAAATGTTTTTCAATGCTCTTAACACGTAACCGTTCATGAAATAAAATTTTAATATTATTATAAACATATGTATCTACCATTTGATGGTATATTTAAAACAAAATCTAATTTCTTATATTTTTTTACTATTCTGAAAGTAAATATATAAATATGTATATTTCTAATATGTATTTGCCTTTCATTTTTGATAATTTTTTTTTTTTTTTTGCTGTTCCATTATTCAGTCCCTAATATTTTAACACTAAATATTAATTGCGCAATTATCACTAATAAATTATTTACAGTTTTATTTAGTAAAAATTTTCATTTAATTTTAAATAACGGTAAGTAAACAACCAGATTTCATATACAAGTTAGAGTTGGTAACGCAAATCCAGTCAAATGCAGATATAATTGTATCGAAATGCAAACACAACTGTGAGAAAGATAAACTGCTAACAAAATGAGATAGAACAATGAAAAAGTAACACTTGTCTTTAAAACTATATGATATTAATGAATCAACAATAACAATTAGTAATTGATTTAATTGAAGCCCTAAAAGAATGGGCTTAGCGGTGAATGAGGGTAAAACGAAATGTACGTCTGGTAGAAATGTGCGTCGCTCGGACGCCGAGCAAGTGGCTGGCGACTACATTTTCGAAATTGTCAAGGATTTTATCTACCTTAGCACCGCTGGAACAAATAACAACGATGTCAGCCTGGAGATTAGACGAAAAATTAGTATTGCTAATAGGTGCTAGTATGGTTTCAATAGGCAACTGGGACGTAGAGTTCTCTCTCGACAAACCAAACTTATGCTCTATAGGTCGGCCATCCTTCCTGTGCATCTGTATGGCGCAGAAGCATGGATGCTATCACATAATGATGAAACAGACCTGAGAGTGTTCGAGAGAAAAGGCTGTTTTCGTTTGCCTTAAGGTTTTTAATTAAAGTATGTAATGCAGACATTTATATGTTCCCGTCGATTTTGAAAAGTGTTTGATTAAGGATAATATAATAACAGATTTTAATGAAATAAGTGGAAATGCTGCATAATAATTCCACTCTCATTCCTGGGACTAAAGCAAACTTATGAATTTCTTGGTTTTTGATTTGATCGAATTATATAATTATATGCAAATTTGTTTAAAGAATAATTTATGTATATATATAAAGTATATAGTATAAATATTATTTATATAATTTTAATTTACTTCATTTTGTTATATATTTGTTCTATACAATCCAATAATATATATTAATAATATCCATATAAGATTTGCCTTGGTTGTGCAAATATAGAATTAGATAGACGTTCAAAGAAGCCCATTATAACAACAAAGGCGGAATTAAAGGTGGCACTGCTGAAGAGTGGCAAAATATTGGGCCAAAAACCACACAAAAATTGATTTCTTTGATTCCAAAACAAATAGCAGCTGTTATTAAATAGAAGAGCTTGGCCACTAAATATTAATTGTAATCGAAAATATTTTTTTTGATTTGTTTTTTAATTTTTACATTAGCTGTGGCAATAATTTTTTCAACCAAACATAGTTTTTTTGTTTTTTTAATTTTAAAAAATTAAATATAAGAGAAAATAAAATGAAATAAAATGAATTTAAAAGCAAACTACGCATTTTATATAAAAAAATTTTTTGTTGATTAAAAATCGCATCATTAACAGGATAAAAATAGTGCCAAAGTTCAATTAGTTTGCTGTGCCAATAAATATGTTCGGCACTGTATATATTTTACAGTATGACGTTACCTTTATGTCGATGCTGTACAATAATTTGAATACCATTTATTTTAAATTTAAAACATGAATTTAATATTTTATTTCCATATTTTATGGTTATTAATGGCTTATTAAAATCTGTATTATAATATTATGACATCAGCCATATTTTTACATGCCCCGACGGAAGATAAAGAAAACGATACCAACGAGACTTTCTATGAACAGCTTGAACAAGAATATGAACATTGTCCCCATTAATGATATTAAAATTGTTGCAGACGACACCACCGCATAGAAGGATAAAGAAGATAATTTTGTTCTTAGTTCAGCCGTTATACAAAAATTTCTGAGAATACAAGTCTGATTCCGTCGCGACTAGAAAATAGTAGTTAGTAGTCAGTAGTCCCAGATTTCAAAAGGCAACATGACAGTAACCTAATCACAAAAAGAGATCCCATATTTCACAACTGACAATTACCAAAAGTGATGAAAAGACATTAGAAGCATTTGAGAGAAAATTTCTTCTAAATTCTTTTGTAAACTTTTCTGAATAGAATTGTATTATATTCCCAATAATATCTTGTCCAAAATTTTTAATGAAGAAACCCGCTAACTTCATTTACTTAAGTAATTTATTCACTTGAAATGCCAGTCTATATAGAAATTGTACTACTATATTGAATTCACCAAGTAAATCCCATCACTACTTTAAAGCAATAAAGCTTGGATAAGACATAGATTTCTAAGCACACATTTTTAATTACTTTTCTCTCAAACATATAAAGCATACCAAGATAATAATTAATAGTATTTCAATAGGATATTAATAGGATTTTATTTTGAAAATCTATTGTGTAAAAAAAGTTTGCTGTGTGACTTGGAACTTTTTGATTTTCTCTGAGTTAAATAAATATAAGGGATATTTCGAAAAGTTACTAACAGCAAATAATATTTAGAAATGCTTGCTGCAATACTGCTACAATAATATCATTCCCTTCCGAAACTTTAACTGCATCCCCAAACGTGTAAAATGACATTAGCGAAAAAGAATTTTACTTATGTATTAAAAAATGACAAAGGATTTTCATCACAACGTTCAAACAACTAATTCATTTAAAGCACTTATAGTAATTTGTATCTAAATTAAACCATTACGGCAGTTAGTAAACAGTATTTGTCTTTATCGATTAATTCAAGTGGAGTTCGAAAGCGATAAAAGTATCTTAAAAAAATTTAACATAGCCTTTTCACACTTTTTATCCGTTGTAATTTTTTAAAGACTTGTAAATGATATTTCAATATTCCGCCTACTAAAATGCTTTTCCAATAAATTCATTAGATTCAATCAGTTTATATTTCAAACGAAAAATTTCACAGCTATGAAACTTTTATATCGAAAGGATAATTTTTAAGCGCCAAAGGATAATAAGCACTTTGTTGATATTGTTGTTTTGGTCTATAATTAGATTTAGAACAAAATTTATGGCAATCTTTATATGAAATACTATTGTTATAGTCGTAAAACATTTGTAGAATGAATCTTTATTTTATATATTTTGTCACTTACGCACTTATATATCACAGCAATAAAACAAAATATTAGCACAAATCTTAGAAACTAAGTTAAAGCTTAAAGATAAGTTACTATTAGCATCGTGACTAAAAGGAACAGAAAGATTGAAACGTTTTCAAAAAGTTTTAAATAATTCGATTAAATAAAGACTATGATATGTATATACAACCAAATTAGACAATTTCAGTTTAAAATTATCTAAAACGTTATTTAATAAGCGTATGGTTAGAAAAAAGAAATTTGCTTAAACGTTTGCATTAGATATATACAATCTCTCCATTTTTTATCGATTTTTTTAAATTGTATTTCTATATTTTTTAAAAATATGTATACATGATGACTTTGTATAGTGACCTGCAGTGCTATTTTGGTGATTTCGTCAATGACTTAAATGTTAACAAAAAGTCTTCAAAGCCCTAAAATTGAGCTATTTTGTTGTAATTGTATATTAAACAATATGTGCTAATATAAAAGTTGTTTTTACTTACCTTACAGTGGTGTGTTTGTTTACCATTTACAATGCGGTTACAGGAATTATAACCAAAAACATATAATCATATTATTTTGAAAAAATTTTATTGCAAAAATAAATTAGTATTACTTTCTATACATTGTACTATTATATATCGTCATTACTTTCTTATCAACCTTTTATAACCTGTTATTTTTTGTTACAATGAACACTGAAATGAATGTTTTAATAATAACTGAGGTGAAGCCATTGATTATTGCCAGGATATCACTGTAAATCATGAAATGTTGGAGGATACTTATTGAGGTTCGAATATTTCATGCTCTTTAAACGATACATCAATAATTTGATACTATTTGAGGACTCAATTTCAAATGATATCCAAACATAAAACCCATAATCAAAAAAAAACTCTGCGTAAAGAAAGTAAATTTTGTTTCTACGTATAAAAAATAAGACGAAGTTACCTAATTCCCTTAATACACGATGTAACGTCTATATTACATGCAAAAACTGTGTTCTTAAAGCTAGATCTGTAGAAGGCGTACCATCAGATTCCAGTGGCGGCCACAGACGTCTCAAATACAGCTATTACAACTCCATTTTGACTATTCGAGCTTCGATTTATGACGTTCGGGTTTCGCCCCCCAGAAAGTGAAGTGCAGGCATCACGTGAATTCCCTCCTACAACTTCCTACCTACAACAACTAAGCAGTTCTGACAATTTCTAGGGGTGATAAACTTCTACCATCCATTCTTGCGAGATATTGTGCATATTCAACGTTTGTTCTCGCTAATGTCTGAGAACCGCAAAAACAATAAAACAGCAATCGCCTGGTCGCCTGATAACGCGATAGTATTCCAATGCTGTAGAGATGAACTGGTACAGGCGACCCTTCTTAATTTTATGGCGCCAAAGGACCAACTTACTCTTATGGCAGATTCCTCAAAAGATGCAGTTGGCGCCGTTCAACTATACAGTACATGGAATGCATCAGCCATTAGCGTTCTATTTGAAAAAGTTGAGTTCAAATAAAATGACTAATGATTGAAAATTGACAGTGACTTATCACGCTGTCAAATATTTCCGGTATAAATATAATACAAATTATCCAACCGTAATAAAATATTATATGTGTGTAATTCATTTCCTAATATTAAATATGCATCAATAAATGTATACACAATATCTTTATTTAAAAACAGAAACAAAAGACATGCAATACAAATGCAAACAAAATTTTTTCTTCTTATGCAAATGAAGCAACAACAATGCACATTAGAAACGTGTCCATATCGTTTTTCCGACGTGTCCGTACCGTCGGAAAAAAATTGTAAGATAATGTAATAATAAATTCACATTTTTTTTTTATTACAGCGTCTATGAGTTTTTTCTTGCTAGTTATTTTTGGTGGCAAATTGAAAGTGAGCATATCTACATCGAGAAAACTTTTGTTTTATTTACTAGTTTCAATTTCAATAAATTTCATTTCTTTCATGCACTTAACCCAAAATAACCCACGATTACCATATGGTAATGCAAATCAAGATATTGCATAAAAATGCGTAACATATATATTATAACACCTACAGACTTGGCTAATACGTTATTTTACGCACGAAAGTTGCATCATTCCAACAAAGTTATTTTATGACAATCTGAATGGTCATGCCGTACTTATCGCAAATCAAAGTGAAGTGCAAAAGAAAAAAATTGAATAAAATTGTATTTTAGATATGACACATCGGTAAGTGTACCTATAAAATATTTGTTTTTCGGCCGGATCCAATAAAATCTATATTAGTTGATACTTATTGAAATAAACTATAGAATTTAAATCAAAATTTTTCGGCAAGAATATTTTTTTTTTCATTTGTTTACGATTTACTTCAGACGTTACCATATGGTAAGCGTGGGTCGCCTAAGGTACGTGTTTTTATGAAAAAAACTACGATTTTATTTCATTGTCTGTGTATTTTTTTCTTTTTTTAAGGCATTTTTTCTATAAATATTACATTATTCATTTAACATTTTATATATTACACCATTTTATAGTGGTCTATCTTTGCAAAAAGTACTTGATTATACTGATCAGATAACAGAAAATAAAGAAAACGAACTTATTAATCGCGCCACTACCATTCACATTAAGTTACCTATAGATGGAAATATTTCTGGTAAAAAGGATGCTAAAGAGGTATCTGTTGGCATCCCAGACAATGTTTGCCCAACTCAACTAAAATCTATATGTGAAATTGTATTGGCTAACGGTCGACAATGCAAAATTTCGATGGAGAAGGAGATGAAGATCCCAAATCAATGGTGCACGGTTATTCGAAACAGCACAGAGGCATAACAAATGTACCGCATCCTTGTGCGATCACAGAATATAACAAATATATGTGTGGTGTGGACAGATTTGACTAAAATTTGGCACAATACCGCGTTGCTTACAGAGGAAAGAAATGGTGGTCCAGCATCTTTACCTGGTTGATAGATGCTTGTATTCAAAATGCATGGCAGCTTCATCGAAAAGTGGGAACGAATATGTCAGAGCTTAAATTTCAACGACATCTGACTACATATTATTACAAACATTATAGTACAAAACCCAAATCACCTATTAACAGATATTCCCACCAAACGGGTCAAGTTCAACACACTCTCCGTTAAGATCATATTGAACACTATGTCGTACCATCCAATCGTAGATATTATGCTGGTGATTATTGCAAAGTTAACGCAGGAACAGCATGTACAAAATGCAACGTTGGACCTTGTGTCAAATGTTTTTCGATCTATCATAAAAAATCATGAAGGATTTTGTCTCATATAACAGTTCATTTTCATTCAATTTCAATAATTTTCTACTTTCCTGCAGATTTTCTTAATAAAAATGTATTACTTCTTCACAAAATAGTCTTTCTTTCTTGTATTTTCAAAGGAAAAAACGAAAAAAAGAACCGCTTCTTTTTATAAAAAAACATGTACCCTAGGCGACCCACGGTTACTATATGATAACGTAGGTTTTCCACATTTTCCGAAAAAATGTCAACACGAATAAAAAAATTGGCCTCATATTCTTGCTCAGGAAGTCAAAATACACTAGCCGCGTTAAGCTAGCATTTAAATAACATTAAACTCTATTTTCACTTTAAATGTTTGCCTACTTCAGACTAAAATATTTGTTCTTAATCCATGTTTGATCAAATTATATATCATGCCTGCTATATTGTGTAATCCAACTAATGCTTGATATGTTTTCGATATACATTTTAAAATGTCAGGAAATAGATTTTATCGTTGTTTTTACATCGATATCATGTCTACAAACGAAATATTAGTACCACATTTTTAGTTTGTTTTTGCAAAATGGCTTCTTCAGGTTAGATATAATTTTCATAATATAGTAAAAAATATATAATAATATGTCTCTATACTTATTATAATCTATTTGAAAAGGTGCTATTAAAAATTTGTTAAAAAAAAGTAGAATCACATGTTAGAGAAATTTATTGTAAAAAATATGCTACGTGTTAAATTGGTTTAGTGAAATATTAAAGTGTTACTTTTAACAATGATTTGTTGCTTATTAATGCTTATACTATTGATCAATGTTTATACTATTGCAATTTTATTATATTATAAACTTGATATAAGACCATTTCAAACTAATAAAAGATTAACGAAATTTTATGGGTTTATCTAAAAATGAGCTGTCTTGATTTTTTTTTTTTTTTAATTTTTTATGTGTATTTTAATTCAATTGTGTATTTAGGACCACGGACTATAATATTTTTTAAAATTTTTAATTAACAAAATTTTTGTAGATATAATTGCTTTTTAGTTAATTCTACTTGATAGATGATGACGCGCCATAATGTTGTAGTAATTTAATGAACTTTAATTTAATAGAAAACTTAAATGTTAAAAGGTTAAAATGTTATATTTTGAAATGTCTTATTTTCAGGAAAAAAGGGAAGAAAAAATAAAGGAACTGTCATATCATTGCAGTCATTTCTATCTAACGGTGAAACGCCAGGCACAACTAAAGTTACAAAGAAAATTAGAAATCCTGACGGTGAAGACAGTGATGAAGGAAACAATTTACCACTTGTTTATCAACTTCCTACAGCACCTAGAGCAAACAGAATATTTGATGACAACAATATTCCTCATAAATCTCCTTTCATTGCTTATATAACTAACCTTCCATTTGATATTAACGATAATGATATATATGATTTCTTTGAAACAGAAAGGGTGGTTTCGTTACGTTTGCCACGTGAAGAAGGAGAAACTGGACGAGTGCGAGGTTTTGGATATGTTGAATTTGAATCTCGCGAAGATTTAATCCATGTACTTAGTTTAACTGATCCAGTAATTAAAGGGCGTAGAATTCGAATTGATGTGTCAAATGAAAATGAACAAAATAGTAAGCTTAGAAGTAATAGACGAAATTACAATGACTTTGGAAATTCTTCTGAATCCCGCGACAGTGGAAACTGGCGAAAGGACAATGGAAATAATAGTGTAAATTCGATGAGAGATAGGAAAGGCACTGACGAAAATAATTTTGCTTCTTGGAGAAATGGTAACCGATCGCAGGACCATAATTTGTCACCCAAATCTAGCAGCCGCAAAATGAAAACTTGGGATCAAAACTATAAAAACAAAATGCCCGATCGATTCCATAATGAAGAACAGGAGTCAAATACTAATTTCGATGTGCAATCAAACGATCGACCTAAATTAAATTTAAAACCTCGTACTTTACCCTTACCAGAAAATTTAAATATATCAGATATAAAGTTAGACGGTGTCGAAAAATCTTTGAAGGTTCAAAAACCAGCAGGAATTGCACCAGAAAAAGTGTTTGGTTCTGCTAAACCTGTTGATACAGCGAAACGGGAACTAGAGATTGAAGAACGTTTAGCTGAAATACGTAGACAAGAAAAGTTAAAGCGGGACTTGGATCATGTTAATGTCGATGAAAAAAATTTAAAACAAACTGGAGAAAAATCTGAAAAAGAAATTCCTAACTCAACTATGAGTTGGCGAAGAAAAGTTGATGAACAAAAGATTCAGCAAGGTGAATCATATACCATCATTAATTACCCTAATAGTAACTAAATTTGTTTTAGGTGACTATGATAAGGAAAGGGAAATGAACCGAAATGTTAAAGTCCGCGACTTTAATGACAGGTAATTTATATGTTTTAACTTAATTGAAAAAAGTAGGAATTACAAATAACAAATTTATCAGGAATTTGCATTTAACATTCCAGAGCTGAAAATTCCACTATGTGAGAATTTTTTTTATCTATATTAACACATACATATATATTAATTTTAAAAATAGCGATTATTGCATCAGATTCTGATAGTATATTTCAAATCTATATTTATTGTATTCTCATAAATTATATTTTGGTTTATACTTTATATAACTCGTCTTCTATTACTTTTTGATTTAATTATAGAAATCCAAATTACACTGGCCTGCCGAATATTTTTAAAATTGAAAATATAAAATGCATTTTTCATATGAGGTAGTTGATTTTGTAATTAAATACAAAATGTATTTAAGGTTTGGTGCGTAAAGTTATTTTTAGTTTTTGTTTTTGTATTAAATTGTATACAAAAACAAAACACTAAACTGAATCTTTGCCTGCACCAACTCACATTTGAATGTTAGTGACATATCTGTTAGTTTCGTCTACTTGATGATGTCATACAAAAAATTCTAAATTTTCCAAGAAATGCTCTGTATTGTAAACTGAGGAGTGAGAAGCCTAACTTTCGAAACAATAAAATTAAAAACCACCTCTCGTTTTTTTTTTCGTTATCGCCTTCTTTTATCCAATCAATGAAAATTTTGCTATTCTAAGTTTTAAATTTGCATAGATAAAAACGAAATAGAATTAAGAGATACTTATAAACAATTAAATTTTAATAAACAATTTTGAACATGTACATGTTGAATATCGTAGATTTTTGTATGAAAGTTATTTTATTAGTTATCCTAATTCAGTAATGTGTAATATGTATAAGTTATTTTTAGTAAAATATGTTTGATTTCGTTTTATTTATTAATTGATACCTTCACCATTTTTGATTTATTATATACATACATATTCTTATCTAACTTTTTTTTTACTCGTCAATTTTAGATTAGAAACTACAAAAATGAAAAACAATCCAAATAAGGATGGAAAACCAAAAGAAAAACCCAAACGGGAATTAAAAGCTGACCGCCAACTGCCTAAACCTCAATCTAGCAAGCCTAACCTAGTAAGTATAAATTTTTTAACAATTTTTAGAGGTAACTAAAATTAACTTAGTCAGGAAGATACAGATGTTAATAGAATTTTCGAAGAAATTTTTTTTTTTTTTTTTTTGATATTACTATCTTGGAATACTAAGTAAAACTACCCTGGGTCAATATGTGTTTCAGTAGTAGCTATGTATAGGAGCTAATTGTCTACCCAGGCAACCAAATGTTGTTTACAATAGAAGTAACTGAAGCTCGCCTGTCCTTTTGCACACACCTAGATCCGAGACAATGTGCAATATAAACCACCCAATTCCTCCACATCCTCTTTCCTCCCCCTTCACCCATTTCCCTACTCATGTAATCGTCTTGTGTATCCTTTCATGTTATCTGCTTACAGGTCCCATACACCAACGTCCATATTTATCAATACATTTACTTAAAATTGAAAGTGATGTGTTTACGTCGATTAAATCGAATACTGGGAATTCATAATAAAAGTTTTAAGAAAAATTTAATAATTTGACATACACTTAGCTGAAAAACTCTGCGTACAGAAAGTAAATTTTGTTTCAACATATAAAAATTTATTAAATAAATAAATTTTATGATTCAATTTTATTTTTTATTAATACTTCTATTCGTTATCTTTATATTAAACTAAAACTTAATTCTAACAGGTTAGTAGAAAAATTATAATAATTAAAAATATAAAAAATCACCGCTATCGATGGCAGAAAAAGTCTGCGTACAAAATGTAAAAAGAATTCTCGAAGTTTTTACAATAAAAATTTGGCGTGGTTTATGTTTTACATAATGGCAAATAAAGGAAAAAAAATTAATACCATATATTAATATCAAATATATCAAGAAAACATCGCGAAATTGGTCAAATCGTTAACCGGTCATATTCTTCTATCCAAAGAGTAATAAACAACTACAACTTAACAGGATTATTGAGCTCGAAGATCTAAGCGTCCATCCAAGAAATCCAAAGAAAAGCTGAAGAACGTGATAATCGCGGAATGGGGTAAAATTAGAAGCGATGAGACCGCGAAGCTGGTCAATTCGATGCCAAAGCAACTGATGGAGGTCATAAAAAAGAAAGGTTATCCAACAAGTCACTAAAACGTAACGTTAAAAAATAACATATTTTGAAGCTTGTTAAACTCTTGTACGCGGACTTTTTCTACTATGGTTAGCGCTAATTTTTTACATTTTTAATTATTATAATTTTTTAACTAATCTGTTAGAAATAAGTTTTAGTTTAATATGAAGATAACGAATAGAAGTACTAATAAAAAATAAAATTGTATTAAAAAATTTATTTATTTAATAATTTTTTATTTGTTGAGACAAAATTTACATTCTGTACGCAGAATTTTTCTAAGTGTATATATGTTTTCAACAAATATTAGGATTAAGAAACTAGTTTTATTAATATTTTTGCATATGCGCAAAGAAAAATTGTTTGTACTATTTTTTCTGTTCTATAATATATTTAGTAATATATATGGAAAATTATGCAATTTTATATTATATATTAAATACGTAAATATAATGTAAACATTTTCTACAATTTTTGTAACATTTATTCTTGTTTTAGGTTTCATCACCATCAACAAATAAATACTCTGGTTTAGAAGATGAAGCCTCAGAATAAGTTCAATACAAGTCAAAAACATAATTACGTATAACCGATGCTTTCCCGTTACTTTTTTTTAGGATTTCACCATTTGGTCAATATTTTTTAATATCTGAAAATTAGTCTTGTATATTTTAAAATTCAAATAAATTATCGCATATAACTAAACATTTTGAAAATAAAATTTTACTCAGCTAGCTATTTAGGTAATGTAAATTATTCTTTACAACATTTAAATATTGCTTAATGCTGCAAGTATAAATATTTTATTATTTTCTTTTTACTACTCCGAACTGTTAAAGCAAATTAACTATTATATTAATAATATATATATAAAATTAAATGTATAAATTAAGAAAATTTAATGAATACGCTAACAGAACATATGTTGTCGATCGTATTCTTATATCGTACATTAATTAAAAGAAGAAAACTTGTAAGCGAAAAAATGTTATTGTGAAAATCAAATCAGTTTTATTCAAATAGTTTAAATATCAATTTCTTCAAATCCTTTTTCCCTTTTTTTTGATATAAACTATTACTTTAAACACAAAGTAATACATATAATAAATCTTAATTTTGATACGAAAAATAATTTTGAATTTTATTTACCGAAACATGTAGGAGTGAATGCTTAAATAAAAATGCATCCTACAGAACTTTATTATGACAGAACTTTATTATTATGAACGTCGTTCATAATAAAAACAATTCTTTTTTCTCTGAAATAAGAAAATTGTTTTATAAATATATATTTTTTAAATAAAAAACTTGTTAGACGGAAAACAGTAAAACGCATATAAACGTTTATATATAGGACCTTCTTATATATAGGATCTTCTTATATATAGGGTCTTCTTATATATAGGATCTTCTTATATATAGGATTTTCTAACTCAAACAATGGATAATAACCTTGTCAACCAACACCATATATTTATTAAGTTATATCTGGTAAAACAATATATAAGCATGTACGTTTATAAACTGTTGATGTACTATTATATATCCAAACTAAACATTCTTTAAAAATTTTTTTGTGTGTTATGTACCATTAAACTATGAGGATTACTTTTGCTGTGTTAATTAAAAAAATTGTTATAATACGAACAAAGAGAGCAATGTATTTACCAACCTTATAACAAACTTATCGTTTGGTTCGGACTGATGGCATGACTCGATAGAACATATACGTAAATAATGAATAAAATTGCACTGTCAATGGACGGAACAGCCATAAACAACGATTCATTTTTTCATTTCTACTTTGGATGATTTTTGGTTTCTGTTATACAAATATCATAGAAATCAATTATATAAGTGTTTGGCGAGAAATTTGTCACCATGCGTGAAGCTATATAACATGTAATTTACCGACGATTATTTAGTTTTTGAGAAAGGATTGACAGATTTATCCGTTTTCAGAAGTGATACCATTGGAAGTCATGACCGCAGACACAGTAATAATTAACTTCTATGGCAAAACCGAAATATACATGGCTCCAATTACTCTTATAAGTTTTTTTAGGGCTACGGGTATCAGTAAAAGAAGGCATAGTAGCATAGGCGGCAGAGATGATTTATAGTATCAACCTTCTTCAGCCTGACGAATTCCTTGAGCCTTCTAACCAATCAAACTTCTTAAACCAATTTCGTGAATATTTGCGGGAGGTATAACCGACGCCAGCAACAGATTATAGCAACAACCCAATTTTCATACACAGACGACATATGATCTGCAGCTCCCACGTTTTCATGCTTTCAGATAATATCAGAAAACCATTAGACCACCATATACAGGACCTTGTATGCAAAAGGAAGTAGGGCTAAAGCACACCACACTAGCAGTGAAAAGAACGTGATTTTAAGAACGGTCAGGCCAACGTCCCGGAGCCACTTGTCGCTAGTGATGAGCAAGTGCCGTTCGACACCTCCCAAAGGGACTTCACTAGCAGGTATGTGTTTGTTAACATAGTTCGGGAGATCTTACTTCTAATGGACGGAATTGAACCCAATACTAGTTCGATCGAAAATCCCACTGGCACTGTTCTGTCTACCACATTTCCAATCCGCAGAACCCAAACATTAGTAAGGTGCAACGGTTGCATAACTAGTGCCACCTTCCTAACTGTTCAGGTCTTAGAGGCGTTGTTCAACATTTCTCCTATACAGGCAATCTCTATCTCTGGCAACCCTTTTTCAATCAATGTCACACGTACCATCCACCACTTGGCCATGCATCTCCAAGGGGCGCTGGAAGTGAAGTTGCTTTCATATTGCGGGATTCAACATCGCATTGTGAGTTTTCTCTGCCCTATCAAATGATGTATACTTGGAGGTAATACGGTTGAAGATTTACATTGGTTGGTTATTGACATTTATCGATTTAGCAAAATCATATTAGTTTTTAAATGCTGACTTATTTGTCACAGAGTTTTTCGTAACAATTAAATATATCCGCAATAAACAAATTTTTCACGAATGTGATGTAATACGCATAAATGATTCATAAATCACTTGCATCATTTTCGTGTGCAATGTCGGTGTTTATCAGTATCATATGAGCAGAGTATAAATCATTATAAGTGCTGTCAGCTATTTGTATAAATTAGATAAAGTCAAATCATCGAAAAACCGTCAATGATTCGAGTTGCAGTTCTCTGATACGTACATATTCATAAAATAAAATTGCATCAATAACATAATTTTTATTTACATTTCAGCTTTATTAAATTTGTATATATAAGTAATGTTATTTATATTAATATACAAAATGAATAGTTCTATTTGAAAAGAAAAACTATATTTATGTATTTACAATGTTCATATATTAGTTTATTGTAAGAATCTTCGTTACTAATCATAACTTACATAGCTTATATAAATATAATGAAACAAAATTATGCTAAACATTAAATCAAACTGCATGAACTGAATTGAATTTTAATGAAATAAATTTTTTTTAATATAAAAATAAATTCTTTTTTTAATTATATAAAACAAATATTTTTTTTCATTATACAAAATAAATAATTTTTTATTATATAAAATACATAGTTTTCAAGGTTTTCAACTAACATTGACTTACTGCTAATATATCCTAGTTTTCAAACTTTTAATAAATAAAAAATATTATGAATTCAGTAACAATAAAACGCATAATTAAGGAAGTCAGGAGATTGATTTTCACAACAATTTAAATGCGTAGTCTAAATAGGAGATTCCTCCTCAGTATTTTGTGGTTGTATTTCAACTGTCGTATCGGGTGAAGAAGCTGCAGATACCGTTGTAGGTAAAATGGAAGATATTGAGTTATATTCATCTGTATTGTTGTAAACTTCCTCCTCAGATATTTCAGGGCTAGAAACATCAATAGTATCCAGAATAGTTCGTCGCTGAAAATTTAGTATACTTATGTATGGTATGTATTTAACACAAATTAAAATATTGAAAATCAACATGTCTTTTGAATTATTTGCTGGTGTATGTCTAATTTCAAGATATCATACCCAAAAATTTTTAATTAAATTATTAGTTATAATATATATAGAATATTTGTAATTTAAATGCTTTAACTTCGACAAATAACTCCAATGTCTAAAAAATAAAGTTCTTTAACAAAAAGTTGTATGAGATAATAAGTTATTAATATACTTAAAACGATCCAAAAACCGTATTACTGACTAATTAGTAGCAATATGTCACTAAATTCAATTGCAACGTAAAGATTCTCACTACATGCTCAAGCTAGTTTAAATATATTATATATAGTATATGCATATGTACATAATAAAATAGGCAAAAATCAAATGCCAGTTAAAAGCGCTAAAAATCGACAAAACAAGTAGTGATAAAGATTTCTATAAAGACAATAAAAAAAGGTAAGTCCCATATTATGTAGAGCGTCACAGTCATTTCAAAATCAGCTCTTTCGGGCTATATCGAAAATGCATGCAGAGTGTCATGGGCACGTCAAAATCAAAATTGTTGCTTTCCATACAAATTAAAAAACTGAGAGTGAAAGAAAAAAAGTAAATGCCGGTTTAAAATTGGTCATGAGAGTCGAGGCTATCTGAACCTCGTCACTCAGTTAAAATCGTGATGTATGTATGTATGTGTATATTTTTTTTAAAATTTAGGAAAAACTAAAAATTACAAAAATAATAGTAAAAATATGAAATTGAAAAACCGATGTGCCACTATGCATAACATTGTCTAACAGTACCGAATATGAATAAAAAGAGCAAATGTTTGGTTATGTTAAAAATTATCTAAAAAAAAATCTATAATCATATTTAATGTTCAAATCTTAAACTGTCACTACATATACACTGCTTTATTTAAATGAATTTATAATCCATTTCACTTTACCTTTGTAGATAGTCAGTGCTCAATTTATATATTATCTGAGATATAAAGACATTATTAACCAAGAACGCTTTATTGTGATTATGAGTTCAATGTTATGCTGCAGAATTTAATTATAATATGGCTCAGGATAAGTGGAGTATTAATTCTGTAAACAAAATACAAAAATCAGGAGTTCAGGAAATTTAAATATCCTAAGTTATATGAACGATGCGTGCCCTTATTTTAATTCAACAACTAATATTAAAATATAAATGTTACACAAACATATAGGAACGTTAATCAAGAAAATGGTATTACAATTGCAATTACAAGTACTTGGTAACAAAAGTTGACTTAGTTGAGCCGTAACTACTTACTGAACTAAATAAATGTGAAATTATTCATCTAATTATAAAAAAAAAAAATTTTCATTCCATTTAACATTTAATTCGCTCAAATTTAGATTACATATTTAACAGAGTATTTTGCACAGTTTTCACTATATGAATATCCACTCAAATTTGCAAATAATACAAATAACAGCGACAAACAGTTCAAGCTTTTGTATAATGTAACATATATTAAGGAACTATCAGAATTCTTACAATCAGTTTATTAATGATGTATTGTTAACTATCTATAATATATTTGCCAATTGAATTTTTTCAAAACATTTTAAAAAGTCCTAAATCTTATAAGCAATACAGTTACCTTATTTACTCTTAGAAAACGTTCTTCTCTTATTCTTGACAACCTCATTAATAAATCGTAGTGTTGCTCCACTCGTCGAAGGCATGATTCACAAATAGTTTTTGGAAGAGGGTCCGTTGGTGAAATCTATACATAGAACCATAAAAATTAGTAATAAATTATCAATAACTAATATACCGTAATTGGTAAGTAGCCATTAATCTTTTCAACAAGCCCCAACTTTTTTCCTTGGTCGCCGTATATGTGTATAACTATCCGATGCATTTCAGAACACAGACGACATAAAAATCCGGATATGCAAGCTCTGTCTATACTGCCCATCGCTATATATTATTCCAGTTGAATAAAATATATTTATCTACATATTTAAAGAAAACCCAACAAGCAATAACAAATTACAGTGCTATCAACCTCTATTGAAAAATGTCTGCAAGTTCGTCAGTTGAGAGTTGTGAACAAGTTGCTTTATTGTTGCAAAAATTATGTGTAACATCAAACATAATGTCAAAATTATTCCTCCATCACATTTGAATTGACATGGAATATTGTTAAAAGAGGTGAGAATCTGTAACTATATGGTTTAGCTGATGGTTTTATCCTAATATATGGTATATATTGTATTAAGCAATTTCGATGGCTTACAAGTGAGGCAAAAAACAGCACTTTGCTGGCCTATACTGGCTAAATTATACGCAAAACATTAACACTTTTTTCTCTATCTCGGCCAGTAGTGGTATACTTCGGCCAGTAAAGAAAAAAGTGTTACCAACGTAATAATCGAACTATTGTGAATGATCATTGGGAACTTCAACGAATATTCCAATAATATGTTCAAAGTTTGTAAACAAAAATGCAGAAATATAAAAAATTTCACATATTTGATATAGAATAACTGTAAATATAAAATATTTAAAAATTTGCAGACTTATGAAAAATAATTTTATAAATATGTACATAATATAGGTATATACAAAAATTTATGTACTCCTAACATAAAGAAGAATAATTAAAAATTAATTAAATTTTTTAACTTATTAAGTGTGTTTTCTAAACTATTATTAATTTTTTTGTTAGATAAAATTTCAATAGGCCTTTTCTTTTGTAAGCATGTCGCAAAAGAACAAATAAAATAAGCACCACTTTCGATGGCAACTCTGGACAAAACGGAAAATTTGTTAGGCTTACATATGCAAAATCCGTAGTAAAATTTAAAGGTAAAATTTCAAAAATGAATAAAAATTCTTTCCAATTATTGGTAAGAACATTTTTCTTTCTACATAATGATTAAAATTTGAATTTTCATGCCTTTTAACTGTAAAATAATAAATAAAAGAAATTATGTATTTCTTACAAACAATGATAACACGAAATACGAAAAATTAACGAAATCATTCGATGACAGTGAACTGGAAATTTCATATGTACTTCGAAAAATCGTTCACAATAGACGAGTTTTTAGTCTTGGCAACCATGTAAAAAGGGTTGGACTAAATAAGCGAGCAGTGTTGTTTCATATGTTATTTTTAAAATAAGCGGTTGTTCCTTTGTAATTTGCTTACAAAACAAAACGCCTAATATTTCCTGTATTCTTAACATTGCTTTAAATTCATTATTCATTTTAATTTTCAATTTTATATTAATTATTTATGTTTATCCGAAATGTAATTTGCTTGCATTAAGAGCGTATTACACATCAAATTTGCAGCTGTTAAGCAAATAGGCGTAAATTTTTATGCGGTTTTGAAATTAGTAAGAGATTCTCGTATCGTTCAAAAGTGCTGGTCCCGATGGGGTCTTACCAATTATATTACAATCTCTGAGAGATGCATCTGTAAATTGGCTGTCCACGATTATCTACAGCTGCCTTTCACTAAATCATGTTCCCAGCGCTTGGAGACAAGTTAGAGTTGTATTTGCTTCGAAGGAAGGTAGAACAGGTTACGGTATGGTAAAGGATTATAGATTCATCAGCCTTACTTCATTTGTACTTAAGACTATGGAAAGACTGTTCGATGCTTAGATTAGATCAGTACCTAGTTTCGGTAACCTATCGAGTGCTCAGCATGCATACCTCAGAGGGAAGTCCACGGAAATGGCACTACATGAAGTAGTTAGCGTAGTGGAAAAATGTCTTGGATGTAAACAATTTACATTAGCCGCCTTCTTAGATACAGAAGGGGCCTTTATTAACTTCAGTGTGGAAGCCATTCAGAAGGCTCTCAGCGAAATGAGCATCCCGGTCTCCATCTCTCGATGAATCGCATCAACGCTTGGGTTCAGAATTATCAATGCAAATATGGGTAATCTAAACATTAAGAAATGCGTCAAGAGAGGTACTCTGCAAGGAGAAGTGTTATCTCCCTTGTTATGGATTTTGACAATGAATTCACTGCTTCTAAGGCTTAACCAGGGTGGAGTCAAAGCAGTAGCGTATGCAGATGATGTTGTCCTTTTAATAACAGATATGTTCTCTTCGGTTCTAAGTAACATCATGGAGGGCACTTTTAAGAATGTCAGTAGATGGGCCTCAAAGTATGACGTAGGCGTAAACCCTTTTAAGACAGAACTGTTACTATTTACCAATAAATATAAAGTTCCAAACTTTCCATTACCAAGATTGAATGGGCAAAAATTAACTCTTTCGCACAAAGTTAAGTATCTGGGAGTAATTCCTGACACAAAGCTTAACTGGAAAGCCAATATCGACGAAAGAATTCGCAAGGCATTTGTGGCTTTCTACGCGTGCAAAGGGATGTATGGTAAGAGCTGGGGATTGCAACCCAAAGTGATTCTCTGGCTGTACAAAGCTGTCGTTTGGCCAATTTTAACATACAGATGTCTAGTGTGGTGGCTGTCGCTGAACAAACAGTACATTGTTCAAAGGCTAACCAGACTGCATAGATCTGCTTGTATAGGCAGAACTGCGGCTCTGAGATCATGCCCCTAAATGCGCTCAATGTCATACTTAACTTGTTACTCATTGTTATTTATATCAAACAAATTTGTTACTCTAACCGCACAGAGGTTTAAAGAATAAACTGTTGGCACTAGATTGCGTTCGGACATGAAAACATTTCGTCAATCTATCCTATAGATAAGATCAGAGATTCGGACTACCTATGTCCTCGATTACACTTCGAAAATAACTTTGCCACCAGAACTCCTTCAAGAGGAGTGTTGGAGCAAAACAGAACATCACACCTAACTGCTCCACCCTGTATATCTATTTTATACATTTCTTAAATTCGCTGCACTTGCAGAGAGCAAAACGACCGTTTTGAGCTTTGATGTTATACAGTTGTTTGTTTTTGATAAGTGGTACTTGGTTCCTATTGAAGCAGTCACATTTTGCATAGCGTGAGATTCACTGTTTTGAAGTAAATTATACAATTTTCGTACATAAACTTTATTACCTTCGTTATACTGAAACATTGTGAATTTAAATTACAATTAATTACAATTAATATAATATATATAAAATTTCTTTTTTATATTTCTTAAATAACTTTCGTACATAAACTTTATTAACTTCGTTATACTTAAATATTGTGAATTTAAATTACAATTAATTACAATTAATATAATATATATAAAATTCATTTTTATATTTCTTAAATAACTTTCGTACATAAATTTTAATAACTTCTTTACATTTAAATAATGTGAATTTAAATTACAATTATTTACAATTAACATAATAAATATAAGTGCATTTTGGAAATAAACTGTGAATTTGGTTTTCGTTTTGTTTTATTATTTTCATCGTAAACAAGGAGATTGGTAGGCAGGATTTCTCACAACGGTAGGAAATATAGCAATCTAAAGCAACGGGTCTAAGATGGATTAAAACATTGGAGCCGAAATCTTTTCTACGGACCTAAGAATTTATAAATCATACCATCTTTCATATTCCAACTCAATATTTCTGCAGAAATGTTCGCCATCATTAGGGCTTTGAACATGGACTTTCGCGGAAAGGAAGTTTATATTCTAACTGACAGCCAGACAGCTATTAAAACCTTATCAGCGGTCTGTATGTCGTCCAAATTAGTACAAGAATGTAAGAAATTTATCAACGCACTATTTGTTTATTTACATATGTTATATTAAGCTATAGATTTAAAAATAATTAATTGCCACTCCTATATTAATACAGCAATAGCTGTTACCATTTCTCTCATGACATGATATTCTGAAAATAATTATTAATGATATATAATAGGGGTACTCATCTCAATTAATAAATGCCTTATAAACCTCATAAACGTAAAAATTTATCTACTTTATAAGTTAAGTGTTAAATCTTGTATGATGATTTGTTTACACAAACCTGATAAATTTACATGAAAATTTTACGGAATTAATTAATCGCATAAATTTATTTATTGCATTCCACACAAGTAAAACCACAGAGTTGCATTCGAACACAAGCAAATCGGTTATAAAAATATCTTTGTGAACACTTTTTAGTTGTGACTTTTCAATCAATTTAATAAAGTTTAAACAAATATTTAATATTCCAACGATATTGGTTAAACATTTGTTGGAAAAATTGGCGCTGCTGAGTATTGTATTTTGTGCTATTATAATTATTGCGAACTTAAATAGTGCTATCATACAGCAGATTGATAAATTTACACAAATTTCACTAAGTCAGTTCATATAACAATTTATGTAAATGCTTAAAATTATACATTTATTAAATTTATGTGCTTAGTAAGTAACCTTAATAATAATGGCACATATATCTTGGGGCTTTCCATCACATTTGTATTAAAATTCAATTGTATACTTGCATGCGGTGAAGATTAACAACTGTTTTCGTTTTAAGTACGAAAGACAGAAAACAAAATAGCTTTCTATCACGTATTACAAATGATTAAACTTTTGTGTCAGAATAGCAAAAATCTTTCAAACAGTCTTCCGGTTGATTTTTTAAAAATCTTACAAAATATTTTTTATGATCTTTGCCAGAATTCCCTTGTAAATATATAATTTAAATAATAATGATAATTACTAAATAAATTTTTTTTAACACGCACTAATTGACTGTTCTTAGAACTTAATTTAATTTTACTGATTTGTTTTAAATTTGGCATACTTCACTCGTCAAAAAATCGAAACATATATTATGCTCTTCGTTATCCTTTTCCATATAAAATAAATTAACGTCCATTTGTGGTGGGATAACTTGAATCAACAAAACAGCATTCTTGGTTCTGTAACGTGGTGTATTAGTAGTGTGTGGATTATTTGCTTAATTACATATAAGTTTCCATTCTGTGCAGCTGTTATTTGGCATTTATATAAATTATTTATTTCCCAAATTGTTCCTTCAGCAACCACAGCATTTGGATATATTGTTTACAATTTAATCTGACATAATTGTTCAATAAACTGCATTTAAAATAAATAAAAATGAATCCCTTAACGTATGTATAAATAATTTGTAGATAAACTACATTGTACTTATAGATTTTCTTTACAGAAACATGAAAAATGTGCTAAAATTGAGCGAAAATGAACTTAAACATAATCTCAAAAGCTCTTGGCATGACTTATATGCGGATTCGGCTTGGATATTCGTTGGTGGGTTTTCTTATTCATTGTCTGAAGGTGATCTCATATGTGTGTTTTCTCAGTACGGGGAAATTGTAAACATAAAGCTCATTCGTGATAAAGTGACTGGAAAACATAAAGGTTTTTGTTTTTTATGTTATGAGGACCAACGTTCTACTGTGCTAGCTGTGGATAATTTAAATGGTATAAAGGTAAGTTATTTTAATATGTGGGCACAAATAATAAACTTATGTTTTATGTAAAGATTTTGGGGCGTACAATCAGAGTTGACCATGCATCATCTAACGGTGAATATTCAAATGGACATGCATTAATTTCGGATGACTAATATTTATGTATAAAATAATGTACATAGAACAAATGATTTTAAATATTTAAAAAGAGAATATACACATCTATTGTTAAATTTTTTTGTATATATAACTGAAGTTATGAGTATCTTAATTTAGTAAACACTAATAGATTTTTAAATATTTAAGGGTTTATATTCTTTTACTCTATGAATTAATTTAGTTGTACATATAAAAAGGGAAACTTTTTTACTTTTATTACGTTTAATTATTTTCATTGTAATTCTTTAATTATTTTTTCTAAATCCCCACGAGAAATGGTTGACGCTCTATAATATGTAAAATAAATAGTATATAATTTAAATATTTAAATAAATTATTTATAAATAGTATCTAAAATAAAGATTCACCTAAAAAATGTTGCTTCAAGTCTGATACTATCTTAAAAAAATTTACAAGGCTGAAGCGAATAACGACACTATATTACTATTTTAATAATGAAATTCTAATTTTAAAAAAAGAGTACTATATTAAAAATATATTTATGTATATATATTATTTTTAAATAATTCTGATTGCAACATTTTTTAAAACAATTTTTAAAATGTTACATTATAGTAACATTTATAGTTTGACAGAATATAAAATAAATTAAAAATAAAAATAATAAGTAATTTTAAGTTTATTGTAAGATATAAATTTTAAGTCTATTACAAATAATTTAAGTTCTATCGATATGTGCAGAATAGTAGCACAGAAAAGCAAATATCAATTGCATACTTGCTATGAACAAACATTATACTTGCATCATGGTGGTTCTTCCTTGTGCGATCCCATTAGATATTTAAAGTAGGTTACTATAAATTAATCATTGTATAAGCACTTTTTAAAAATAGAATAAAATAATTAATTGTTTACATTTGAATGTTGCGTTATACACAATAGTGTAGTTTCATACTAAACAACTTTAATTAATTTAAGAATAAATAAATCATAAGTTACTGCTGTAACAAAAATACAAAGCTAATGATTGTATCATGTTTTCAGTATTTTTTTGCTGTTGTGTTAAATGGAAATGAATCCGTTTGTTTTCGAAAATAGTTTTTAATTATTTCCTTTTTTTATTCAATTCCCGAAGTCAATAAGTTAAATTTTTTTTTTTAATTTCTACAATTATTGGTAAAACTGATTAAAAGAACTAGTGCTTACATGGATATTTTTCTTATATATCAAATTAATTTTAATGAAGTAGGTACTTTTTGGACTTTCACACTATCTTAATGTGTCTTTGGAGGGAAAACTTCTATTAACTGGCATTCTCCTGCTGTAATATAGCCTTGTCCGAGTATAGCGAATCAACTATTAAATCTTCGCAACCCGTTTGTTTAAACACGAGTTGAAAAGCTTGATAAACATGACTATCAATGATGACACCGATTCTGGCGGCACTATTGAAAAGCTTCCATGCCTGAAAAATGAAAGCTGATAGACCGTAAACGGATGTCTTTCTTGAAATTCTTAAGAATCTTACAGGTTTAAGTCCCTAATGTAACTATAGTGGATGATGGAAAGATAACGCCATGTGAAGGTTATCACTTGCGCGGATCAACGTTTTGGTCTTTATCGCATTTCTAACTTCAGAGTAGATGAGGTCTGGTTAGGCGCAAGACTCATGATTGTTGTTAAGGAGCAGATTCTTTGCCGACCAAAAGTGCATCTGTGAGATCTGGTAGTGTCCTAAATGGTTTCAAATCAATCAATATGAGCCGCACAAAAAATATAAGGACCAAATCACACCTAAAGTAATCCAGTTTTAGTGTAGTGGGAACATTACAATATATTTCCTCAAATGGATATGAGCGAAAATATGCTTGGAAGCATCACAAGATGATTTCAGTTTTCATATAAGCAGGAACGAAATCATCCGCGAATGATGCAGAAGGATAAAAGAAACTTGATATCACAGTAGAGGAGATGACTCATTTCATAAACAACGGTGATATTCATCCGGGTCGACCAAATTAATCTGCACCACAGCAAAGCTACATCAGTTAGTCTGATGCAATACCTTAACAAGGAGAGTCTGTACTCTATCTATAAATACGTCAAATGTCTTTAATTTAAAAACTTTCAAAATTATTATTAATATTACAATATTTACAATATTTACAATATTATTTATTACAATATTATTATTTTTATTACATAAAAACAGGTTTGACTGTACTAGAGAAAATAAACTAGTAGGAGGATAGTGGTGAAAAGTTCCAAACTTTTTTATGTAACAGCAAAATTTCCAGAAACTTTTCCGTAAAAGAAAATAACATTTCGCTGAAGATACGGTGAAGATACTGAAAAAATCAGACACTTAAAGAGTGAAAGTGCACATGCGAAAAATATACCGCTAAAGTGATTAAATAAAATAATTAATAGATTAGCTTGAACACGTAAAGTTGTATCTAGAGAAAATTAAAGTGAAAGAAAAAAGGATGTTTCACCAATCAAAAAAGGTTGTTTCGATTATTAAATTTGAAACACGTACGATAATTTTAATGTACAATAGAACTGTTCTATCATCCTGTTGCTTTGAAAATGGTTAATCGTAGTTCGTAAGTATATGCAACATTTTCAGATAGTTGACTAAACAAGGAAGATTGAAATTGTCGGTCTTAATCTGATCCGTAACGGTACGTCAAAAGGAGCCATCCACTAAATAGTCAGTGCGTTTACGGTGGTCGGAAATAGGAAACGCTTCTATCCATCGGATAGTAATTGTTTGATGGCGGTAGTGTAGAATGTTTATATTTATATGTTTGACACTACGTAAAGGATCATGACATTTCACACCAGAGCGTTGACATGAATGCATTCTCAAGTCCATTTCCTAATATTAGTTTATATAGAAGATCAGAAAAGATTTTCCAGATATCATTTTTGTTGTGACCGAAATACTGGGATAAGACGACTTATGAAATGCAAACTGAACCTTGCGTTCAGTTAAATTTACATCTAGGATAGTTTTCGACTACTACGCATCTATTTATGAGATGGGTAAAATTTCTCTATTCTGGATTTTCGACATAAGCGTGTAAGATATCTTAAATCAGCTGATACTTGAGCAAGTGCATTGCTTTTGCAAATTTTCGAAATGTTTGGTAATCGGTTTAAACTACGTATGTTTATATGTTGTTCGGAATGTGGTAGACAAAGTTTCTTACTGTACTGTGCAAATGGATTTAATTTTTTAAATATGGACACGTACACACATTTTAGGTGCTGCTGTAACTTTCACACTGCACCACGCGATGATTGTGCACACAGCTTCGTGCACACACATTTATGTTGTGCGATTGACTTATAAAAATATGCACAATCACATGAGGATGAAAATTTTATACTTTTGTTTATAATTAATAAACCTTAAAATAATAAGTAATATAAGCAATAAATACTTCTTCAATAAAATATTTCGCTTCAAAACAAACATAATGCAAATCAGTTTTCCGTACAATTTTGTTGCGATATGCAATGCATATGCATATTATGCATTATAATATTGAGCGCTTTTAAATCATCATATCCCACAAAGTAGACATTTCGTCTCTGCACATTTCCGTGCATTTATATTTTCGAGTATGCACACAAAATGTGCTCCTAGTATTGTTCTAAGCATACGTTGTGTGCGAGTGCAAACTGTCTGCCTCACACACAATGTGGTGTGCGAAATAACTTTGGCACAAACCCCGAATGAGTGTGCGAGTTCCACCACATCGTGTGAAATGTGTATTTTGTCTGTGCACACAAAGGGTGCATTTTTCTTTGTAAATAACATTTTCGCACACCACATTTGTGGTGTAAAATTTTATTTAGATGCACACAACATTTGTGCGTGGTGCTTTGCATTTTTGTTCACAGCACAATGTTTTTCTGATTCCCGGTCATAACTAATGAATTTTTCTGCGTTCTGCCATTTACGTTTTCTTCGTTAGGTACTTCTACGAGATTTAATTCAGCCTTAACGCATCCGAATATTCGTGCCGAAGTAAAAATAGGCAGCACTATTCTGGGAATGGGAGTTTGTTCCCTATTCCCAATTTTGCTATTCTGCATAATTTTTTTTGTGGAATGGAAGCTTTTTTTCCCAATTTTGCACAAATTCTTTTCCAAGCTAATTGTTTGAGAGACAAGTTAAAAAAGTACTAAAAGTAGTTGAATTTAATATGAAAATAACTTATAATGATCAGATTTTTGAATATATTTTAATAAAATTATTATTATAATAAAATTATCATAATAAATTTAATATTTTCTAAGTTTTATTTTTTATTTTATGCACAATCGTTGATTAGTCTTTCGAATTTCTTTTAAAAAAATTATTATAATAAATTTAATATAACTAAATTTTTATTTAATGTATTTTATTAAAATTATTATTTTGATAAAATTATTATAACCAATTTCATATATTTAAATTTTTATTTATTTATTTTATCCACTAGGGTTTTTTCCACAATTTAAAGCGTTAACTATTGTTTTTTAAAACAATAGATAGTGAAAGAAACCCAAATTCTGAAATGAATGGGATTCCTAAAAAAAATTAAAATAAGCTTTTGCAATTATGAGCAGATAAAACATTGCTTCTTTTAACTCAAATTTTAGTTAAAACATTAATAATTTCAATTAATAAATAAGATATTTTACTTTGTTTTATTGCATATAAGAAAATAATAAATTATATACATATTTAAATAACAAAATAAATAAATAAAATAAAAATTTTATATTATTTACTTATAAAATATTCATTATATTTATTTCTGATAATTTGTGCAGCAAAGTTTCAAATAACAAAACAAATTTGAAACTTTTGTTGTTCCCAAAACTACTATCTCCCAAACAATTCAGAAGAAGGGAGTTGTGTTCTTGGGAATAGCGTGGGAATAGGGAGATTTGTTCCCTGGAGTATTCAGAATTGCTATGAATGAGAAATATACAAACCAATTTAATTTTGACTCTTTCATGTAAACATAGGATATCAATTGATGTAAATATGAGAATTACTATTTGGTGATGTTAATTAATCATTCATTTTACGTTCTGCTATTTTCATTTTTTACGATAACTAAATCAACCGTTAGGTGTAATGGTTGGATCTTACAGCATAACGATAGAGCGTTTACACGATTCGCTTAACTGTCTATGAAATTGCTTGAAAGTGTAGACGATGTGATTATATTAAGACATGATTACAAGCAACTCATTTCAGTGTTTAAATACCAGTTTCATTCCGCTGCAACCATCATAATTCGTTTTACTTATTTGGTTGAATTTACCACTTTATTCACATAGAAACATTTGCATTGATAAGGAGTATATTCTAATTTTGACCTTTGTTTTAAAATATACCTTGTTTTATTTTGAGTCAAATATATTAAACTGTGTTTTGCAATATTATTAACAGTGATTGATGTGCTTTTTTGTTAGAATTTTAAGTTACATTGAATATATGTCGTTTTTGAACTAACTTAATATACGTCAAATATGAACGAGTCTAATACATCCACTCTTGAGACGTCATCTGTTTTTGGAAATCCACGTCTACAAACTGATGAAAAACAATGCAGACGTAATGATAGTACTCTATATGATAGTGCGTTAGAAAATATAACTACTTTCGCATCGTTTGATGGTGAGAAATTTACATACAATCTAAAGTTAATTATTTGAAAAGTTTGTTTTTTGACATATCATTTTATATTATCAAGGAATAAATTTTTTTTACATCAAACTAATTGTTAAATTTTTATTTTGTACATAACAATTTTGCTAGCATGACAAAAGTAGGCTATATAGTACTCATATTTGGTTTAGTTGAGCACACAAAATGCATATACGTGTATAAATAATTTTTTACAGATAGTTCTAATAGCTTTGAGTCGACGTCACCAAAAACCAGTAATGATTTATTTCTAAATTCATCTATAGAAATGGATTTACGCCAAAATAATGAAATTCCTAAATACATGACTTCAAATGAGCTATTAAGTGAATCCGGAAGGCATGATGGAAATGCAATCCAAGAGGAAGTCAATCCTAAATCACAACTAGCAAACAAAACAGTATTTAAAAATGATAATCCAAATTTGTCAATTATCGAAATAAATCAAAATTCAAGCAGGGAACAAGAACTAAAAAATTCAATTATATTAATTGAACCATATGATGACGAAAATGCACACGCTCTAAATAGCATATATCCTCAAAATTATATTAATGTTAATGGAAAAAGTAGAAAAAAACCAACACTCCTAAAAAATGCTAAACAAAACATGGATGCCGTCACTTTGGAAGAGCAAAAATTAATTGATGAAAATATTTGTGCCGAAAATTTGTCAAGAGATACTAGAAAAGAAATAAAACTATATGAGTCACTGGATGAATTTGAAAACAATTTACCATCGACAGTGACGATACTAAATACTCCTTTTGGTAGCAAGGTTTATTTGGTTGGAACAGCACATTTTAGCGAAGACTCTCAAGACGATGTTTCATATGTACGTACCAACAATATTTGTATATGTATTTATAACATATTTAATAACTAAACAATGTAATTATAGGTTATTCGTAATGTCCGTCCAGACGTTGTTATGGTTGAGTTATGCCCTTCTCGTATTCATATTTTAAAGTTGGATGAAAAAAGTTTACTCGAAGAAGCTAAAAGTTTCAACTTAACCAAAGTAAATCCCTTTTTATGTCGATATATAATATTCTATATTTTAGATATATATTATAGATTCGTAGCATTATTCAAACTCACGGATATATAAATGGAATATTCTTTATACTTCTGTTGCAAATGAGTGCACAAATCGCAAAGGACCTTGGAATGGCTCCAGGAGGCGAATTTCGTCGCGCATTTGAAGAAATTCATAAAATACCTGGTTGTATGCTTCATCTTGGTGATAGACCTATACGTATAACATTACATAGAGCGCTACGGGCGCTTTCTTTATGGCAAACTATAAAATTAGTTTGGCGCCTCACATCTTCGGATACAATTAGTATTGAAGAAGTTGAAGAATGTAAACAACGTGATTTACTCGAGAAATTAATGCAAGAAATGGCGGGGGAATTTCCTGCTTTTTCTGATGTTTTCGTAAGAGAGCGTGATATTTTTCTTTGTCATTCCCTGCAATTAGCAGCCTTGCCTCAACCTGCGATTAATGGTTCTGGAATTCCACGACCTGTTCGTGTAGTTGGTGTTGTTGGTATTGGTCATGCAAATGGAATTGCTCAAATGTGGGGAAAAGTCGATCCGCAAAAGATTCCAGAAATATTAGAAATCCCACCTGCTAGTTCGAGCACGCGGATGTGCAAATATATCATTAAGTATGGTTTAATTGGTCTTACATTATTTGGAGTCGTGAGAGTTTTAAAACCAAGACTTATTCGTCTTTTTTGATATATTTTCCTGTATATTAATATTTTACGGCTATCTGAAATATTTCGATAATAAAAATGTATATCAATTAATAATTGTAATCAAATTTAGTATACTGATGTAAATATAAACTTAAAATATACAAAAGTATTACGTTTAATTTTTGTTTGATTGCAATCATGGTATATTATATTGACGTTAAGTTAAGATAAACAATAATAGAGACCATTTCATAGGTTACAAACGACAACACTATAAAATTAAAATTACAACTATCTAATTTTATAGTGAGTGCATTATGTTTCCTTTTATTATTATAAAAATTAAAACATTTTCAGTTAAAAGCATTATTTCATAAGGAAAGCAAATCCGAATAACTATAATCACCAAATTAGTTATCAAAAACAGTATTTTGGCGTGCCTTCCTCTGATGTAGTTAGAATTTTTTTTTTTTGTGAAATGTTTTCTAACAACTGATACTTTATTTTTAAACTTTCCTTAAGTGACTGCTCAACATACATATGTTAAGCAGTGCTTAAAAATACTCCGATTCCTCAAGTTCTTATTTACATTTATTTGATTTTTAATGAGAGTTTCTAAGTTTTATTTTGTTTTAAATTATTCTTTATTTAGAAATAAAATTGTTTATCGGCTAGCAGACAAACCAAATTAAAATTAAATTAATTAATTTTATAAAATTAAACAAATAAAATTAAATTATTCTTAGCGTATTACTTAGTAATATTCTCCAAATATATTTTTATTACAAGTCGTTTCTATCAAAGGACCATTTAGAGCGTTTCAACCAGCAAGGAAATAACTAGCTCAGATCTATATGTTCAGTTTAGATAAGTAATATTACTTGTAATATATTAAATTAAAAAACCTCTTGTTAGTCAATATGACTAGTTGTTGTTAATTTAAACTTTGCACTTTGTTTAAATATAATAAAAAAAACCACAAGTCGTTTCTGGAATAACGTTATTATTTTCTAATTAGATGAAATATCTAATCTAATTAATTATATTTGATTTTTATTTTATCATTAACAATTTGCTACACATTTACGTTTCTGTAATATAACATATTTTATATCTGTATATCGGAAAGGGTACACCCGCTTAGAGTATTTCAAGTGCATAACAAAATCCACAAAATAAAATTAAAATTTGTTTGTTTATTAGTTATTACATTATTTAATATATATTTTTTTTGTATTTTTATATTTATTTGTTGATATAAACTAAAAACCAATTGGAATTACATCGTTTGCCCCGGGCAACAGCTGATCGGAAAAAGCCAAATATCCAGGAATTCTGTTGAATAGTAAGCTAAACTGGAAATGTCGATCTTTGAATTAAGAAAGCTTGTGTAGTTTTTTACTCTTCGTCCCACACAGGATGTACACGGCCATTGAACGTCCAGTTCTCATGTATGGCGTTAGCTGTGATTTGGCCAGCTCTAAGCAAGAGCTATAATATTGATAAACTTAACAGAATTCAGAGTATGGCATACGTTGGCGTCACAGAAGCTTTTAGGACGAACCCTCTGGACGCCCTAAACGTGATACTACACTTGTTACCTATCGATTGGTTGGAACGAATATATGGGCAAAGTCGGATTATAAATACAGTTCCAAAATGTCTGTATAGGATGATATTGGATTATCTGAATCCGTGTTTAGACTTTAAAAAAAATTTTCAGACAATATTCTGTTCAAGAAATGAATGGAAAATAAAAAATTTTGGAGCAAATTACGATATCTCAATCTATACAGATGGCTCGAAAATGAAGTGCGAGGCAGGAGCAGGGATCTGCTTAATAAGCGAAATATCGCTTATTAAAATATATGGAAATTATATATTGGCCTGCCACTGCAATCAATCAACCAATCAACATCGCTTGCCCCAAAAACAACGGATTTTCGAAATACCATGCAATCAATACATCTAAAGGACAGAGTGCATTTTATTACAATATTAAAAAATCTGGTGAAAATTAAATAACATTCAGCAACAAATTTCATTACAATGACGTATATTTAACTATTTATGCGAAATGCAAGACTATCAAACTCGTGTTAAATTTAAATTTCCTGCTTTTTTATTGTAATTAAACGGAAGCATCGCAGCTTACCAAATGACGTATGGAACCACTGGTTTTTTGTCCGAACGTGACGTTCATAGTCATGGGGTTTTTAGCAGAGGTGAGTAGCGACAAAAACGTGAGCAAATAAAAATGTTTAATTCTTATTAAAAATTTTATATATCTTCAAAATAGGTAATTTTGGTTGCTAATGAATTAAATAAAAACACAATATACTTTAAAAAACCTAATTATGCCTATTTATTACTCGTATTAGTAATATTAAAAAAAACGCATATAAAAATTACAAAATTAATTAAAATTTTACTACAAATATTGTGCTAATCTGCGTCATTTTTCCATTTCTCACGCGCTTCTAATTTGGCTTCAGGTACAAGTGAACTTTTTACACCACCTAAAATATTTGTAGTAGCTTGAGTAGCTAGCACAGCAGGACATACTACAAGTTGTGGTATTTGCCTCATAACAGCACCAACAGCACCAGTATAACCCTTTTGATCGTGTTCTGCGACAGCTGTTTCTATTAAAATCGTTGCAGAATCATTAATTCCCTATACATAAAAAAGTAATATACAAAATGACATATTTCTTAAATAATTTAAAATCGATTTTACTTCTTTCACAATAAGATACGCATTTGTTACGCCTTCTCTAATATCTTTAGGTCGCTGATGTCGCTTCTTTTTTTCTTTCTTTTTTCTGCATCTTTTAACAGATGGTCCGGGTGACACCATATCAAATGCAGTTTCAGCTGTAAACTTGATTGTACAAAGAATGGTTGCAGTTTAAATATACAAAAAATTTTTTTTTAATAATACTTAACATACTTGTAACAACTGTATTATACGAGAAGTAATTTCCAATGCAGCAAGTGCTGTTCTCGCAGTAAAACTTTGAGCACCAAGTTGAAAACCTTTCATTAATCGTCTATCTTTTTGATATTGCTCAATAGGTATCCAAAATAAGTCATATATACCTTGAACTAAAAATTAAAAATATTATTTGGATGCATTTAAATATTGATAACATATTACTTATTATGTTGACATTGCTTAATATATAGTATGTGTAATTCAATTGTTTTTAAAAAAAATGCATTGTATTATATATTATCATAATCCGAACTTACATAATTGGACTAAAGCATATGTTGGCCCTACTCCACTCAAAATTTTTGGAAGCTGATTTCTTTTAATATCTTTTAACCATTCTTTACACATAAAAGAAACTAGTTTATCAAATCCTAGAATTCCACGACTAAAAATAAAAATAATATTGTTACAATTTATCTACTAAATAAGTATATTGGAATAATTATTCACTTACCGATAAACTATTTTACGTAAACATAATTCAGATGATTGTAATTGTGCCAATCCCATCAATACACCAGCAAAGGGACCTCGAGAAAGTTCTACATGTCGACCATGATAATCTAAACAAATTTTGACATCAGGACTGAATATTATTTCTCTAAAATATATTGGTGTTGATTTTTCCGTTGTAGAAACATTTTCATTTTGAATTGAAATATTATTATCTGATACAACTTCTTGTTGTATCGGATCATTTAAATTTGCAGTAACTTCTGTCTTCATTTCGTTAATTTCATCAACTTCTGGTAAGTGGTCGACTGCCATAACAGGTGGTTGCATCTGTTGAACAGTATTGTTCTTTTGACTGTTTATTTCATTTTCATTGGATATTGTGTTATCTCCAAATTTAGAAAAAAAGTTCAATAAAAACACAAGTGTTTCCTGATCAATATGAAGACGTAAAGGTAAAACTGATACTCGCAAAGAGCATTCCTTAGAAGAGCTTAACTGCGGATTAGGGCGAACATGTAATGCTTTCACTATAACCATATATTGTGCACTTCTATTTGAAATATTTGATTTATTTGCATGATATAATAACTTATTTATATCAGAAGATTGTAAACGATCACGAATTTCAATATCACTTATGAGTAAAACTTGCCGCGATGCTTGCAATTTATGCATCGGATATTCTTCATGAGAAAATCTTACTTTGGAGAATTGCATTTCAACTAATACTTCATGATTACGAAATATACCGCCTTTAGTTTTCAAATTAGGTTTTTCTTTTACTTTTTTACCAATAATCACATCTCTTGTTGATTTGGAATATGAAACACCTTTTTGATATACTTCTGACATATTGGATTTCTCACTGGAAAACAAGAAATTTTAATGTTATATTAATTTGTATACATTTGCTATTTATAAATAATTTTAATATATTATAAAAATATGTGTTAACTCTTTTAGAGACAGAAAATAATACTCAATCGCGTTTAATAGAATAATATATATAATTTATACAATCACTTACTTTTTTGATTGTTGCTCATCCACTGTAGTATTTTTTTGAAAATCGCTGCCACCATATAAATGCCAGGTCAAAGTCATTTCACATAGCGTGTAACGTACAACGGCTGTTGGAAAATTTTCAGGTGTTTTTAATAAATCAGTTTTCTCAACAGGAAGGCAAAAGTGATTATCCACAATTATTATCGGCTCTTCACTTGTTTTAATATTTTTAATTCCATATTGTTGCTGAATTAAAATAAAATTAAATTATTTTACAATGTATATACTTATAAGTAAATTTAAAAAAAAAAATGTTTGATTTATAAAAATTTTATAACGATATAAATGATCACAAGCAACGCAAACTAATAAATATTTATTTAGTTATGTACGTGTGTATGTCTATAGCAAAGGTTCTCAAAATATGGATCATTAAGAAAACAACATAATTTCAAATAGCATAGTCACATTGTTTTCATTACAGATGGAAGCATCTCTATCATCATCATCATCCGTAAATATACAATCCATGTAGGACCTAAGCCTGCTTTACAACAGTCTTCCATTCTTCTCTTAATTTTTGCTTTTGTTTTTTCAATTTCTTATATTCATTTCTTCTAAGTCCTGCTGCACACTGTTTTTCTATCGTTTTCTTGATCGCCCTCTTCTTCTGCTCGTTCCTAGTCATAATGTAATTTATAGGTTAAGATATTATTTTCTTTTGTGTATAATTGGTAGTGTACAATTGCATAGTTTACGAATTACAATGTTACCGATGCATTCGGGGATATAGTTTTTCCAATATTCGATAACCCGATGATTAAAAGTTTTGCACAAAATTTAAATTTAATTTGAAGTGTTTGAACAGAGCAATAAAAAAATAAAAGTAAAAAAAAAAAAATATTTTTCTTTTATTTAATTTAACTTATTCCGTTCTTTTCCATCATTTTTGATTTTTTTTTGTAAAACAAAACAATGGAAATTTAATTTTATTACTTTTTCAGGAAAAATTTGAAAAGATGCGTTACCAAATACACAGTTACCGAGCTATGTCTGAATATTCTCATTTAAAATTTTAATTATAATTTAAGAAATCTACTAGTTCTACTTACTGCTACTTTTAAGCGCTTCTATGTATTTTATCGTATAAAATTGTTTTTAATTAATTTTTAGACTTTCTCAAAACTAGCAATACTGAATCTTCGAAATAATCAAGATATGACTGTAATGTTACATATAAGTTGTATAAAAACATATCTATTTAAGTCATATAGTTATAAATTTAATTAATATTTCACTTACGGAAATTTGGGTACCATCATCTGATATTATACAAAAATCATCTTCTGAGTTTTTATTTTGAAAATCTATTATTTTATAATTTCTATCAATATCATTGAGCTCTGTTTTATTTTGTGGACAAGTTTCATGGTAATATGAATTTGACATCACTTTAGATTCGAAATTAAGAATTTCAAAAAGCTCTGCTTTATGTTCATAGTTGCAATCTGAAATTGATTTATTTAAACCTTTATCGCTTTCATCCGGAAAAAAGTAAATTTCATCAGGTTTTTCCATTGGAATATCTTTATATTGTTTCCTGGAAGGAATTATAGAGCTTTCTTTTATTGCTTCTGCCATCATTAGATTTACACGTGCTTGCTGCTCTGGAGTAATATTTTGAACATGCGAATCGTTAGTAGAAGATAAATTTGTTTCGGATTCAGATAATTGTGGGAATGCATTAATTTTGTTTTCATTGTTGTTATCAAAATCGCCATCATTTGCTAAATATGCAATCAACTGAGCTAAAGCGATTCCAGAATCAGAACACGTACGCAAGTGGACTTCATGAATAGAACATCTCATATCAAATATGGAGCATTTGTCAATCGGATTTTCGTCAATGCGTAGCGATATATCAAGAACCCCAATATCGAGAACTGGCACTAAATTTTTTGATGAAATAAAAGTTATTTCATAATCTGGGAAAGGATTTGTTAATTCCTGAAATATATATATGGTAATTAAAAAGAATATTTTTGTATTATTCAAAGGTATAGTTACATAAGGTGCTAAACAAAGAGCACATTCTTCAAATATGAATCGCAAATTACAACCACTTATAGATGATATAATGTTGCTACTAATCATAAATGTGCCTATTTCAAATGTTGCACGATAAGGCATGTATTTTGGTCTAAAAGAGATTTTTGTTTTATAATATTTTATCAATTTAGAAATTAAAACGTATACCTATAATCGATAACGCAATTCCATAAATGAAGCTGTATTTCAGTTATAATTCCAAATGGTTGATACCCAGCAACTGGATAATCCTAAAAAAATTATTGTTAAATAATTTTACACAAATATAAGAACAGATTTTAAAATATATTAAAAGGTTTTATTTTAAGGGAAAGGCAAAAAACTAATAAAATTGTAAATAAACTCACTACAACATCCAAAAAATCCATTAGTTGATTAAGCCATATATTAGATACAATTGATGGATGAAAACGTAGCACTGTTTTTTGTATTCCAGCTGTGATTTTTAGTCGCTTAAAATATATTTAGATAAATAATAAACCATCATACTGTATATTTACACATACCTTAACTCTTTCTTTTTGTAATCTTTTAATTTCAATAACAAATGATAGCATATCCGTTTCATCAGAGTTTAATGTCAAAATTTTCGTTAAACCTTTTGGTATTTTATAAAAGGTTGATTTCATGTATTTTCTGGTCTCTTCAGAATTTAGAATATTAATAAGTGAATCATCGGGTATGGTACCTATAAAAAAATTAATGTTTTTACCTTATTTATTAAAAAATAATACAATCATATTAAATTACCACAGTGAAATATATAAAAATTTTTTAACTGGATGCATAAGTGTGTTAATTGACTATTATTGTTATACCCATTTACTGAAAATATTTGTAAATTTTCAATTTTTATCTCCATTTTTCCATTCTGTTCAGACAGGACGCATTTATTACTGTCCCTTACGGGGAGTAGAAAAACTAATGTTCCTTCTTTCACCAATATATCAATTGCGCATTTACTTGATTCTATTTTTTTCTCCTGAATATGTGATGTTTTCGCATTTTCATTAAAGGAAAAATATATACTTTCAAATGGATTATATTTATCACTGTTTTCACTCTCAGAAGATATGTCTTCATCATAATTTGTTATACTTTCATATTGAACTTTGGACATAGGTATATTTAAAGAATCCATTTTATTTTCATTTAATTCGCTTGAATTAACAGATGAGCTTGGTTCCCACATTAATAGATCAGTATTTAAGCGATTATATATAAGTTCATACAATTCCTTTGACCTAAATAATATAATATTAAGTTTATAATATTCACAAGATAATAATAAATCTGTTCTTATCGAAAAATATTTCATTGTGCTTACTTAAATAATACATGAACAATCGGAAGATTTATTTTTATTTGTAATTTAGAAGTTTTCATGGCACTAACACGAAAGTTATTGATTTCTTGAGGATCGCCTGGCAGTAAAATTGTTTCGGTTTCTGCTTTAGAAATACAATACAAAACATTAAAAACGTTAAGAAAATCATGTTTTTAAAGAATAAATACCTGTTTTATCACGTTTAGAATGCCTTGTGTCACTTTGCCTGCAACTACGTTTTGAACTGAAGGGCGCATTATGTACATATCCTTCCGTATGCAAACTTTTTTTGTGTTTTTCTAATCCACTATCACTTCTCATAGCAGTAATATTTTCAGTAGGAACCATATTTATAATAATGCTGTAGAAGTATATATTTTATTATAAAGTATATATTAGGTTTGATTTCAGAGAGTATCACAATGATCAATATATGTCTAGATTGTAAATGCTATCAGTGTTTTAACATCCGTCATGTGAAACTAAATTAACCTCGGGTATAAAAATGTATATGTATATATATTTTTATTTTCCTAGTCATTTTTGTAAAATAAATAATACATATAAGTAAATGCTAAACCACATATTCTAAATCAAAAAAAATTGTTTGATACAAATTAAGAACTTTCACGATATTTCAGAGTATCTCATATTTTAAATTTTTTTCAAACAAAAAAGGTAACTATATTAATATAATAAACTCAAAGTAAGTAGTTTTCTTAGTTATAGTAATTATTATTTAACATAAAACTAAATATTAAGAGACATAGCATTTTATACTTTAATGGAAATGCTTTTGTTAACTTCTTCCGCAAGCATTGAACCGAATGAGATTTGAGATTTAAAACCAATAGATATTTTTAGGTTTACTACAATATTTATTTGTTGTATACTAGACTATAAGGCAACGATTGTGTTTTTTTCGATTGTGATTTGCATATATATCTGGCATAACGTCAACTGTCAACTATTCGTCGTTATATTTTTAACATATTCAGAAATATGTGTGTAATTAAAATTGTAAATATTAATACTGCTTGGTGACCGACGCTCAGTACTTTAATGAAAAAGGTGTTCGCTTTAACACCACATCTAATAGCTGAGAGAGCTTCTGTCTCGAGGTAATATTTGAATGAGTGGAAGAATATTATGTATTAGTCGGTATGGCAATATTAATCTCTATTGTGATCAGTAAACGCAAAGAAACAGTACGCTATCATTTATAGTAGCGTACTGCTCATGTTCATAAACACAATCAAAAACAGTACGTTAAAATAAAAGCAACATGTCTGGAACACTAGAATAGTGTATTGTTTTTGACATTTATTGTACATTGAGATTTTAAACTTACTTTGGACAAGTCAAAGATTCAGTATCCATTTGGTGACTGGATTTAATTAATGTCGACTGCAATAGATGAATTTTAGATTCTATGTCTTTTTCCTGAAAAAAAAAGAAAAAAACATAAATCAATTAATATTTATAACTTTAATGTAAATATATTTTATATAATTAATATTTTATAAATTAATTAATTAAATTGCAAAATATATAAATACATTTCACTGATGAACTGACAAGTTTCACTTAATACACTATTTTACGAATAAGTACATTTTCACCATGAAACCAAAATATTATATTTATGTAGCATTTTTAGACGAAATATTATTCAAATCGGAAATTATTGAATGTAAACATTTTCAAATTTATTAAAAATCAAAGCTATTTTTAACAGTTCTTGATCGTTAGATCTATAGAGATCTAGAATTAAATAAATAAATAATAGAAGCTAGGGTATGCATGTTGTTATAACATACTTAAGTGTCTTACTGCCTCAATAAAACGGTTTTTACCGGTTTTAACTGTTGCATTTTCTTTTCTCATTTGATGAGATAAATACGATTTAAGTTTTTCTGCATTTTTTTTTATGTAAAAATTTTTGAGTTTTTTGTTTGTACTTTGTTATATGAATTCAAAGTTATTATTAGATAATTGGGATTTTTTTTTTGATGATTGAAATATTTCTTCAAAAATAATTGTACCAAACTTCTTCCGGCTAAAATCGTCATCACTTTGTTGCATAATCCTAGACTGGAAAAATTATTGCAGTTGCTTTTCAAAGCCCTCTTTGAGGTCACAATTATTCACAATTATTATTATACTTTTTGAATTTCCCGCGCAGTTACTCCAAATGCAACAGTGCTGGCTGCCGTCAGCTGTAATCTACCAGTGGGCAACTTTGTAATTTTGAGCAAGCTACGTCGTTCACGAGGTGTTTGATAGCCGTTCAAAGCAGACAATCTCGTGAACTTTTATGAAAATGGAAAAAAAATGAATTTCGTGTGCTGATTATGCATTCGTGGCCAAAATCCACAAATTGGGATACGAACTGCTACCCCATCCAGCATATTCTCCAGATGTAGCCCTCTGCGACTATTTTCTGTTTCCAAACCTAAAGAAATGGCTGGGCGGTAAGAGATTTGAGTCGAATGAAGAAGTCATTACCGAAACAAACGCGTATTTTGAGAGCTTTGAGAAAACCTATTATTTGGAGGGAATAAGAAAATTAGAAAAACGCTGGACTAAATGTATCGAGCTAAAAGGTGATTATGTAGAAAAATAAAATGTTTATTTGCCGAAAAAAAATTTGTTCTATTCAAAAAGTCAATGACTTATCACAACGACATCGTATACAGTAGATGCCTTAAAACTTCACATCTAAGTTTGTCCAAAAAGTTAATCAGAAATTATTTCTTTATATTCTTGAGAATTCCGTGAATTTTTTGTTCAAATAACATTTATGCGAATTTCAAGATCTACATGAGCGAAATAAATTGATATAAATATAACTGATAAAAGTTTACAAAGTTAATAAATGCCTTGTAATTTAACTATCTATGCAAAGCATTATAAAGCTTTTGATTTAAATACAAAATCAATATAAAATATACTTACACAGTAGTACACATTTAATTCATTTGCAGTAATATTAATCAAATTTTCTCTAAATTTAAGTCTCATTTGAGATAAAGTCAATAATAAAAAATCAGTGCGAATATTTTGTTTCCACCATGGTACTCTCTCAGGATCATCAATCGGTCTAGCATCCGATATTGGAAATCTGAAACGATTTGTAAAATAAGAATTTATTAATGTTTAATTTAGCATTATTTCTATTATAAAAAAAGTAATATATGCCCTCGTACACTTATGACGTCATTATGATCGCACTGCAATTCGTATTATTTGAACAAAAAATAAAAGAACGTCTTCGTTTACAAAAACTAAATTTAAATACAAGACGTAAAGATCGTATTAATTGCTCCTAAACGTATAGAACATTTATCAGAGGAACAAATTCAACGAAAATGCAACGTTATTTTTATCCAAAAAAATAAAATTAAACGCCAAAGTTTAATGTTGAAATTGAATGACAAATGTAATATTCATACTTACTCTTTCATTTTCAACATTATGTATGCGATTTCCACATTCCCTAGAAGACACATCAAATTCTTTTATGAACTTCAAAACTAAAATAAAATTTGATGTCCCTCTAGAGTATGTAAAAAAAATATACATATTGTTGAATACGAAAAGGATGAATATAAAGAGGGTTAGCGATCGAAGCTCGCAGAGGGTAGAGCTCCCTAGTATTTAAAAATAAAATGTGTTTCGGCTTTCGTGTTTGGTTTTCAGCAATGCAATTTACTACTTCTTTAAAGAGTAATAAAATAAAAATATATCTCATAATTGATTTTTATATCTTAATATGATTATAAGTATACCGTCATTTATAATAACTAACAAATCCAACAAATAAATTACACACTAATGGAAATAAATAATATAGCTATTTTGAATTTAGAGATATTCAGACGTATCTCTCTATCTTTGCAATCGAGTTCTTTCTCAAAAGATATATAAATTTAAATATATAAATTTAAAATGAACACGTCATTTGTTAACTTGTTCGATTTTCAAAACTAAATTAAAATATCTTATAATAATACATTAAGACCGAAAAGTTTTCGGAAATTCTCATTTAAAATTCGCGCGCTGTATATTTTTCGATATTTTAAGTTTATGTAGTTTGGCAGCAATTAAGGACAATTACTATGCCAAAAATGAGCGCGATCTGTCAGACAGTTCGTTTACGGCAGCGGTTGAAACCAGTTCACCTCAGTAGTGCGTTGCGAAAAAAACAATGGAAAAAAAATATTGAACAAAGAGTTTGCATCAAATTTTGTGTTTCGAACGAAATTTCGTGTGCAGAATCGTTGCGAATGCTACAAAAGGCTTATGGGGAATCAGTTTTATCGAAAACTCAAGTTTATGAGTGGTACAAAGCCTTTCAGGACGGTCGTACGACCGTCGAAGACATTTCGCAACGCACTACTGAGGTGAACTGGTTTCAACAGCTGCCGTAAACGAACTGTCTGACAGATCGCGCTCATTTTTGGCAAAGTAATTAAGGACAGTGCTGCCAAACTACATAAACTTAAAATATCGAAAAATATACAGCGCGCGAATTTTAAATGAGAATTTCCGAAAACTTTTCAGTCTTAATGTAAGAACCAACTGATGTTTTGCTGAATATCGAAAATATTAGCCGATGTGCTGCATCGGAAGTTCACAAAAAATAAAATTACATAAAATCGCATCAATGTACCGGATTACTGAGCAAATCTGAGAACCTCTAATGTTAAAAAAGATACAGTATATAACAATCAATTAGCTTCTAAAAATAAAAATTAATCGGACTACTAATTTAACAAGTTTAAATATAATTTAAATATCTCAATTAAATTTCAAATATATATCCATACATATTTTTAAAGAAATGCGCTCTATGCTTATCTGTATATATAAAATCGTTTGTTCGTCTGTTCGTTACTCAATAACTTTTTAATGACTTTACTAATCTTCATGATACTCTCAGATCATATTTATATAGTTTTTAGGCATAACATAGGCTATTAAAACATTCGATATTAGTTATAATCTTAACATAAATAAAACAAACGTTATTAACATTGTTTAGGCTTTATCCTTAGAACTATGAAACAACGTTCACCGGGTCAGCTAGTATCGTAATAAATATGTATTTAAAATATTACTGTTTATAATATTATGAATAGTTACTTACCTTAACTTTAAATTAATTGAAGAAGAAACAATATTAACTTCGAAATTAGAATCTATAGCATTGTTTTTGTTTATTTTAGGTTCATCTAATTTATTGAAAGCAGCAGTGTTCGTAAAATTTGATGAGCCGAATACGTAGCTTAATCGGTCATATATAGATATATCAACTTCCATAGTACAGTTTTTAAGTTTAAGATTAATGAATGTAGTTACAGTTTGTTTCATATTATACGATAGACTTGAACTAAGATCTATTTCTATGTCAGGATTGGTGTGATAAAGTTCTGAAAAATTCTAAAAGAAAAAAATTATGAATTAAATATTTTATAAAATTTAAAAATGTTTAAATAATATTAGCTATTAATTATTATTTAATAAACTTACACTAAGATCTATTAAGATCTATTAATATTAGCAATTAAATATTAAATGAATTTACAATTTCCTTAATTAGAAAACAAAACTAAAGAGAAAAAACTAATAAACATATACCAAAACAACATAAATCGGAACTCATAATACAGAGGGGATAGATTTTTATTTTCTCAAAAGCTGATTAATAACAAGCAATTCAAATAAAAGGGTCTCTATCGGTATATAAGATAATAAACCTCAGCTATAGTCTTTTTAAATTGTTATTTTTAATTTAGTTAGCGACTTATGCTTCTTGGTATTTTATATTGGCTATTGATCTATAAAAGATTATTATATCGATAAATAAAAATACAGCAAAGAGGGTGCCCACTAAGATCTGGTCTAAAAACGTTCTACAACAAATTTCTAAAAAAATGCATTAGAAAAATAACCAAAATTTAATTGATCATAGAAAACTTATACTAAATAAATAAAATAATTACAATTTATAACTACATGTTAATATTAAGAAATAAATATCACATTCATCAAATTCATATCACAAATATAATTTTGAGTTACTCAATTAAAATTTAAATATTGTGATGCCTTAAAAGCAAATGGCTTTCTGCATGACGAGGCTAGCTGAACCACTATAACACTTTGCATAACTTGTACTGTTTTTAAACTTATTCTTATCCATATATCGAATTTTATAACATAAAATATAAACTGTAAAATTTGATCTTCTATTTTTTCAGTTACCTTAGTTTTCTCAAATAAAATTAATGGTGTAGCTTTTGACTCCAACACTTCATACAGATTAAATTTTGCTATAGATATCTTTAAATTTTCAAGCAGAGTTATTTTATTTCGTTGCTGGATGCCCTCTGCAAAAATAGGTAATAGTTGAAAAAAAATGTGATTTTTTTTACACAAACATTGTTCTAAATATCCCTCAATAATATTATCATTTATATTTGAGAAGAAATTATCTGCGGCTAAGTGCATATCCGCTTGACTTTTCTCATTAAATAGATCGTAATCCTCATTCATATTGCTGGTGATAAGTATATCTTCTTGAAGAATTACTCCAACAATTGATGCGATTCTTATATTAAAATTTAAAATTTCACTGCATGAATCCATACTTGTAGTTTTACGTTGAACTCTAGAACTTGAAGCAGTGCTTACAGAACTTATTGATGTGCTTAAAGAATCATTATACAAGTTCGTATTTGCAATGTTAGTACCCTTAAGTGAGTACACATTATCACATTTAGAAAACTGCTCTTTAAAATCATCAACCCAATTTCCCTGGTGATTTAGATTTCCTGACATTGGATATTTATAAATGCAGTGATGTGCTTTACTTGTACAATTTTTTTGGCAGTTAAAATCTTTAGTTTTTTTAGGGTCTCCACTTTTATCGTCATTGAAAGCAGTTAATAGTTTTAAAATTACATGTATTTGTCGAGGAGTTATAAAAGTAAATATTGAACCGAGTTCTACATCTAACATCATTTTAGGACCCCTTACATCTTCCGTTTGTTTTATTTTCATTTGAATTTTTTGTTCATTCCTTAGCTCAATTATGGTGTTTATGCTAAATTTACTTTCTGAAGTGCTATTAGTAAACATTGACATTGATGATTTCCTTTTTGGAATAATAAATTCCTCCGTGGAAATTTTAACACCGAGAATTGTAATATTATGTTTCGCAAACATAGGTAAAAGCTGTATATGTTCAGATGCAAACTCATTTTCAATATTTTGTTGTGTGGTATTAGATAAATTTTCCAAATGTAGGTTTTTGGCACTTCCTGTTTCATTTTTATAATATATGCTTAAAATGTTTAAATTTATACCAAGACCACTAGTTTCATCTGACCTGGAGTATTCAAGTCTTAACAATGTATTTGTAAATTTAGCCGTAATTCGATTTAAAACTAAAAATGAAAATATATTAGATAGCTTGTAAAAAAAATTAAAAAAATTCACCATTATCTATTGTTTCTGCAAACTTTTCTAATCCAGCAATAACATTTGTATGAGATTCAATGTCATTATCACCTTCGGTTTGTTTCATACATTCTTCAGCTAATTGCATTGAACTACTGGCAGATGACCACATAGATTCCACCATAGATGTGCCGTCATAGTACCTTTTGATAGGCCGAAATGTTATATTTAGGTCGTTTACTTCTATAGAACTGTCACTTGTCATTAACGCATTCCACGGAACAACTACGGTTAACTCTCCAATGTGACCACTAGAAACTTCGAAAGGCCAGCCTTGGTCCTCAAATAGTTCATTTATAGCCTATTTTGAAAAGTTATAAATATAATTAATATACACTGCATACAATATAAAATAATCGTTATAACAATTGTGCAAATTTATGACGAAAATTTGGAACTTAATTTGTATTTAAAATAAATACATATGAACAAATGAATTATTTTGACTAAAATTCTGTTCTCTTAAAAGAATTTCAAACTAAATACTTGACCGATGATATATATTTACCTCTACTTTTAAAGAAACATTTTTTATAGTTGCTCTGCCATTAAAAAGTTCAACTTTAAGTTGTTCTAAATTTAATTGTTCCTCCAAAAACTTCCCTAAGTATCGTTGGAGCAAGTACCTACATATTTTATTTTTTAATCCGTCCCATACGTTAAACCAAGACATTTTGGTTTATCATTTAATTTCTTTTGAATATGTTTTAGAAGAAAAACCTTAACACGCAATAAAACAAACAACAAATGTTTGAAAATTTGTTTTACAAATACGCATTTGTTTATATTTTTATTTAATTTAACAAATGTAAATTTTTAGAAAATGACGTCTTAGTTAAATCAGGTAGAACAATTTAAATAGAAATAGCACACAGTGCATCAGTATATATGCTAACAGATAAAGATATTCATTATTAGAGTTAAACTTGATATTGATTTCACATTCACAAGGAACAAATTTATTTGCTTTGACAAAAGAAACTGATAAATATAAAACAATAACCAAACACAATCAACCAGTGCGTTTTTGTAATGCAGCAGAGAACAATTGCTTATCGATAATGACAACAAAGAACATCAACAAGAAACAAACAGCTGATTTTGTTTTTCTGTTATCGATATTGTAATGTTTGTGCAATGTTATTATATGTTATTTCTTCATTAAAGTAATTTCTTTGATTTAGGTTGCTAATCTACTTAACTTAAGTAAAATAACACCAAAATTGTCAAGTGTAATATTGCAAGATATTTGTAAGCTAAAATTATAATACTAAAATTCGTTTTAATTTTATATAGTTAGTAAATACATATCAATTAATTTTTTTTAATTAATTTAATTATATATATACTTAAAAATTTGTTTTATTTTTGAATAAAATAAATTTTAATTTAAGTAAATGTTAAATTATAGTACGTTTTATTTCTTAAGTAAACAAGCTTGTACACAAAGTTTTATTTCTAAATACATATAAAATAGATTAGGTTTTGGTATGTCTAACATTAAATTACTTACTATTATTGAATGAAATACTTTCCATTTTACATGATCGAAATTATATGCATACATATGTATGTGAATGGAATAGTTGAATAGTTAAACATATTTATATGTTATACAAGTTTAAGTATCGTAGTAAAATATACCCAATTTACAAATATGTTTAATAATATATTTAAATGGAACACTATATCAAGAGATTAAGCAGAAATTAATTTTAAAACATTCATCATTCAATATTAAGCTAAGCTAACATAGGACAATGGAATGTTAGAACGCTTTATCAACCAGGAAAATTTGCTGTGCTTTCAAGAAAATGTAATCGTTTAGGTGTAGATATCCTCGGTATAAGTGAAGCTAGATGGAACGGTTGCGGAGAACTACTTTAATAATTTATTCAGGCATGCCAAACGACAGTGACCCTCACATACTCGGAGTCGTAGTTTATCTCACAAGAAAAGTTAAGAACGCTATCATATCTTGGCAAGCGCACTCTGAAAGGATCATAAGCGTACGATCACGAGCTAAAAAGTTTAATATATCACTCATCCAATGCTATGTTCCGACAGAAGAGAGTGAGCCTGTGGCTAAGGATAATATTTATAGTATGCTAGATGGTGTGCTCTCGAGCGTACCAAAAAATGATGTTATAGTCTTGGTCAGAGACTTCAACGCACAGATCGGCCCAAACAATCAGGGATACGAACATGTTATGAACACACATGCTACGGGCAATCGAGGCGAAAATGGAGAATTGCTACTAGAAATATGCGCGCGCTCCGCTCCAATCATTACGCGGCAAATAAATTAAATATATTTAATGCGTGTAATAAATTAACCTTGCTATACGGTTGTGAGACGTGGCACACTTCATGCACTGTCATAAACAGGCTGCTATCCTTCATCAACAGAAGCCTAAGATATATTTTAAAAATCTGGTGGGCGCGAATTTTTCGCAACGAAACGCTGTGGCGAATTTGTCATCAAAAGAGCGTCAAAAAGGAAATCAACAAGCACAAATATGAATGGATTAGCTATACGCTCAGGAAGAGCTCAAACGAAATACCCCACGCAGCGTTAGAGTGGAACCCACAGCGCCTGCGAGGAAGAGGTAGGCCGAAAAATACTTGGCGCAGAACTGTCACAAGTGAAACAAGTAAATCTTTTAGCGAGCTTAAAGCAATAGCTCGGCAACGCAATAACTAGAAAACATTTTAAATTCTATAATATAAATTTGATGTACATGAAATGTTCTTTGTAATCAGACTAAATTTATAATTTTGTTAAAATATAAATATGTCCTAATTATAATAATAATTAAGCTAAAATAAATTTTTGTTGCTTTTAATATACATAATTGTATTTGTATAATTTGTAATAACAATGAAGATTATTTAATTTAAAATGTGTTTTTTATATAATAAGAGTTATTATATAAAAATATAAATTTAAAACCGCGACCTAAACTTCGGCAAAATTTAAAACAATAAAAATTAATAATAGCACATTCCATTAAACTAATTGTCAAGTTACTTATTCCATTCTCCATATTGCACTTACTTTTGCTAATCACTTTTCTATAGAAGTGGACTACATTCTCTGTGTCATACATTATTATATCTATAATAAATAATGTGTCTAAATAATAATGGTAAATACATAAAAAATTTTCCACTACAAATATAAGTATAATTATAAATTAATTAACAAATATTATAAATTTGATTCCATCCTATGACTGAATTGTGTATTGTTCTAACATAATATTATATAATATTACAAATTTTCATTCACAAATGAAATCTCTTCAAGAATTTTTCTAACTCTAATCATCATATATTACGATTTTTCTTAAACCATAATAATTTCATTTTATCAAATAATTTAACTTGTGTTTTACTTTATGGTTATTCCGTTAAATATTATATTAATCTTAAAATGAAAACCTGGACTTTCAAGCAGTTTGGTAACAGCTTGCTTGCAAGTGTAAGCAGTCTATTTTTGGAATGTATATAGATTTTAATTCTGTCAAAAGAGGAATTGCCTATCTTGTGATGTATCATGTGATTGTTGAAATTTTATATACAGTATTATATTGATTATCATTTGTAAGGAAGATGGCTTTGCACTCTGCTATAAAAGGAAAATTAATATCCGTAATTGGAGATGAGGTAAAGAATAATTAATTTAATATACTACTACAATTATATGAATTTTAGGACACTTGCGTTGGATTTCTTCTGGGCGGAGTAGGGGAAATAAACAAAAATCGTCACCCCAATTTCATGGTGGTTGATAAAAGTAATGCACCAATTAATAAAATAAAACTTTTTGTAAAAATGTTTTTATAGATACTGCTGTAAGTGAAATCGAAGATTGCTTTAAAAGATTCTTGAAGCGTGATGATATCGACATTATCCTTATTAATCAAAATTATGCCGAACTTATTCGTCATGTAATTGATGCACATACTTCGCCAGTGCCTGCCGTACTGGAAATTCCTTCTAAGGATCACCCTTATGATGCAAGCAAAGATTCCATTTTAAGACGTGCTCGGGTATTTTAACAAGTTAATAATTTATGAATATAAAATCAATAATCAATTATATTTCAGGGTATGTTTAATCCCGAGGATTTAGTCCGTTAATATTTTTGCTTCTATACTAGTGATGTAGTTTTGAACTAAATAAATATATAAAATGCTACAATAATTTTAATGTATTAAAAAATGTAGTTGTGCATTCATATTAATATTGGATTTGTTTATTTTAGAAATATAAATAAAACTGTTTTTTGTTTTCGTTATTAATTTATAGTTCAATACTTTAATCGAGTATTAATTTTCTACAATAAATGACTGGTATTAGCAATCCCTTTCTTTCTGAACGGAACTTATTTACAAAACATTTCAATAAATATCAACACCACAGCTTATATGTATTAAAATCCACATCCGATATGTATTCAAAAAATTTAATTTATTAAAATGTTTATTAAAATTGTTTTTATGGTAAATATGCAATTTATGCATAGATTTTTGTAATTTGCTCCTGAATTTAGAAAACTCTAGAAAGTTAAGAAAAGCACAATAGTTGGAATAAGTCAATGAGTATTTCCACACTAAATGCTCATCACATTTAAGGCATATGATGAGACACCCACAGTTCGCAAGTCTGAATAAACGATATGAATAGTTCCAAAATATCTCAAAACCTAATTTGGATCTAAAAAAATCAGAACACGCTGTATTCTTTTCTCTCCTCCTTATTCCCTCGAATAGAACTCCCTTATTCTGAATTGCTTGGGAGACAGTTATTTTGGGGACAACAAAAATTTCAAATTTGTTTTATTGAACTTTGGCACTTTTTAATGACGAAAAGTGCGAAAATTAACAAAACAAAAGAGAAGAATGCGTTTGCAGCACAAAATATCAGAAATAAATATAATGAACACTTTATAAGGAAATAATAAAAAAACTTTTATTTTATTTATTAGATATTTACATAAATTATTTTTTCTTATATACAATTAAACAAAGTAAAATATCTTATTTATTAATTGGAATTATTCAGGTAAATTCTGGAAACTCCCAGGGAGTATAAGTGTTCCTATTCCCAAGAATACAACTCCCTTATTCTGAATTGCTTGGGAGACAGCTGTTTTGGGAGCAACAAAAGTTTCAAACTTGTTTTGTTAAATTTTGGCAACCATGGCACTTTTTAATGACGAAAAGTGCGAAAATAAGTAAAACAAAGAAAATAATTGTGTTTCATATGATGATTTAAATGTAAAAATCGCGTTTGTTTGCTGCACATATTATCAGAAGTATAATTATCAAAAATATAATGATTACTTTATAAGTAAACAATAGAAAATTTTGATTTTATTTATTTATTTTATTATTTAAATATATATGTATATAACTTAGTATTTTCATATATTCAATAAAGCAAAAATATCTTATGTACAATATGTAAAATATCTTATTTATTAATTGAAATTATTAATGTTTTAACTAAAATTTGAGCTCCTTTCCAAAAGTCGTATTTATTTTACAATTAGGATAGAAATGTCTTTAAATTAATAAACTAATAGTTTATGATAGTGCAAATATTTCAATAAAAAAGAAGCAATGTATTCAAAAATCTGATCATTATAAGTTACTTTCATATTAAATTAAACTATTTTTAACATTTTTTTAACTTGTCTCCCAAACATTTTGCTTAGGCCAATTTTGTGCAAAATTGGGAAAAAAAATTCCCATTCCTATACGATTCAGAATAGCAAAATTGGGAATAGGGAACAAAACTCCCATTCCTATATTATTCAGAATAGCAAAATTGAGAATAGGGAACAAACTCCAATTCCCATGCGATTCAGAGTAGGGCTGATTATTTTAATAAAAGTATTATAATAAATTTAATATATTTAAGTTTTTATTTTATCCACTAGGGTTTCTTTCCACAAATTAAAGCATTGCAATTCTTTTCGTTATTTAAAACAATAGATAATGAAAGAAACCCAAATTGTGAAATAAATGGGATTCCTAGAATAAGATTAATATATAACTTTTTTAATAATGTACAGTTAAAACATTGCTTCTTTTTAATTGTAACATCTACACAATCATAAACTATTATTACAGTTTATTAATTTAAGGATATTTCTATCCTAATTATAAAAATAAACACAAGTTTTGGAAAGGAACTCAAATTTTAGTTAAAACATTAACAATTTCAATTAATAAATAAGATATTCTACTTGGTCTTATTGCCTATAAGAAAATTATATACATATTTAAATATTAAAAAAAATAAATAAAATAAAAATTTTCTATTATTTACTTAGAAAATATTCATTATATTTATTTTTGATAATTTGTGCTGCAGACAAATAATGCGATTTTTACATTTAAAACAACATATGATACGCAATTCTTTTCTTTGTTTTGCTCATTTGATTCAGAATAAGGGAATTGAAAACAAAACTCCCATTTGATTCAGAATAGGGGAACTGGGAAAAAACTTCATTTCTATATGATTCAGAATAGGGGTAATTATAACACTGCTGAATATGCGATATACAATTGTAATCTTAATGTTCGCACTTGCCAAACTTGACAATGACAATGATCACTTGTGCCCCATGCAAGTTGTTGAATTACAATAAAATTGCACAATATAGCGTAATCAACATTTTTGGTAATACATTTGACAAAACCTGTACAACAAATATTCGCTATTACAGATTTGTGGCGTGGTGACTGAATATATATTTTCGATAAATTTTGTAACGAACACATACATATGGCAACTTCCCTAACCATCTGTTGCTACTTTGCTTTTGCCGGCTGTTGTCCACATATCCGGCTGTTGAAACTCCGTATCGCGGTCATATTATGTCCATGGTTACAACATACGAATATATTCGAAATCATATCTTAATAATACTTAAAACCACAAAAGCACTGCTATATAATAAATACATATAATTATATATTTATTATTTGAAAACCAAATAATTTCTTGATATATTGTTTTCACAGGCTAATTGATTAATTTTTTTGAATTTACAAAAACAATTTTAATATATGTTTATAGAGACAAGCATTTTTTATTTATTGCGCAGTAAACAATTTAATCATACAAAGCTTTTTGCGCCTTTTCCCATGCTGCCATTGGTCCATGCTCGGGCCTATACTTAACATTGCAACCATCTTGTTCCAAACGATTACTTTCACGAAGTTCCTCATAACGCTCTCTGTCGTACTTTGTGAAACCCCATCTCTTTGATACATAAATCTGAAATGTAAAATTTAAGAATTAATTCACTTCTTTATATTTATTTTAAAAATTATAATAAACGGTTACAAAGAGCGATAATAGTTTTAGCATTACTAGTCTCTATTTGGTTCTTGAAATATTGCCCATGCATTGTGGTACAATTAGATTTAAATAATTTGAATCTGAAAATATATATATTATATACGTATATATACATAGTACAATTAGTTCACAGTTCTAGTAAATCTTTACATTAATTCACATATCACATGCAATATTCCCGCCGCTCAGTTTATTATTTATATCCGTTTAACAATATATGCACATATATATTCATATTATTACCTTTTGACGTCCAGGGAACTTGAATTTCGCACGACGCAAAGCTTCAATAACTTGGGCCTTGTAGCGGTCGCTAGAACGTACTGACATGATTGGTTGACCAATATGTACTCTGGCAACAGTGCCCTGTGGTTTACCGAAGGCACCACGCATTCCTGTTTGGAGCCTAAAAAAAAAAAGAAATGAGTATCAATTCCACATTAAACAAAAAAAATTTTTTTTTGTCTTTCTAATTTCAGATCTTTTAATGAAATCATTTAATCATAGTCCAATGCTCTATTGTTTCATCACTGTTATACGTATCTTACTTTTTTTTATTGAAGTTGGTCAAAAAAAATCTATTAATCAACTAATATGTTTAGATTACACCAATTCATTAAAAACTGCACATGTTTAGCACTTATTGATAACAATATTTGTTTGACCAACTGCAAACATATTTAACATCGTTTATTACCTATCAGCTCCAGCGCATGAAAGCATTTTATTAATGCGTATAACATGGAATGGATGCAGCCGCATTCTTATGTGGAACTGGTCCTTACCACAGAATTTTACTAGATATTTATTGCAGCAAATGCGACCTGCCTCAAGTGCTTCACTGCTAAGTTGCTCATATTCATCAGATACCAAATGAACACAGAGAGGAAAATCCTCAACAGATGCCTTTTTCCTTCCCAAATCAAAGATCCTTATTTTGGGATCTGGAACACCACGACAAAACCGTGATTTGGGATAAGGTTTATTTTTACAATAACGATAACTGAAAATAGTTTTTAATGTTTAAAAATATATTTCTTTTCGACTGAAATTAACATACCATCTAGCGGGCCGTCTCCCCATTGTAACCTTAAAAATAGTTAAGAATATGTAAAAGAAAAGAAGATATAAATAACATATAAAAATTTGGTTAAAAGAACTATTAGTATTGAGGAAACACTTTTCAGATTTCAACAGATTAATATTTACCTTCCTCGTTCGATCGCGAAAAAGGCTAAAAAGAATGAAACACCGGATGTTAAGAGCAATGATTAAGTTAGCTGTGCTTATAAAACTGCTGTCTATTTCTCCAACGCATAGCAAACATGCTGGACGACAGAAATTTTTGAACATAAATTATATATATAATAAGTGTGTCTATTCCTCATCATGTTTTATTATATATATATAACAAATCAATCATTAATAAAGTCAAGAGTAATTAAAATATGGTAAACTTTTTTTTATAAATACAAATAGAGTCAAACTTCTATAACTCGAAAGAAAAGGTTTGCAAAGAAAAGGTTCGACTTATGGAGACTTCGAATTTTTTATTATTTTTTTATTTCTGTTTTATTTTTGATAGAAACTAGAATTATATTTTTAGATATTTATTTATTTATTTAAAATCAAATAGGTACAGCACACAAGTTGTAGTGAAGTAAAATAATTAAAAATTAGTGTTTGGGATTTTAATTTTTTTTCTTATTTTCAATAAAAAAAGATTTCAATTTGTTCCAAGCTTTATAGTGATCATCAGTTGAACTATTATTCGTTTGTATATAAAAATTCTGAATTATGAATGAATTTTCTATTTCATTCTTAGAAGGCTAATGAACAATTTCATCCACCGAACCCTCATCATAACTTTCCGTTGCGCTTGTTGTACAAATTTCATTATCAAGCTAAATATAATTGTTAAGAGTCGCATTGGAAGTTAAATTATTTACTTTAAACTACGCTGCCAGAGACTGACATTTGCACAAAGAAGCAACATAAAAAAGAAAAAATTAAACATTTGGTTAGGAAAAAGGGATCTTCCCTAACAGCAAAATGCATTTTTACTTAAAACAAAAATTCGTCTTATAGAATACACTTTCCCATATTCTTATCGTCACGGAACAAAATTTTTGTTCGAGTTATGGAAGCAGAATTGTATGTAATTTGGTGTCTAAAACCTTGGTGCACTGTTTTTGGTTCGAGTTATATAAGTTCGAGTTATGGAAGTTCAACTGTATTATATATATAGAAAAAAAATAAATATATATACAGCGGTCAAAAAAAGTATTCATTAACGAAATTTTTTTAAAATGTTTGTAACAACGGTAAAGCGGAACAAACAAATAATGCAATTTTCAACAATTGGACTTAGTTTTTTTGTTTGTTTTTACTGCAAAATTTAAAAATAAAATAACAAAATAATCAATTTTTGTAGAACACCAAAGTATGAAGTAAGAAAAGTATTCGTGATTTATGCAACAGACTGCAATTTTGGTAAGAAAATCTGGAGAAGTCCACTTGGTTTTTGTTATGAACAGTTTTGTGTAGTGAAGTTTTGACTTTTTCAAATAGAACGTAAGCGAAATGAAATTTCGGATAAAGTTAAAATAATTGTAATTATATATTAAAGAAATGGATTAAGTGAAAAAGAAAATTGATGAAATAGTATAAAGATCAAAAACTTACTTATTTATTTAGTTGGCCTTACTTACTTAGCCGAGTAGCCTCTTAGTTCTTTTTTCACCTAAAAACAAGTTTCTCTTTTGTCGACTTCGTTCTTTAGCAGCGCGCATTACATCTTACCGCACGGCACTGCGTATTTCTCTGCGCTAGCGTCACGGCACTCTTGGTTATACCAGCTGTTTCTTTGTTTACGGTGATAGCTAATTTCTTCTGCAGCATAACGTAAAGTGTTGAAGATGAGGTTTCATTGCGCGCATATATCGGTTTCTTCAGATTCATTTTACAGATACTGATAGAGTCGAGTAATATTTTTTCACATGCAAGGATTTTGACTGCAACAAGATAATGATCCGAGTTGATGTTGACTCCTTGGATGATACGCTCATACAAGACACTGGAAGCATACCTTCCGTCTATCACAACGTGATCAATATGTGATCTTGTTTTTGATCAGATGATAGCCGTGTTGCCTTATGTGTATTGAGATGTTAGAATGTGGTACTACTAATCACCATGTTAATAGCCGCAGCGAAATCAATCAATCGCTTCCACTTTTACCTCCACTTCCATTCCCCAGAACCCACTTCCATATTCTTCTTTTAATTTCAGTGGAAGCTTGTATATGTTTCATATTTTCAATATTCTTCTTAAGAATTTGTTTATGAATACTTGGATGTGCGATTGACTTGACGTACTTATTTGATTAGAGTACCGCATATTGTTTAATTTCCCGAATAGCTGACTTGGCTTTACTTATTCGAGCCGAAACGTCTTATTCAGTACCACATGCAGCATGATGATACTGCACAAATATGTAAATGATTTTACGTGCACAACTGCGTCGTTACCAATTCCAATCGATGGTTGATCCGGTATAATGTAGCCGCTACACATTACTTTTGTTTTTTCATAGCTAATGGACAGGACGACATTGGATGCACAGGAACTAAACGTGTCAATTTTGTTCTGTAACTCTGACCTTTCAGGACTTTGAAGACAGATTCGTCTCATACTCAAAACCGACAAGTTTGCTAAGTGGTGTCCATTGTATTCCGGTATTGGGGACAGTGTACAACCTTTACGCCCGTATTGACCCCAAAGGTTTCGTCTCGTTGTACAACACTTTTATGATATTTAAAACTTTAATAGAGACACCTCGCCTTACAAGAGTATTCCATTCCTATGGAGTTCCTACTCCCTGTCAGAGCTGTCGAAAGCTTTTCTGAAGTCAATGAAACCAGCATACACTGACCTGCTAATCTCGTTACATTGCTCAAAAATAATACGGAGAGTTAATTAAATTAACACAGGCACGGTTTGGTTGTGTAACGACTATAATAAACAACAACGTCGTCACAACAATAAATTACTATTATCAATAATTTCCATTTTCCTTTGGGTGTAAACACAAAATTTATGTTTTTGTTTTATATGCAATGAATTCGAGTTGAGCTGAATACCGCAATAACAACAACCGAAGTCCCGTTAAAAGTAACCAGAATAAAAGGAACAAACAGGCTACGGAGCAGAGCACTTCGCAGCACAAAAGGAAACATTTAAACAGGTAATTAAGTAATTTATAACACATTGATTTCCAACCTACCAGCGTAGCCTAGGTGGTAACGCTAATTCCAAGCAACGTAGGATAGTCGGTAACGTTGATTCCCAACCTACCAGCGTAGCCTAGTCGGTAACGCTGATTCCAAGCAACATAGCCTAGTCGGTAACGTTGGACACTCCTCCTAATGCTAACTCGATTTTCTTTTTACAGGAATTATAATAATTTTCCATATTTGTAATAGTAATAAAATATGTTAGTAAATAAGTATAAATATAAATATTGTAAAAATTTTTATTTGTAAAAATAAAAATAATTAAACTGAAATAACCCGGTTTTTAAATTATTATACGATGAGAAAATTAAGGGTTATAAAGAAATTTTCTTGTAACAACCCTGGAATCCGGCGAGCGAAACCTCGGTGGAAAGGTTTATTACAGTTGAAAATCGTAATGATATTCTCATAGACTTCCTTCTACGGCTGCTAGCATTCTTGATAGAATTATCTAAGAGTAGGATGCCTTTTTTGGGAAACTTTACTAAGATACTCTTGTTTCATAGTTTCAGTCTTTCGAGTCGTTGGGCAATCTTTTTAATTAAATGGCGTTATACCGTGAAGTCCTACCGATGTCAGGCGAGAACAATGCCAGCAAAACCATGATCGAATATACTGAGTTTATTAGCAATTGTGCAAATAAACTTTTAACACTATAATACTATTACAGTAGCTGATTTTTTCATTTTGAAAATAGAGAACAGATCTGGTCCAAGAACCTTTGAATGTTGATAGTCGGGCTTCTGGACTGAATACAAATGGACACCGCCCGCTATACGATAAAGACCAAGGTAAACCTAGATCTTGTAGTATAGTAAAATTAATAATCATGCGTACAGAGAGTCCTATCCCCAGGACTTCAAATCTGGATTGTGCACAGGGTTTGGCACCCGTCACGTAAAATTAGATGCCAATGAAAGAAGTAAGAATGCGTCGGAATTAGAAACCTAAGAGTTAATTGCACTTTAGGAATTTAGGTTGGAATAGTACGATGACCACACATGCTTATCATTTCCTCTTGTCTTATGTTACAATAGTCTTATGATAGTGGAGTACTATCACCCCTAATGTGGAGTATGATAGTGGATGAACTTTTGGTAAAACTGGATAGGAATGGTTTCCAAATTCAGGGATACGCTAATAATGAGGTAATAATCTGCAGAGGAAAATTCGAACATACTCTGTGCGAAAGAATCCAGTTAAGCCTAAAACTAACAAAAGAATGGTACAATTCTGTTGGTCTGAAAATAAATCCAGCAAAAACAACTATTGTACCATTCACGAAAAAACACAAAATAAAAAATCTTAAACCCATCCGCTTAGATGGGATAGAAATAAAACTACAAAAGCAGTTAAAACTTTTGGGTATGTGTAAGCATAACAGGAGCAATGAGAACATGTCCCACGACATTAATTGAAGAACGCCTGGAACTCACGCCTTTTCACATCCATGTGCAATCACAGACGAAGAAGGCTGCTCTTAGAGTAATCACAAACAGGATGACTGGTCTTGAAACCATCAGCAAAAAATCTAATACTCTGGCTGCACAAATCCCAGAAACTGAAATGCCAATGGACAGGATGATTGTAAAGTATGACTTCACAAAAAACTTCAAAACTGATCTTGGCAACAAAAAGAATTGGGAAGGCTTTTCCAAAACCCAAATAATAAAAGAAAACATGATAACATGGTATACAGACGGTGTTTATGGACCAGGCAAAAGATACTTGGAAGCACTGGCAAATAATTCAACTATCTTTCAAGCGAAAATATACGCGATAGATAGATGCGCCTGTTTCAACCTTTAACGTAATTACCGGAATCGTAAAAGCGCAATATTGATTGACAGCCAGACATCTATAATGACACTTATATCCTGCCATATATCATCTAAACTGGTATGAAATTACATTGACAAGCTGAACATACTTGGCTGGAGCAATCCGGGACATGCTGATATCCAAGGCAATGCAATGGTAGACGAACTTGCAAGAAGAGGCGCAGGCTCAAGAATGATAGATCCAGAACCATTCTGTGGTCTAGGCAAAGGAACTCTATTCTTATGAATAGTGCAGAGGAAAAAGAAGCAGAACTCTATTGGAAAAGAACTCTATTATGTTAGGGCTTGTTACAATCCGCATCAAGAGAAAATTCTTCAACGTTACTCTAATTTGTGCCCATGCGCAAAGAAAACGACGACGTGATCTTTTGATCAAGTACCTACCACGTGAGACGCGAAGAAATTTATAACCCCGGTGCCGTCCATGATGTTAAAATTGTGCTCGGAAATTTTGACGCACAGGTCGGAAGAGAAGAAATTTTTGGTCTAACTGTCGCAAAATTCAGCCCCCATGAATCAACCTCCAACACCGGTCTGAGGCTTCTAATTGACTTCGCTGCGTACTAGAAAGTATCTAGTACCTGATTCCCACATGACCATAACCAGGCAACCTGACTATCTCCTGATCAATAAACTCGAAACCAGATAGATAACTTCGTGATTGACGCAAGGTACGCTCCAAGTGTGATGGCCGTAGTCCAATTCCGTGGTCCAAATATCGACTACGCTTATTGAGACGGAAGGAACGAGATCAAGAAACATGCGAGTGAGAGGAAGTCGAGGTGTGTAGAAACAGGAATGATGCCAGAAACTCTATCAAAAATTAACCGTCTAACACAAGGCTTCAAGCCTGGAGTATTAACCTGCAAGGTAATCTATTTACGGAGTGTTAATATGACAAGGTTAATATGACTCTACAGAATTATGTTGAGCAATACCCATAGCTTCGGCAAGGCAGGATCGAGTCTCCGAACATTTTGATACCGTGTGAGGCTGCAGACAAGGTGATTATCATGTGATATTTTCACTTTCGTCATGGAAGTAATTATGCGCAGGGCAGGTGTTCATCGTAATGGAACAATATTCTACAAATGTGTCCAGCTCCATATTTATGCCGACGATATTGACATCATTGGGCGTAGCATTCAAGTAAAGAATCATTATTTCTTATAGGCGGTACTGGATGGACTCAGTAGGAAATTGGGATGTAGCGTTCTCTCTCGACAAACAAAACTTACGCTCTATAGGTTGGTTAGCTTCCCTGTGCTTCTTATGACGCAGTAACATGAACGTTGCTACAGAATGATGAAGCAGCATTGAGAGTGTTCGAGAGAAAAGTTCTTCGTAAGATCTTTGGTCGTCTACGAGTTGGCGACGACTACCACATACAAATGAACCACGAGGTGTACGAGATTTATCACGAGATTAATTTGATTTCAACGAATTAACATCTAGCGGCTTCGCTGGCTTGGTTATGTCGTGAGAATAGATGAAGATGCTCTAGCGAAAAAGATATTTAAAGAAGTTGTTGAAGGATGAAACCGTAGAGGTAGACCGTGTCTCTGGTGGTGTGATCAAGTTGAGGCACCTGGAGAGATATGCAGCGTCAGGTTAAAAACCGGTAACGGGTTCTTATGGCCACATAAGTAAGTTTTATTAAATTCTAAGTCCTAATAACTTTTATTCCAAAAGACTGTTTCAATCACGCTTTTTAATAGTAGAGAAACAATGGTCCACTAGATTATTGTTTTTATACACTGTTATTTCAGACAATATTGCCCAAGGTTTTGTGAAAAGTAAAACAAATTTATGATTAAAATTGCAAAAAACAATTTTTTTGTTAAAGTTTCTTCAAATTGACATTCACTGCTGCATTGTATCGGGTTGTATTTTTATTTAATATTTTCTAACATTAATACTATTAAATGAAGTCAACCTCCGGTTAAAGTTCGAGGTTGGTTGTGCCTATATCTATATGGCAAAATCGACTTTGGTTGCTGGGTTTGCGCTCAAAGTCGATTCCAGCCAGCAAAGTTCATAATGTAAACATAGTATTAGGGACGTCAAGTGTTAAACTTGTACTTTGCCAAATTTTCAGTACAGAATCACTCTTTAGTCAGCTATATAATCAACCAAACAAAAATTTTAAAATAATGTGTAAAAATTAAATTTAACAATATTAAGAGATAGGGGTCCATTGATTAAGTCTTAAAAAAGATACCGACAGCTGAGTTTATCACGCATATTTGTTACTGAAAACAACACAAGGTCTAACCGTCTGTAGGGCATTTTAGACTAATCCTGCGTTCACATGCGAATCAAGTTCAACTTAGGTAAATTTGTATGGGAAATTCAGCTAAAAATAAAGTTGATTCGTAAATTCTGCATAGTCAACTTAATTTTAACTTGGACAGTTTACCGTAGTACAGTATTGTGCAGTACAAACTTGTGTTATTGTGATTAGTTTTAAGGAATGAATGTAATTTTTGTATAAAATGGAACAAAACTGTTACTTATCAACAGAGTTTGAATTGCTGTGACTATTTTTAAGCATTTAACAATTGTTGTTGCATTTGCGTTCTGCTTATTTCATTTTCGTAGTCAAAAATAATTGCTTGAAAATAGTGACAGCAATTCAAACCCTGCTTATCAATTATATAAGTATATGATTCTGTAGAATTTTCGAATCAATTCTGTCTTCAGAGGTCAAACTTCTCTTACAAATTTAATTAATTTGAACTTCATTTGGTATAGAAATTAAGAATAATTTCAAATGACAGCTAAAATTACAAACAAAACTCTTGTGCGAATTTAGTATAATGCACAATCTTGTGTATTATGGGTCTACGATAGTGCACTTAAAATAATTTATTTTTGGTTTTAATTTCAGTTTGTTCCCGCAATAACGACGATACCATATTTGTAAATTTAATTTTGTTTGTATAAGATCAGCAAAATATTTTGTAGGGTTGGAGATTTAATTTTAGAATAAATAAACATTAAAATAAAACATTATGTCTTTTAACGAAGGCACTACAGATCATGGTGAACTGAAGCCTCCTAAAGGGAGTAATTACTTAAAATTGCACCAATCACAAGTTATACATAATAGTATTCATGGAATTTCAATGTTATTAAATACTGGACTGAATGAGGAAAGCCTTGATATATGTGTAAAATTAATAGAAGCAGGTGTGCATCCTCAAGCATTGGCTGAAGTAATTTGCCAGATAAGACGTGAAGTTTCTTTGCTAAATACGTCTTCTTGATGTCCTTAAAACATACATAAACACGCTTAGATTTAAGAACAGTTTTTAAAAATAAAGGCGCTATTAACAATTATCGCATCTGCAGTCTTTTTTATTTATAAGTAATTTTTCGTTACAAATGTATTAAACTGAAGTGAAATATATTTGTAGGGTAAATTGTCAGTAAGAATTAATCGAAGGAGCACCCAATTCGGTTTGAAAGAAATAAAATATGGTTACAAAATCTAAGAGCCATGATATGCATATAGTCAGTGCAACACACAAGTAAAATTGCTGTAGCTATCAATGTGATGAGATTTTCTGGGCTTCATTACGGTAGTCATGAAAGTGTTTTTTTCAGCAATAAATGTCAGAACTTCGTTTTTTAAGACCAAATATATGTAATTTTATGTAATGATGCTAACATATTCACACAAAAACTATTAATTTTTAAATAAAGGCACAGTCTTCGTAAATAGGATTTATTAAGGAATAAAACTTAAAAGAGAAACTAGAACGAATTTCCATTTTTCAAAAGTTTTATTTGTTTGTGTAAAAAAAATTGTTATTGTAGAATTTGTGTAGTACTATTAATAAACCAAATGTTTTTAATATTAATTATATTTTCTTGACGGGCTTATTGGTCAGGATAATACCATATGCTGACTATAGAATATGGTCGAAATATCGGTTTAAACAAAATTTTTTAAAAAACAAAAACGATTTTTTAAAATTTTTTATTATTTAACTACTGATTAATTAGCTCATTAAAAAACAAGATAATTATTAAAATATATTGGAAACAACATTAATTTGACGTGGCCATAACTCTCTGTATAAAATGGCCTTTACTTTTTCCTCATTTTTAGTTCGGCACGAATTGCCAAAGTCTATCCATTACAGACATAATAGAAATTCAGTTGCTCATTTGCATTTGATGATGCGCATCATTTTCGTTTGAAATTGGTATTTATTTAATCAATATATATAATTTTACAAAAATTCGTATTGATATATAAATTATTTTATCAATTAAGATTTATTTTATGTTTCAGGAATAGCGATAACAAAAAATTGTCTAAGTAGTTGTTGTTATATGGAGTTATAATTCTTATAACATTCAATCTTTAAAACAAATCATTTAAAACTAAAAGTTAAAATATAATAAAATCTGACATATTATATTTTGCAAATATTTGCTATTTTCTTTTTCACCAAACCAACTATTATATTAGACGTTTTTGGTGGTTAGCAAGTATGGCAAAAAATTTGTTAATTTGTGTTAATAGTTTGCCTAATTTTTTGTTTATGTTTACATTTTGTGTCTTGTATATAATATGTCAAATTTCGATGATTTCCAATATTGCATTTGTCATTTTTGATATAATTTAACTATATTTAAAAAAAAAATAAAAAACATTGTAATGTTACAATTAATTTCTCCCTTTGAGAAATACAGTTCCGAAAGTTAGATAACTTGATGATTTTAGAAAAAATGCCATTTAGAATATTGTAAAACCTTGCGTTTCTCATTCTGTCATAATCATAAAACTTTTTTTCGCATTTCTCTAATTTGTCATTCATTTTTGCTCTTTGATGACCAATAATTATGCACGCATATTCTTTTTTTTCTATTTGAAATCAACCAATAATTTAAAAATAGATTTTCTGCTAAATACATTATGTCTTCAGTGTCCGTTTTCAAAGGAAACAAAACAGAACTGTCAATTCGCAAGCAATGTAATCGCAACTTGCGATGTGCTCGCATGAGAAAACATAAGTACGAACACGCAAGACAAAATTCGCATGTAATGTAACCGCAGCCTAAATAAGACAGTGTGAATGTGCTATAAATAAACAGTGGAAATATAATATAAGTACTTAATGAAAACTTTTTTATTATCAATTGAATATATAATATATATATAAAAATATATATAATTTTATATATCAATTATAATTATATAAAAATATATATAATTTTATATATCAATTATAATTTAATTTTTTTGTGTGATGTATTGTTAAGTGAAGTTAATTTATTTCAGATGGATAGTGACGAGAATTAATAAAGTTATTTATTTTCATTAATTGAATATGTAATAGATGTTTAAAGAATTATTTGTGATCCAATCAAATAAAATATTGATTTCAGACACACAAGCGGAAGAGATGCTGAAACGTGTGGACAGAAAGTGGCGAAAAGATACTTCTTGAAATTATGGGAGGAAAGATTTTTATTATTGCAGGCGGTTGACGGAACGTACATATTTTTAATGAGATTCAATAACAAATATATAAAAAAAATTAAAATAAATATACAAAAATTAATAGAAGTACAAGAAGAAAGTATAATTGAAAATTATTTAAATTTTTTAACTTATTTGTTGCATAAATATTCTAAACTATTATTACTTTGATAAATTGCAACAGTGATACCAATGTCTCGCTTCGCGTCTATGACCAGCAACTTGCTGTTTTTTTGCCACATTTGCGACCTAATATAAATGAGTAGGCGCCTAAATGAGACAGTGTGAATGTCTGTAAAATAAAACTCTGCTTTGTATACTTAGTGGTTGTTTTTGTAATCTCAGAAATAAAATGTACAAAATTGTTACAGGTAAAAATTTAATTTAAATTTAATTCCATTTAAAATGGAATTGTAATTTAAAATCCGATCTTCTATTTTTATATGTTCGAAGTATTTAAATTGATTATGTATAAATAAAATGGTTTATTACAAAAGTAATAGAAATCTTATATCATTTGATAATAACATTCTGTAATTGCATTGTGTTTCTTAGCGTGTAAGTATTTGAAAATAACTTCGCATTTATGTTGTTTGTGTTTTAATGTTATTTTATAATGTATGTACTCTGTCATAATTAAAATATTTAAACAAAATAAATATTTGAATGGTAAGAATTCACAACGTTCTTTTATTAATAAGTTAAATAAAGAAAAATAATTGGAAAAATAAAATATTATATACTGTGAAAATAATTTTATGATTGCGATTTTGAATATAGAACAATATAAGTTTTTTCCAATTTCAGTCGAACCCAGTCGAAAATATTGCTGTACTCCACACTCCATACATATGTCAAAGTTCACATTCTAGTCAATGACTTATTCAAAATATTTTCAGCATATGTATGAATTTGCGACAACGATGTAATAACATAGTACGTATTTTCATATTTAGTGTTTGCAATAACAAATCGATTTTCGGATTCACAAGAATCACCGTAAAATATATCTTGCTATCGCACAATGTTTAAACATTAATTTAGAAAAAGTCTTTTGTATTGCGAAATACTTCACCATCTGCGGCACCTAAGAATTTAAGTATATCAATATGAAACATAATATACATTCCGAAGCTATTTCCTTTTTTTTTTCTTTTAAATATTTTAAAATATGCTTCATCTGCGGCACCTAAGTATTTAAGTATATCACTATGGTACATAATATACATTCCAAAACTTTTTCTTTTTAAATATTTTAACTAACTTGAGATATTGACTTGTACATACGTGTATTCCATTGAAGCTGTAATCTTAATTTATGGAATGCATAAAGCTTCTTTTGAGTCAACCCAGAAAGGTGTACAATTTAATATTCCGAATAAATATCCTACTATTTGTTGAATGGAATAATACAATATTGAATCTACTTTTAATTTTTAAATATTTAAATAGTCTGGTAGCTTTTTAATTAAAATAAAATTTATTAGGATGAGTTTCTCTAGTTGTAGCCTTATTATTGGCTTAATTCAAACCAATCGTATGCATCCATCTGTATTTACGCTTAAAATTATATACATCTCTTTTCTTCAATAGCAAATTTCATAAGCAAAATAGATAACGTGAAACTATCTAGCAGCAAAAATAATGATGCCAATATTTTAAATTATTGCCTAACTTTCTTTCTTTCACTTTATATATACATTATTTATGAAAAACGCATTTTAAAGCATTGTTTATGGTATAAAAAAACAATGATTTTTTTTAGAAAATTATTAATTGATTAATGAGACGAAGAAAGATGTTTAGAACGTAATCATATCAACGAGGTGGCAACTATAGAATATTCATTTTGTTGCATGAAAAAACTTACTCATATTATTCCATAAAGTATTTTCCTGCTGCTGGCACTAGATAGTTGTTCGGTGTTTTGAGCGGAACCATTTTATAAGTTTTAATTATAATATAGTTACGAATATATACTATTTAAAGTAATAATACGACTTTTGGACAGAATGGCTTCCTGGTCTACGTATTTAGTCGTTCTTTTTTTGGCCGCTGTTAATGCTGAAATTTACTTAAATGAAAAATTTGACACCGGTAATTGATTAAAATGTTCAATAATGTTTTTATATCTTCTCATTAATTGTTTTTCTTAAATCTTGCGTATTCACAGATGCATGGGAAAATGATTGGGTGTACAGCAAGCATCCTGGAAAAGAATTTGGAAAATTTGTAAGAAGTTCTGGAAGTTTCTACAATAATAAAGAAGCCGATACCGGTAGGTTTTCAAGTTTAACTTTATTCATATTTTATTTTCGTTGTTCCTAAATGTTATATTCCTTTATCTAAATTTATTATTGATGTGCTAAATATATAACGCACCAAATAATATTTTATTATATTATCTATCGTTCGAAAATAACACGTTTTAGGTATTCAAACGTCACAGGATGCCAGATTTTATGCAATCTCGAAAAAATTTGAACCATTTTCAAATGAAGGCAAAACCTTAGTTATACAGTTTTCTGTAAAACATGAACAAAATATTGATTGTGGAGGCGGATACCTTAAAGTATTTGATTGTTCTTTAGATCAAAAAGACATGCATGGAGAGTCTCCATATGAAATTATGTTTGGACCTGATATATGTGGACCGGGAACTAAAAAAGTGCATGTTATATTTAGCTATAAAGGAAAAAATCATTTAATTAAAAAAGATATCAGATGCATGGACGACATTAATACCCATTTCTACACACTTATTGTAAAACCTGATAACACTTACGAAGTATTAATTGACGGTGATAAAACAGAATCTGGAAATTTGGAAGAAGACTGGGACTTCTTACCACCAAAAAAAATTAAGGATCCCAGCGCGAAAAAACCTGACGATTGGGATGATAAAGTGAGTAATATTTTTAATTTGACTTACTGTACTAAAATCGTCGCTGTCAATATGAGATTATATATATATATATATATATATAGACATTTGTTATATATAGTAATACATTTGTTATGAAGTCGACTTTCAGAGAAATAATTTTTTTTTTTTTGATTTTTAAGATTATTAATCTATACATAACATTTGAATAACACATTTTGGTGTATTTATTAAAAAATTAAATTTTTTGAAAACTTCTCAATTTAGAATAAAACTCTCAAAATTGTTAAACTATACTCCAATATATTTCCAACGTATCATAATCAGTTTATAGTTCTACTTCCTATAAGAAATTTAGACTAATAATGTAACAATTAAACTTCAAAAAAAATTTACTTGCACTGCATATACACAGGCCAGATATTAGCAATTTTTAGCAGACAAAACACATAAATATTTTGTTTACAGACAAAATTCAAAAATAATATACATATCCATTCGAACTTTTAGATCTTGCTTGGCTACCTGTAATAAAAGTGCAGCTCATGCTGCAGCTGTCAAACAATCTGTGCCGCTACTGATAAAAATACGATTAGAATGCAGTTTCACGACATGTCAGGCACAATCATAACTGTTTGTTTACAAGCCTTATATTCCTTCTTAAATAAATATATAGAAATATAAAAGAAGTATTATTTATATACTTATTTACACTTACTAAAATGATTACAGAGCCCATTACTCATATTTCAATAATATATTTAAAAAAAAATTTAAACAAAAGTTTAAGTTTAATTAAAGTAACATGCCGATATTATGGAAGATATACGTTTTTTTTTCTAAATTTTAATCATAAACAATTATATTTATATTACGTGAGTCATTTTTTGTTCAGTTCATTTTTCGCATTTATGTTTTCTTTTTAAAAATTCACTTTCATTTAATATTTTTCTCTTTCTACTTGATTCTTTGATAATATAAATTTATTTTATACAATTAAATATATATTTCTAAATATGCATACTTAATTTCATTTATAAAGTAATTAATCCCAAAATTAACAGCACAAAATTTTTGTTTATATTTTCGTCAAATATGAATGTGAAACCTGTAACGCTACAGAGATAGGGAATCTATATATTTTATAAATACACCTTTGGCAGCGTCAAAAGCTTTAGCTACACGATCAGTACGTAACTTTCATTTTCCGTATATATAACTTTGGCTGCATGATTAGACAGCTTCGACTTCAGCTACAGCTGCACCATTTTGTTTAGGCAGCAAGTCTGCTTTTCAGTATAAACGCTTAGTTACTTTTATATAAAAATCAGAAAAATGTAGTAATTTATCGAGTAAATTGTGGAGCTTACTGTGCACAATGCAAGTACCGAAACGAACCTTTTCTGTTAAAAGTAAAATATCAATATATTGCAAGCAGAAGCAAAAATGTTTGTTTACATTTGAGCCAAGAATATTGATGTAAAAACTTTTATTGCAACTTTTTCACAAATGCTAAAAAATATGTATTTTTTGTGAAGAATTAAGAGAATACTAAATATTCCCGTTAAAATCTTGCCACTGTAGGGGATTAATTTGATCCCCAAAAGTTCGAACAAGGATTAAATTAATTTGGCAGGGTATTTAAATAGAAATATAATACAATATTTTTGACATAAATAGTTTATTTAAAGTAATGTTTTTTTATCATTTTATAGGCCACGATACCTGATCCTGATGATAAAAAACCGGAGGACTGGGACAAACCAGAGCATATTGCTGATCCAGATGCAACTAAACCTGAAGATTGGGATGATGAGATGGATGGTGAGTGGGAACCACCAATGATTGATAACCCTGAATATAAAGGAGAATGGCATCCAAAAACACTTGATAATCCAAATTATAAAGGTGCCTGGGAGCATCCAGAAATTGATAATCCGGAATATATGCCCGATAATAATTTATATTTACGTAAAGAAATATGTATAGCTGGCTTTGATTTATGGCAAGTAAAGTCGGGAACTATTTTCGATAATGTTTTAATTACCGATGATGTTGACGCCGCAACAAAAATTGCAAGTTCCGTAAAATCAACCCAAACAGGTGAGAAGAAAATGAAAGAAGCTATGGACGAAGAACAAAGAAAAAAAGATGAAGAAGAATCTAAGGCAAATGAGGATAAAGAAGACAAAGATGATGAAGACGACGACAATGAAGATAAAGATTTTAAGTCAGATAATGATCAATCAAGTGAACATGATGAATTATAATTCTTCTAACATGAAGACAATAAAGTGAATGATGAAGATGAAAGTACTGTTTAAAGTATATTTAATTTTCTATTTTAATAACTAGAAGTTTACTTAAAGGTCATTGCTTACAATAAATTACCTATATTGTAAAAAATTAAGACTTAATAAAAGACTTAAAACTATTATAAAAATCCAATGCCTTTTCAGCAGATAGATTCGTTTATTTGAATGTAATTTTTTTATATTAGTTACTTTATATTTGGATCTATTAACCAAATATAATGTATAATGATTTTTACTATTTTATTTACTATACACCTATTGATAAGGAATATTAATCTAAGGTGATCAATTTGGGTTTATAAGACATCATGGCACACCGGAGTAATATCGAATACTTATAATATAAGCTTTTAAAAGTGAGAAGTTTTGTTCGGCTGTTTTCCTGAATATTTAACAGGCTTTTGATAGAGATGCTTCTATGTCAAAAATCAAGGAACGTTATCAAATCTTGCTTACAAAAAAAACTGTGGCTCATCTTTTCTACATTAAACAGCAGATTTACTCGTTTTCACTTACAGATAGGTAGCTTGTATACTGTGTCAGCTTATTTTGCTGCGATCAACAATTCTGCAGAGGTATCGAAAACTATTTTTTATGAGGAACGTGTCAATTGATTTCTTACAGCCAAAGAATATATTATATCAAGAATATTTTAAGATCTTTTTTGAGCTGAATGCCTCTTTTGTATTCTTTCACCATTAACTTGCAAAATGCAACTGTTAAAGTAGCTATTTTTGTTTGTACTGTTGTATATAAATGTATGAAAATAGCAAGGAAAAATAAATTATATTCAAACTAGTAGATTAATTATATTTTATATTTGCGTCAATATTTACTTATTAATAATTTTTTTGAAAAGTTTAAATTTTAAATATGATGCAAGAGTATATAATAATAAGACACCGTCGATGTTTTACCGAATACAGAAAAAATGATTAAATCTAATTCCATAGTAATTATGTATCAATATAGACCCAAGTACTGTTGTAATTTCACAAAAACAAATATACAAAAAACTATATGTTTTCCGAGCACATCTGAATCACTAAATTTTTCACACGTATTTAAAATTCATTGGATATTTTTAAAATACATCAATATTACACATAATTAATTTTTTTGTGCGCTCATCGTAGTCGGATTTTGATAAGTTTTGTTCTTAAATATTCGCGATGTGTTGTTATATGAAGCAGATAAAAAAAAATTATTCGTCACGGTACTTGTTCAAATTTTACAAAATTAGTGGGCAAATTGTTAAATAAACGATTTTTACTTTGCGATAAGGTTTCCGTTCTTGTAAGCTGTTCTCTGATGGAAACGCAAACAAATGAAGTCTAAACAAGTTATGATCACAAGTTTGGCAATAAATAAACGTTTCGTTTATTGTTTAAATAAACATAATATAAAACATTTACACTAATTGTATTAAAATTAATAATTTATTAAAAACTATTTTCAGTATATTTTGTATATAAACTTACTAAATTATCAATATTTCTTAAATTGTTGTATTGAAAATTATTATATACACTTTTAAGCATTCTAATTCGTTTTACAGACTAAAGAATTAAAAATATACGATGCTTTGGAGATAGTTATATGCCCTTGCGATATTTTTCACCAACAGTAAATTCCGTCATACCTTTTCCAGATACACCACAAGTACCAATACCAACGCGACCAGACACATTTTCTGGCGAAGCAAAGATACTTTTTGTTTTCATTCCAGGTTTTTTATAATTCTTTGTTGTAAAGTTAAGCCACTTATTTTTATCAGATTCTCTTTCTTCCTCAAGTTCCTTGAAACGAAGCAACTTCTTTTGTTTACGTTTTTTTAGGTACTCTTTTTGATTTGGCCTATGGCGTCTGCTAAATACATAATACATCTTTTGTTTAATTTTCATTAATAATTTTACAAAAATACTTACTTAGTTGATGGAAACACCTCATTACGATTTGTACGTTCGCGCAAGTCCTTTAGATTAGAAGTGGATCTATTTTGATATGCATCAAACACAACACTTACTTCTCCTTCAGCAGTAATACCATCAATAGTAGCATCATAAAATTGTCCATCTTCTGTCCATTTTGCTTGACATTTATCTCCAATTTTCCATACTTTTGACGGCAAAACTAATTTTTCAGCCTCCAATAATGCTGCTTCAATTTCATCATAGTAATTGGAGGTGGATGTTTTCAAAGATGGCTCTACATAAGATGATTTGCTTTGTTCATCAAGTTGCGTTTGAATTAGATCTCTGGTTAACTCAATAACTACCTCCAAATCATTTTTGAGTTTAAGTAATTCTTCATTATGTGGATCTGTAACTAAAGCTGCTTCCACCTACAAAGCAGAAAATTATCTCATCTATAAATTTGCACATTTTTTAACAACGAACCTGTTGCAATTGCAATTTATAATTTTTTAAATCATCTGCCATAATATATATATGATATGAACCAAAGAAGATATTCTCTGATATGAACTATTTTAATGTACACACACTTAACTTTTTAGTTTAACTAATTAGAGTTACCAAACTTTTTGACACATATATTATTATTTAATGTAAGTTTACATACTACGACTTACATGACAGTGTGTTTGATGAATCAGAATTTTCAATTGTACAATAATACATTATCGTTTCAAGTTCTCATTTTGACAATTGTTACATTTTTAAATATATTAATGATTTATTGAATGGAAACGTCGTTATGGTAACCTATTTTGTTATTTATAAATATATATTAAAAAGTTGTTTTTTAAAATATTAAATAAACAACAAAAATGCATATTATTTATAGAATTTTGAAAAGTCTTTCGATTGATATATAAACACTTGATCTCTGATGCGTATTTTTCAAATCATACGAAAAAAAAAAATTAGCAAATGATTTTTTCAAAAATTTTTTTTTAGAAAAATTTAGAAATGGTACCAATTTGCATACAAATACTTCTAATACAGAATTAATTAAGGCACTAAAGAAAACAAAAGAAGAGTAGTACAATTATGTAAAATTAAAATTCAAAGTCAATCATCTAAATTCAGTAAATTTCAAGTTTTATACAAAATTTCAACTTCTATAGTATAGAAAATATGCTCAAGAAACAGAATAAATCATAATATCATATCAGTATAATATATCATTATTATATTATATATTATATTATATAATCATATCATATTATATATTATATAATATATCATTATATATCATTTTCAAATTATACCATTTCAATATTGCAACTCCAATATTAAATATTTATGAAAAACTTGAACTAGCAACATATTATTTTATAAATCTGTTATTTCGCCATTTTTGTACCAAAAACTTATCGATAACGCATTAAATTCAGCACTATATTCAGGAAAAGAAATTAAATGAATTCAACTTTCAGTCAAAGTTCGAAGTTTGTTGTGCCTATTTTTATATGACAAAATTGACATTGGTTGCTGGTTTTGCGCTCTAAGTCGATTTTTACTTGCAAAGTACGTAATGTAAACCCCGTATAAGGAAGTGATTTATTACAACTTTTACCATGTTTCCACTGCAGCTACATGAATTTATGATGATCAACTTAAAGCATTGACAGACGGGAGCTGAATTATCATTAAGGGGCTAAATTATAATTTATTTGCTCATTCAGCAGTTTTAAATGATCATTTATGGTCTTTAAATGACCGAATTTAACCCAATTTATTCGTCATTTAGGTTTTTAGAAATGGTAATGCTGCATATGCAAGTGAACCGAAATAAAAAATGGAACAATATTCAAGCTATTTGGTTGTCAAAATGTAAGTACTCGTTCTATTTTTACATATTTCATATTTTTTTTATATATTTTATATTTATTTAAAGCAAATTTCTTTAATTTTTCTTTCTTATCCATTTTGAATTTAAAATTCTCTTGCTTTTTCAATAACAAAAAACATAGAGCAACTTCTTAATTATAATTTATACCGTCTGTCAGGGTATTTTTAAAATGATTATTTAAGGCTGCTTAATGACAATTTAGTGCGCTCGTCTGTCAGTGCTATAAGACTTGGCACTTTTCATTGGCATAATATTATATTTACACTATCTTATTTAGGCACTTGTTTATTTATATTAATGAGGAAACGTTCACATTATAATGAGCTCATGTATGCAGCTGATAGAAATTTTAAAAACTTTACTTTATAATACACAAAGGAATTAAATGTATAATTGATATATTAAATCATTTATATACATTTTATGTATTAATTACATATTCAATTAATAACAACAAAGATTTTATTAAAGGGGGGATGGGATTAAACATACAAGGTAAAGTGCCTGATTGCATTTAAAATGGTAAATGCCAGCGCGATCCTTGTCACTGTTCTCTTTAAGTTGACACACAGCCTCCACGTGGCCCCTCTGGATAGCTACAATCATCCGTGTGTAGTGAACGAATTTGTGCAGAGAAATCCACCTCAGGGATATATGAGGTTATGCGTCGGGCTTGGAACCCACCATATAAAAACAACATTCAATGCAAACGAAGAGGCAGCCTCGGATAAGGAAATGATCTACTGATGACGACAAACGCAAACGTATTAAGGAACATGATTTAAAAATATGCACCTGAAATGTCCGAACTCTTTACAGAGAAGGTGCATCTATACAGCTGGTTAATGTCCTCAAGAAATATAAGGCTGACATTACCGCCCTCCAGGAAATGCGATGGACGTGACAAGGATGCTCTAAACGAGAACATTGTGATATCTACTACAGCTGCCATGCAACAAAGCACGAATTTGGAGTCGGATTTGCGGTAACCCGAAAGTTGAGAAATTTGATCTCAACATTTACGCCAATAAACGAAAGGCTCGCAAAAATACACATCAAGGTAAAATTTTTCTTTTCACTCTAATTTATGCGCATGCCCCGACAGAAGATAAAGATGGCGATATCAAGGAAATTTTCTATGAAGAGCTTGAACAAGCATATGAACGCTGACCCCATCATGCCATCAAAATCGTTGTAGGAGACTTCAACTCAAAGGTGGGTAAAGAAGGAATTTTTGATGCTACTGTCGAAAAGTTCAGCCTTCAGACGAAAGTTTCTGTTAATGAAAGAAGGCTGATTGATTTTGCCGCGGCTAGGAACATAGTAGTTATTAATACCAGATTCCAGCATCTTAACATACATAAGGCAACATGGCTGTCACCTGATCAAAATACAAGATCTCAAATTGATCATGTTGTGATAGACGGAAGGATGTTTCCAGTGTCTTGGATGTACGTACTATCCGAGGAGCCAACATCGACTCGGATAATTATCTTGTTGCAGCCAAGATTATGTGCGATGAAAAAGGTACGTGAACAAGCACAGCGAAAGCTAGACGTCGAAAAGTTGCAATCACAACAAACAGCTAATGACTTCGCTACTCGACTCTCTCAGTATCTGGAAAATTCATCTGAAGAAGCCGATATATGAGCGCAATGGAACCACATCTCCAACTCTATGCGTACCGCAGCAGAAGAGGTGGTCGGCTATAACAGTTGACAAAGAAACAGCTGGTACGACCAAAAGTGTCGCAACGCCACCGCAGAGAAAGACGCAGCATATCAAGCCACCATGCGTTCAGTTGCGACGCGAGCTGCTATAGAACGATATCAGCAAACGAGAAGGGAATAGAAACGTCTTTTCAGGTGAAAAAAGAAGGAAACAGAAAGAGCTTGAGAAACTGGGCGAAGAAGGTGATCACGAATTTTCAATCGTTGACGATGAAATAATCATCCCGCCTCCCGATCAGAATGAAGTTAACACAGCTATAACGCGGCATAAATACAACAAAGCTGCAGGTGCCGATGGTTTACCGGCTGAGCTGTTTAAAGCTGGCGACGAAGAGCTATCAAAATGCATGCTACAATTAATTCACAATATTTGGTCGGATGAATGCATGCTTAACAATTTGAATTTAAGTGTGCTTTGCCCAATCTACAAGAAAGATCCTGAAAACTGCGCCAACTACCGCGAGATCAGTCTTTTCAATATCGCATATAAGGTTCTGTCAAACGTACTGTAAGGCAATAACTCGAATTTTAGGTTTTGTTTAGTATACATAATGTTTATTTAATATAGTTGATGTTGTGTTTATGTGTGGTTTTGTGATGTGCGTGTGCGTGTGTGTCTGCGTTAAAAAGTTGATGTTGCTACGGCGGTACGATGTAGACGACTGACTGACTTGAGATTTGTTACTTGACATTTATTGAGCTGTCATCACAAATCTGCTCTGCACGCATGGTTGCATTTATTAATGGCTTTTCACGTACTATGTGAAAGATTGAAGCCAATCGTCAACCAACTGATTGAACGTTATTAGTGTGGCTTCAGACCTGGCAAATCCACCCTAGACCAGATATTCACAGTGCGTCAAATCCTGAAGAAGACTCAAGAAAAACAAATCGATACACACCACCTATTTGTCGACTTCAAAGCTGTTTTTGACACTACGACTAGAAGCACACTCTATGCCGCTATGTCTGAATTTGGTATCCCAGCAAAATTTTTATGGCTATGTAAAATGACTTTTAACAACACCACCGGCTCTGTTAGACTCGGGAAGAACCTCTTCGAGCCGTTTGATACTAAACGAAGTTTCAGACAGGATGACTTCTTATCTTGTTACTACTTTAACCTAATGTCGGAAACGATAATTCGAGCAGCAGATTTAAACCGCACTGGCACAATATTCTACAATAGTGTAATGCTGCTTGCATATTCCAACGATGTTGATATCATTGGCCAGAATACCCTCTCCATCAGTGTTTCATTTTCGAACTTAAAAAAACAAGTAAACAAATGGGTCTTGTTGTAAATGAGGACAAAACAAAGTACTTTCTGTTAACAAACAAATATCCTAAGCGTCTTGGGACCTACGTCACTGTTGACAATTATAAGTTCAAAGTTGTGTAAGACTTTGTTCATTTAAGAAACAGCTTAAACACCAAAAATGATGTCAGCTTAGAGATTCAACGAATCTTCGGGCTAAGTAAGCAATTGAGAAATAAAGCTCTATAAATCTCTCATCATGTCTGTCCTGCTGTATGGTGTAGAAGCTTGGAGAATTACCAACAGTGATGAGAAGGCTTTAAGAGCATTCGAGAGAAAAATTCTTCGGAAGATCTATGGTCCCTTGGCGACGAGTATCGAATTAGATGGAACGAGCTGTATGAGCTATACTGCGACATTGACATAGTTATGCGTATAAGAATTCAGCGGCTTCGCTGGCTTGGTCATGTCGTGCGAATGGAAAAAGTGCTCCGGCTGGAAAGGTGTTTGATTCAGTACCCGCAGGTGGAAAACGCGGTAGAGGACGTCCGCATCTTCGGTGGAAGGACCAGGTGACCAACGATTTTGCGCTCGGTACTACCAACTGGAGTCAGAAAGCAACTAATCGGGCTGATGGGCCCGATTAGTTTCCTAACATAATAAATAAATTAATTAATTAATAAATTCTGAATACTTATAGCTCCCATCACCTATTCAATTTTCCCAAGATTTGTAGGGACCATGCACAACAAACAATAACAGATCAATTTTGAATTGATGAGAATCAAATTGTTGCATAACCTCCACACGTTTGTAACCTGAGTACTCGTAATTAACTAAAAATGTGTGACCGCAGGATTTCATATTTTGATTTTTTTTCTGCCACTAGCAAATATTTGTTTAATTTTTTGTAACTATATTGAAGATTCCACTCGAGCACTACTGTTCATGTGGGTTCAAGCCGCTTCAACATCTATGCTATTTGAAACTTCTTCCAATTAAATGTTGAAGATTTTTATTATACTATGAGAAGTGATGATGGAAAAAATGGAAGCATTACTATGATTATTAAAAGCAACAATGATGTAGTGCGACCTATTAGATCTGTTGTTCTATCTCTAGAGAGTTTTCAGGATAATTTAATATCTCTTGATTTATATCGTATGTAGGTACTTAACTGGTTTCCTGTCAATCACACTGCTATCGTTAAGCGGTGTAAGCGACAGCTTAAATTTTTGGTTACGGCTCAAATGTGTTTTCTGTATTAGTTAAGCTATTCGAATTAATTCAAGCAATGCCAAATCGATATCTTAATATCTGTCTGTTTAACCGAATATGTTATAGCTCTATCCTTTCATATCACTTTTTAACAGCTGAAAAATTTCATAAATTTTCCACAATGCGTACTGTAACCGTGTCCATGTAATATCACTTTAATTTCAAGCTCTCATTTATCGGTGAGCTAAACATACCACAGAAAGCAGTCTCTCGTGAGTATGACACATTTTTCCAAACCTTCAAATGATAGGACTATTGTACAATGTAGAAATTTGTGAAATTTCTTTCTTAATCAATATTTTTCAATAACAACAAACATACGTTGCCAAGAAAACCATAGAAGGCAAGTAATTTGGCCGTTACAGTCTCCTTAAACTGAGAAACACATTTTGTGACTGTTTAACGGAAGTGACTAACTTACGGCAGAGAAAGTTAGTTTGATTCTTTTACTGGCAAAAAATTGATCGTGCAGTCCATGTGCTGCACCCTGGGCAACGCAAAATGATATTATTTACTCCCCGGACGGGGTCCCTCTTAAGGGCTCCAGTGTAATTTGGCAACAACCGCTTCGTCCTCGGGCTCCGACTTGATCAGTTCTCTGATTGATTGCCCTAGGCTAGTGGCTACAGGTTTCTGAACCTAGCTGTCTTCTGACAATGTAGCACTGGGCTAATACCCGCGTCTGAATGGTTTCACGGTATGTCTGTATCTGTCACCATCCTGTTAAAACCCTGACATATTTCAAAGTACGTTATGCATCCGTCACCATTAAGTCGGCGATTTAGGTTCGGTTGAAGCTTGGCTACCGATTAGCACCGGTCTGGCTGAGCACTTGTTCTCATAAGGACCTGTGCCAACCCTCATATGGCTTTCCTACATTTGCATAGATAACCATGGGATCTTGTCTTAGCCTTTTCTTATACTTACAGGTTTTAGATAGCAAGTACCCTTATAGAATTAATAGCGAAAAAAACATAAACAAAATACCCAACCCTTTATAGAGATGCTCAAGCCTTATTAGGCAAGCATCTAAAAATTGTCTAGACCCCATTCTAAGATGGACTAGAAAAGAATCGTTGGGCACCTCGGCATCTGTACCAGGTGGTAACGTCGCACTTTACCGTGACCTCTCACCTAGCTCTCGTGACGCTGGCTGGTACCAGAGCGCCTCCTCTCCAAAGTTTGGCTTCCTTCGGAGCTCACTTCGCCTAACGAAATCCTTCCCCAAGGCAAACAATAACGATCTTCCACCCACGACTGGAAAGTTGAGCGACCTCAGAGATGACTTCAGTCCTCATAGTTCTTAACGAAAAATCACTCCCTCCCTTTTAGCGGGCAATAGTGCCATCAACTTCAGGTCGGTCACCCTGAGGGTATACAAAAGTGACTCTCAAGTCGCTCGGCAGCAACCTTCAGGGGTTACTTTTCAGAATTGGCCTCTGAAGACAGAGTCGTGTTTTTATACACAAAACAATACAAAAACAAAAACTGAAAATACATTTTGTATGAAAACACAAAAACAACTACCTTAGATGGAAAATGTATTTTATATTATGTCTTAAAAAATAAAGGTTATTCTTGATTTTTATATTTTTAAGGCAAAAATAACAGTTATTTATGTGTTTTAAAATAAAAATCAGATCGAGTTATTTGTGCATAAAAAATAAAAAGCACATGATAATAATTATTTTTGCAAATATAATATAAAGCTAATTTAATTATTTTTTTTTGTGTTTTATTTTAAAATGTGAATGATAGCAATTATAAGGTATTTCCTGTTTTTTTTAATGATAACTGTTACGGCCTCTGCATAGCAATCCATTATGCTGTAAAATGCGTTCTTTGCAATCAAATCCTCGAAGAAACTATTTCAATCTTCTCGGATACCCAAGCTGCCATTAAATAGCTGACAGGCACTTTAGCCACATCAATCATAACAAAACTGCTGTGCTTCCTTTAATGATCTAGCTAGGCACGTTAAAACCCAACTCATTGAAGTTTATGGTCATAGGGATATTTTGGACAATTGCAGGGCGGATGAGCTTGCCAAAACAGGCTCTTCTCTTCTCCCCGATATTCACTTCTCAGTTAGTTGCGTTCCACTTGCAACAGTATATCTGGCAATTAAACAAAAATATCTAAGCATAGCCAAGTAACACTGGGCTGACGAACCCTGCTGTCTTTAGATTGACTTGATCTAATTTGGACAAAAATTGTACTAGACAGTTACTTCAACGAAGACGGAACCTTCTCAACACTACGGTATCGGTGCTGTTTAATAGGGAGGCACATTATGAGATTAAGTCATTTCTATTATGACCTTTGTAACGGTTGTAGCTCTAAAGACGAGGAAGAACCTGTGTTTCTTCTTATGCGTCAATGGCCATCTTTAGTTAGGAGAATATGAAAAAACTTGAGGTTATTTTTCTTACCGATCTATCTGACCTGTCATCTTGCAATATTAGAGACTTAGCTAGATTCATAGAATTGTCAAGTTGATTTACCTTCACCTAATGGAGGAGTCGTTGCTTTTTTCGGTGTTAGTTGTATTTATTGTAACGTTCGTGAAATAACATCGGGAATAAGTTGACATCGGGTACAGAATTCTAATTGGTGATGTTTATGTAGAACATGCCTTCCTGAAACTTAGTTGACATAATCACAAGATGCCTATACTAAGGATCTCTATGATACGAAACAAACTCAAACTACAGAACAACGCATGATTTACCTTCATGCGATGGTAATTCTTAGTTTTACGAACCAAACATGTCTAAACGGAGAAATTTGAATACAGATTTATTTTAATAAAAATATTTCCATATCCCTAAGCTTAACGTGAACTTAAGCTCCCACATCAATACAAGGTGTCTATACAATGAGAGTAGACTTTACCGCATCGTTCAGTGAATTAATATCTAGCACTGTGCGAATAGAAAGAAATACCATATACAATAAGTTGCTTGAGGGTTGGTTAGGGCAAGACCGCTGCAATGAATATGTGACTTCAAAGAAGGTATGTACAGAGGAATCAAGTTTAGAGAAGTTGCAGAAAAATCCGACGTACCTGGAATTGAGCTTTTTGCATGTCTCATTAACAAAAACACCAAAAACTGGTGGTTAGCGTTAGTTAAGTAATCCTTTTTGCAATAAAACTGTATATCTTCTTGATGTTTTCTGTCTCCTAAAGACCTGCTTTAGAATTTAGACCAGCCCAAATGTAATAACAGTAAAGTTTTCACGTGTAAAGAATGAAGTGGTACTCGAGAACCCCGAAATCTAAAACAGTTTTAATATCCATAAATTTGTTTAACATAGTTACCTCTTTAACTATATTAACTTTGTTTTTATACTTACTTAAATGCTGAACATAAAATTTGTGTCAATAGTACCAGGTTAATATTATTTTGACAAATAATTTAAACTACATAAATTTCATTTCCAATAATCAGTTATTATCTTTCAATATATGCCGGTATATTATTGAAATATTTTGTAATGAATAAAGATTAAAATTTTTTTTATTTCACCATTGAACCTTTTATTTACTTCGTTTGAACTAAGATTCATCAGCTGGAATTCCCAATTCTGCATTCGTCCATTGGGATGTGTCAGGATAAGGAAACTCTCCCTGTAAATAAAAATTTATTATTTTTAAAAATTGCTAGTAAAACATTAAGGTAAAATGAAATTATATTACTAAAGAAAAAAATTAATAACACTAAAAACTGTGTTATATATATTAATCTTCACTAATTTATTTATACTAATTTAATAAGTTTAAGTAATTTTATATGTTTTTCGCAGCCTTTCTAAGATAATAGTTAACGTATTTCATGCATTTATCAATTTAACCTTTCACTGCATTAGGTTCTAAATTTTTCAAAAACTGAGAATCTATCTCTCATTAAGGGTATAGAAATAACCAAGTATTTAGATAAATATATGCAATAACACGTACAGTTATATGTTCATGCTCGTGCCATAAATGCCAAAGTATCCACCACCACATAGCAGCACCAGCTACTTCAGCACCAATTATAGTAGACCTTCCCGGAGGGTCCGGAGCACGTCGGTAATAAGCTCTAAGAATAAACTATTAAAATTATACGAATTGCGTAATAACTTTACTTACGCATGACTTTTCCTAATACTATGTATATTTACATATCTGCTACTTGGTTTCAACAATGTCAAGATTTTGCGATAAAACATAATGTCTATCCGTTACAAACCGCTAGCTGAATCCAATTTAAAATAACATTCAATATTTTATAAATTTTTTAAAATAAATACATTAATCGCATCGTTGCTAAACGAAATGAGCAGTAACTGGAACACTAGGGGTGTTCATGACGAGTTACTTTTTCTCATCATATTGCTGTATTGGCCTTGAGTTAAATTGGTGATTGAAATTTGTTTTTCTACATTTTTCTCACATTTTAATAAAAAATATTAAATTAATTATAAAAATTTTTCTATTCCTTTTCTGCATAAATACGATCAAAATATATTTCTTTTCTAGTTATTAAGAATTCTAGCAGACATCAAAAAGCAACAAAATGAATTTTTAAAAAGTCACAAATTCACTCTTATTAAAACAAATTTTTATTTATATAGATTTATGAATACTCTTAAATATATGTAAGTAAAAATTATATATAACTTAATAATTATTAAATTATATGAATTTAATTAAAATAATAAGTTAATATGGAAAATCTTTTTTTTATCAGATTTTGTACATAAGTCTATTGTACATATATTTATATACTTTTCTCAGCTGTTAATAGATTTTATACATCTATTAATTATATAAAATTAAAGTCAATGTTGTTTCAATTGAAAATATATTCTGTGCGATCTCGTGTTGATATTGTTTTGCATTCAAATATGTTTTAAATTAAACATATTTTCAAATTGGGTATATTTTTTATGACATTTCGTTAGGAACTGTACAGACATATTTTAAAATTAAATAAGTTTTTAAACATTTATTTAATACTTAAACTAATATTAATTTTATTGCTTGCACTATTACCCCATGATGATCATTGTGTTTTTATAACTAAGCATTTAGACTTAATTAATCAGTTTAAAATGATTGTTTGAAGTAGAAAGAAGGGCAATCACGATTTGATTCAATATAAAATTTTATTTTCATGAATCGAATATTGTAATTAGTATCGAAAAAATTGTTGATGAGTTGGTGAGGATCTGTGATCGGATGAATGCATTCAAAATCCGGTATGTAACACACTGTTACACATGATTGATTGATACTAAATTACGGTTTTTTTAGAAAATATATTTTATTGCGGAATTAGTAAATTGTATTAGTGATAATAATAGTCAAAATAGTAGTCCAATATATTAATACACTAATACGGCGTTTACATTGGCCGAAAATGGCTCATTTTGGTCAAAAATCGAAAATGAGTATCGAATGGCTCATTCTTGCATATAAAATTTCAAGCACAAAAATGAGCAATTTTCTCACATTCTGTATGAATGACGTTCGAATGCATTCCACATACGTTCCAAATGCAAAGGAATCCATTGAACATACCCTAAATGAAAGCTCTTCATGGCATTTTGACAGTTTGAAAAGCTGTTTTTAACATATTTACAAAAAAAGGTAAACAAATTTTTGGTGGTTGCATTTTCTTGAAAATGATGCACTGCTTTTTAGAACTTTTACTTCCCAAAAAGTAATTAATCGAAGTTAAAAATATGTTTTAAGTTTCTAATGTAAGGTTTGAAGGCATATTTAACCTTCATGCAACATTTTTTTGGCACAGGCCAAAAATCAAATCAACATGCAAGTTGAAAAATCAGCTGTTGAAATGAGAACAAATGAAATAGAACGAATGTAAACACTATCAAATGGCTCATTCAAAATGAGCCATTTTCGGCCAATGTAAACGCCGTATAACTCTGTCAAAAATTTTTTACATTGTTTTAATTTATATGAGATTTATTAAAAAAAATTATGTAATATTACATAAGTAACATTTATGATTAATTGATGGTAATATATTAATTTTTTTAAAACAGGTACCATTGAATTATTTGCTGAAATTTTTCTTAAAGAAAGATACGAATTGATGCTTTATTGACAAATAAAGCATTCCAAGTTGACGAATTAAACAATTAAATTCAACGACGGTATTTAAAAAAAAATACATTCCTTTGTAAGTTTTTACAAATAATAAACTTTATTGAAGAAAAAATGATATTTTTTTTAATTATCTATTACAGGCGTGCATTGTCCTTAGCCGTGTCGAGTAGCCTCCGTGAGCCACCCTGATCAGTGGCTTGCTCTCACCAACTCGTTGGTCACCTGGTCCTTCCACCGAAGATTTTGACCTCCTCTATCACGTTTTCAATGTGTGGATACCGAATCAAACACTTTTCCAACACAGCACTTTCATCGATTCGCTCGACATGACCAAGCCAGCGATGCTGCTGAATTTTCTACGCATGACTATGTCAATATCGCTGTAAAGCTCATACAGCTTATCGTTTCATCTAATTCGATATTCGTTTCAAATACGTTAGGGATCATAGATCTTCCGAGGAATTTTTTTTCGAATGATGCTAATGCTTTCTTATCAGTTGGTCATTTTCCAAGCTTTTGCATTATACAGCAGAGCAGATATAATAAGAGACTTGTAGAGTATGATTTTTCTTTGTTGAGAAATCCTATTTGCTTTTCAATCACCTACTTTACCCGAAGTAACATCGGTTAGAGTAATTCTTCATTGAATCTCTAGGCTGTCATTTTTGATCTTTACGCTGGTTCCCAAATAAATAAAGTCTTTCAGAACTTCAAAGTTATGATTGTCAACAGAAACGTGGGTCGAAACACGCTCAGGATATTTGTTCACTTGTTTTTTTAAGTTCGAAAATGAAACACTGATGGAGAGGGTATTCTGGCCAATGATATCAACATCGTTGGAATATGCAAGCAGCATTACACTTTTGTAAAATATTGTGCTAGTGCGGTATAAATCTGCTGCTCGAATTATTATTTCCAACATTAGGTTAAAGTAGTAACAAGATAAGGAGTCATCCTGTCTGAAACCTCGTTTGGTATCAAACGGCTTGAAGAGGTTTTTTCCGAGTCTAACAGAACCGGTGGTGTTGTTAAAAGTCATTTTATACAGCCATATAAGTTTTGCTGGGATAATGACCGGACATAGCGGCATATAGAGTGCTTCTAGTCGTAGTGTTAAAAGCGACTTTGAATCAACAAATATATATGTGTGGCGATTTGCTTTTTTTGGATTTTCTCAAGGATTTGACTCATTGTCAATATCTGGTGTAGAGTTTGAAAGGTTTGCAAGATTTGAAAGATTTGATAAGGTCGAATCAGTTAGTTGACAAGAGATATTTACAAAACTGAACCCATGATATTTACGGCAGTTTGTAGGATCACATTTTTTGGATTGGGCAAAGCACAAAGCACACAAATTTCACAATTAGTTTTAAACAGCTCAGCTAGTACTGGAATCTAGTACTACTAACCACCATGTTTCCATCCACGGCGAAATTAATCAACTATCTTCCATTATCAAAAGTTTTTGTATGAAGGCTGCATTTTCCGAGCTATGGAAACCTTAGTTCTTATACTTTTTGTATTGAGGTTTTGTAAGCCAGACCCCATGGATTTACGTTAGCATTGTCAGGATTGTATGTGCCTAAAACATCGATTTAGTCTGTTCATTTGCTTTTTTAAGAAAATTGTTTTTGCAAGCAGTACTCTGCGTGTAGCTCATTAAAAGCTGTGCGGTTTCTAGCTCTTTGCGCCTTTACACAGACTCTGCGTATATCAACTATACGAAGACCACCAGCAAACAATTAAGCAGTTTGTCGTTTATCAGTGAATCTGCTTTTTGGCTTAGATATATCGCACGCACTTTCCATTTTTGAAGTAACTCATTTCACCATATCTTCCGCTGTTGTATTGGAAACATTAGCATCCTACCATACTTTAGAAAAAACTTCTTGCACTTCATAGTGTCTTAATGTGCTGCATACTTCCAGCATTATAGCTCTGTGATCACTGTATGTATAGATAGATTTGTCTATATGTGGCCTAAATTGTTGACCAAGCTTGAAAATCTTCTGTAATGAGAAGCTTCCCTCTAAACTCTAGCTAAGCTAGATCACCTTAATGGGAATAACAGTTCATTTGATAGAAACCCTCCAGTTTCGCCTATGAGTATTTTTTGTCAAGCGTTGGCATCGTATTAAAGAGAATTTTTCCACCAACTATACAGATCCCTGTTTGTTTTTTTGAATTTATCATCCAATTTTGCGACTAAATGTTAGTGTATGGTTCTAATAGTAGGACTATAACCACATTATTTTCGTTTACTGTTTTCCAGAGAATATCTTGTGCAGCTTTGCAATGGTTGACATTTTGCTGTAGTACTTTCACATCCTTTTTATACACACCGCTTGACATTTTACGCTACTAGCTGCATACGCTCTTTCGCATAACATGTACTTTTCAGTATTCTTACAGTTTACAGTCTGATGGCCTTTCTTACTGCACCGTCTGTAAAGATTTGTCCGATCCGGTGTTTTACAATGGGATTCTATGTTATCATACGCCCAACAGCAGAACTTTTTTGCCGATATAATGATTTTGATACGTTTGTTTTTTTGCGTTCGTTTTACCTTTAACTAGACATCGAGTAGTTCCTCATCTGTGTTCAGGTTTGTGATGAGGTCTCTGCATTAGAATATGATATATTGCAATAATACCAATATCCTAGTAACAGAGTTTAGCAAAAGAGTTTTGATTTATGTCGCACTTTGGAGCAGTAGAACACACCTATTGTTATGAGCAAATAAGCTTATTTGATTTTATCTGATCTTTCGCAAATGGTTTTCCATATTTGTGGAATAAATTATTTCTTTATATAATTTTTACATTCGCGAATTTATACACATTTGGCAAATACTATTAATGCCAAATAACTCAGTACGTCGAAAAGATATGTTGATTCTGGCTTTGTGTCAAAATGAAAACGACTGAAAATAAATATCGAAAGTTGCAAAAAATATCTAGAACAACTTAAATTATTTGCAAAATTGCCAAATTACTCAATATTCTATTACAAAATCATACTCACTACAGAGATGGTTCATATGTATCTTTCTTAACCAGTACCGGTGCTAAGGAATCACAATCACAGGAGTGCGCATAATTTTGTTAGTTAAGTATCGTACAAGCAAAAGTACTCATAAGTACTTATTATTACTCGAGTGTTATGAATCAGTGCATGTATAACAATGACCGAATGTATTGATTGCCGTATTGGATAATCTTGGCATTCGTAAAAATTTTGTGTGAATTGTGTTTAAACGCCAATATTTGCTGGGCATAAAATGTATATTTTTAATCGTTTTGTATTTTGGTATTAAGGTACTTGTTTGCGTTGTTGTTGTTAGCATTATAAATGCATGTATTTTTTTTACATTCTTGACTATAACATGTCCCTTGAGTTTGGGGTTTATTTTAGGTGAAAATTATATTTACTATTATCTCATTAATTTAGTATATTATATATCAAATAAAACATTTTTGTGTAATAATTATGCCCTTTAATGTTTTTTCATAATTAATTTAGGTTTTCGTTTGAAATTTCATCTTTTTTAAAGACGAAAAATAAAAACTTTTACAAAATTTCCATATCTAACAACATAATAAAAATAATATATTTATAAATGCATATATATTAATACAGTTGAAGCTCGTAAATTAGAATCACTTGATTTTTCGGGTAGTTCGAATTTGCGAAATGTTCTAATTTCTAAATTTGGAATAACTTCCTTTATTCGAATTTTTGGAAAATCCTTAAATACCATGACATGTGATATGGCGAATTGGAGAAAGCGAGTTAGTATCAACATTATATTCGTATGTAGAGTCGAAATCCATATCAACAGTGACTTTAGAAATGAGTTCCTGATTGATTCATCGTTTGTCCACTTGTGCGGCACGCAAGAAAAAAATTACTTGGTTGATTGTGATATTTTGTATGTCAAATAGGTGTGTAAACAGTTGATATGTAACGTGATCAAGGACTCCAGTTTAACTATCTTTAGCAAAGACATCAGTCTATATGATCCTCTCCAGCTAAAACGTAGAAGAGTACTTCAATTCAGCGTAGGTTAGATTAAGTTATAGCGGCGATCATAAAGATTCACTTAGTCTTATCAATTGTGTTACCGTATAAGAAGCTTTGAAGTTGGCTAAGATCCTCATAAAATGAAGCTTATAAAACAATTAATCGCTGCCCGCATGTCCTGAGCAATAACAAAGCAGATTTGAAGCACTTTCATTATCATCTTCACAATTGCGACAGGAATAATTGAAATGGAGATTAAATTTTGCAGTATGGTTTCTTAATCAGCTGTGAACTGTCAGCAAATTTACCACAAGACTGATAACTTAACCGGACAACTCAATAGGTTTTTGTTTTAATAAAATGCTGCCAACTTAAACAGAAATTTTTACGCACGCCCACCATTGAATTAAACTTCTGTCTAAGATTCATACCGTTTCAGCAGAAAAGGTCCAGATCACTGTTTTTCATGACGCACCTAATTTTAATAAACTTAATATATCGTTAATATATAGTAATATATATGCTTTAATTGATACATAAAATATTTTAATAATGCAAATATGTAATATAAATTGAGTTACATTTATTCTTTCTTCATATAAACTGAAATAAAAACTTAAGACTAGTTGTTTTCTATATAATTTATTTAAAATAGTCAAACATCTTTAGTTATAGTTAGCGTGGATGATTGGCTATTTTCAGCATTATTAGTTGTTTTATCAAGCTGGTTTTTGCTATTAGATTTATAAAAAGTATCTATATCTTCTTCAGACTTGTCAATTTCGTGAAGTGAGTCCATTAAATGCTGTCTTTTATTTTCTATTGCTGTTTCAATGGCTTTTTGACACTGTTCAACAAGTTTTTCAGTTTTTTTTGACATAACTCTGGGTCTATAATATATGTGAGGTTTACTTTTAGTTTTAATATTGTGCTTTGTTCGATTCATCGATGACTCCCAAGTTTGAAAATCTTTTAATCTATCGAATTTTTTTTCTAGTACTTTTATTTCCACAAGTTTACGTTTACGTTCCGTCAGTAAAAATTCCCGTTCTTTTTCCATTATTTCACGTTCCTGAAGTACTTGCGCTTCAATTTTTTTTTCAATTTGGTTTTTTTTTTCTTCCTTCTGCTTTAACCGAGTCTCTTCTTGACAAAATTTATGTAGGGTTCCAAGTAATGAACCAAACATGCGTCGATGACGGGCTCGAGTTTCAGAGTCAGTTCCTTGAGCTTCAACTACTTGTTGGCGGGTTGGTAATTCCCGAATTATACGAGAATTAAGACGTTGTTTATGTTCTTCACCAACTGAATTGGAGTTCGTAACAGTTAACCTATTAAATACTGATCTTGTATCAGAGCATTGCCTTTTAACAGTGGGCGAATATTCAACCATTTTTGATCCTAAAGCATCTCTGCTACTTCTTTTACTGTATGTTTGATTTTGTCTCTCATATCTGTAAAAAATAGATATATTAATATAAAATCAGAAAAGCTTAGTTAATCAATATATTTCTATATAAAATAAAAATTAATGTAGAGAATAGAAAAAAATTGCCTTACTGAATTTTATTCAAACCGCTTCTACCTTAAAATATTGGAGTGCCAAAAAACATGTTTATATTTATATTACAAAGCAAAAATAAACGGCAATATTTGCGTGTTATTTTGGAGGAAAGGAAAATAAAATATACTGGGATCCTTGTTCTGCCTAAGCTTAAAGACAGAATTTTTGTCAGAATTGACGCAAGTAAAAAGTTAATACTTTTCTATTTAATAAGTATTATAATCACTATTTCGTCCTATAATTTTTATAAATTTGAACAATATATATTTTTTTCTCTCCCGCTAGAGACACAATCATAAAATATACAGCCCAAGCCACGGCTAATATACTAACTTAATGCATACTTTCCCCAACTGGTTACATTCTTCGAAAATAATAATCTCCAATTATGACCCACAACACCAGCCTATTTTTTCAATATGTATGTAGCGTATGGTCTATCAACACAACATGATCTTTTAACTAGACAAGTTTTAGGGACGTAGCTGCCAACATTAAGTGACGAAGACTGATGATTGCATTCAGCTTCACAAAAATTCATAGAATCACAATAAAATACAGTTATGCATTTTAATTTTTATCATACATAAAACAAATTATAAAAATATTTCTGAACTAAACACAGAAATTGTGAATACGAGCGTTATATGAATAATATTATGCCGGTTTGAGTTCTAGAATTTAAAACAAAAATTTGTAGTATTCGTTTATCTTGGTATATGATTCTTGGTTTATCTTAGTGATCCAAATTCAAACACATTCTAGTTTACAACATTATCCATTTTTTCAAGTTTTGTTTGGTAAACATTAAAAAACTTATATAAAACAAATCTATTGTAATTATGAGATGTATAATGCCTTTTATATTTGAACTTAAATGACATTTTAAAAAACGAATTAGTAAGATATAATGTCTTTACCTGGAATCCTTATTACTGCCAATTAAATGATTGATATTTTCGTTCAAACCTACTAAACAACTTTTGGCTTTTTTTAAATCGCTTTTGATTGTTTTTAAAAAATCATTCCCCATATTAAAGAAAAACAATTGTATAAAAGTATTTGCTAATAACACCACCAAAACTGTAATTGATTAAATTTATGGCTGCATTTTAGATAAATAAACATGCAAACAAACCTGAATGACATTTCCATTATACACCGTTCACAAGATCATACGTAATATATGAAGATCATGGTATACAGACTGATGGTCATGTTATATTTAAAATTTTTGTTTACATTGTAAATTCAAATATTAAGAAAAATTTAAAATCATAATAATAATAAATAATAAATGTCAGAATTTGCGCCTATTATTAGTAATAAATGTAAGTATTTTTGTCTGATTATTTTTGTATATACTTACATAGTATACATAAAAATAATGTATTACACAACCGCATGAAATATATAATATATATTTTATAATATATATTTTTATTATTTCCTTACAAATTTAAATTACATAATTCGACATTAAAAGGACACTAAAAATGTTTCAATCTGCAAAAAGAAAACTATCTGACACATCGCATGACGTTTCGGTCTGAGAGCAATTTAAAACAGCAAAGATAATATCAATAAAAAAATAAAAAAAACTGATTTCAAAAGCAAACAGTGAGAACATGAAAGAAAAAATGAAGATTAAAATTGAAAAAGGTGAAACTTAAAAACGTAGGTTGGAAATTAAAAGTAAATTTAATAGTGTTTTCACTTTTCAAAACATGTAAACTGCACGACGAAAAAAACGATAAGAAAATCTTTTTTGAATTTTTAGTATTTACTGGTGTATTACATTAACGACAAACTTGATTCGACGATAATAAAATATTGTGCCTCAGACGTGCGTATTCAACTGTGAAAAATGTTTTTTGACAAATTTCTTAAAGTTATTTGTCGAAAATGAAACAAAATGACATAGAAGCTATGAATTATTAGTTAAGTAATTATGGAGTATTCAAAAAATGCTAAAAATACTGAGAAAGTTATATTATAATATCAAGTTCAGTTGTATGAGATCCAAACAACATTTGCAGCTGGTTTTCATCGGGCTTTGGGGTAGCAAGGGTTGCGTGTCCACTATTTAAACAACTGTCTTTCCGAATGCGTCTCAATAAATAGCACATATATGATCTTTAGGTTCAGTATACAATACAAATCAGCAAATAAAAGGGTGCGAAATTCTGGTATTGTTATTAAAGACACATTTGAGCGCGACCATGCGTCATGTTAGTGCTGTATTATGAATAAAGATATGAAAAAGATGAATGTTAGGTGATGAATGTATTTAGTATCGTTCATGCTGATCTTTAAATTTGTTGTATTTAACTTTTTTACACATGTACCCACTCTGCTCTTTTTTAAAACAGATTCTGGTTTCTAAAATTTTTACTTAACTTAAGACTTTGTCTTTTTTTCAGCATCTATCTCACATCATAGATGTTGAAATTAGGTTGTACGTAGGCTGCCGTTTAAGTGCTGCGCTTAGCCAACATTTTGATATTTGTGTTCGTAAGTCTGACATTTTCTAGCATTAATGTTTTGTTATTTAGATCGATGCTAAATTGTGTTTCTGCGAAAAAATGGAATTTAATAATGAATATTTTCGTGTGACGCGGATCAACTAGAAAAGAATTCATGGCTCAACTTAGTTCGACATTTGGTGATGAAATATTACATCAATACATTAGTGAAACCACACATTAAATTTTACATATACATTTAACTGCCAAATTGGTTTAAGAAATTTCTAAAAAAATATAGCCGAGATAGTTTTAAACACATAACATCGTGACAGGTGACAAATCATGGATCAATGCCTATGAGCCCGAAATAAAAGCGCAAACTACCGTTTGAGTCTTCCAAAGTGAACAAAATTCGTCAAAAAATGTCCACGGGTGAAGTAAATCCAAGCAAATGCTGGTATGTTTTCTCAGAAAAGCCGGTTATGTCGCAACTGCACCAATTGAATAACATAAAATGGGTAATTTTGAGTAGTAAACGACCATTTGTTTACCGAAAGTCTTCGGAGAATTGAGGAATCCCAACCGTCGAAAAAAGTTCATCTTCCATCACGATAATATGAGCTTCCACATAAATATTAAGAAAACAATGCGTGACAAGCGTTTTTTCACGACGAAACAGACCGTTGCAACATTTAAAACCCTGGTTTTGAAGATACCAACTTAAGTGGCAAAACTGTTTCTAAAATGGGTTTAATGGAATGCAAAAATGTATTGACCATCATGACGAATACTTCGAAAAAAATAAAACTGATCAACCAATTTTTTAAATATCTATTCCATATTTAATTTATAAAAACAAAAATTTTTGCATTTTAATATTTTTATTCACAAAATAATTTTTAAAATATAAAAACTTACTTAAAAAATGTTTTAGCACAAAATAATTTTAAAATATATAAACTTCTTAAATAATTGTTTGTAGCACTTTTTTTTAAATTTGCTTCTTTTAAAGAAAATAAATGTCTACAACTTTTTCAATTATTTTACAAGTCTGCAGATTTCGATATACACAAGAAGACATGTGTGCAGACTTAACAAATAATTAAAAAAAAATTTGGTATGCAAACTTGAATATAGACGGTGCGATTTTGAAGCACGCATACCTTGTCTGCAAACATGTGGCATCGTCTATATAATAACAATAAGCAGATCAAATAACATGGTTGCCAAGACTTAAAATTCGTCTATTGTGAACGATTTTGGAAGTATATACGAAATTTCCAGTGAACTGACAAGGAATGATTTCGTTAATTATTCGTATTTCGTATTGTCATTGTTCGCAACAAATACATTAATTTTTTCTATTTATTGTTTTACTGTTAAAAGGCATAAAAAATTATGTTTTATTCACAATCATGTAAATAAATATTCTCAGCAATGATGGCAAATTATTATTCATTTTCGATATTTCAACTTTAAATTTTATTACGTGTTTTGTACAAATCTCCATTTTGTTCAAAGTTGCCATCGAAAGTAATCCTTCTTTATTTATTTTTTTACGATATGCTTACAAAAGAAAAGACCTTACATATATATAATTTATCTATAATATATTCAATTAATAAAATCAAAGATTTTATAAAATCCTTACTTTCTCAGTACGTTTGTTTCAGCTCAACTCTTCTTTGTTTACATTTTACATATGACACATATATCAAATTTTGGTAAATTAATTTTGAAGAATTGCGTTCAACAATTTTCGCCTTAAATGTGTTGATTTATTTATAAAGAGCTCATGTATGTGAAAGCTAAGTGAGCAAAACTGCCTGAATGAGACCAGCGTACCAAGAAACATGGTATAAGGGATTTATTTCTTGTTTACATTTTTTATGGTGCAATAAATTTATTATGTAATAATAATAAATTTATTCCTTTATCCTGAATTACTACAGGATTTTTAGGAATCAGACATTTTTTCGATATTATAAATTTCTTTTATTTTAAAAACTTAGCCGGAAGAAATGTGCTCTTGTATAGGCCGAGACTATAAAAAATGACAATTTTTGTGTAAGCTGTTAGAGCTCAGTATCAATTCTGCATTTTATTAATGATTTTTAAAACTACTTACACAAAATATTTTACTATAATTAACAATGATATTTCTTGATTATTTTAATTGCGGCGGCACTAAAATAGTTTACCCACATCAATGCTTAGAAAATATTATGACACATTCAAGTGTGACATATCGACATGTGCAGAATAGTAGCACAGAAAAGAAAAGTGTTAAATAGCAATTGCATACTTGCTATGACCAAACATTCTACTGGCATCGTGGTGATTTTTTCGTGTGCGATCCCATTACATATTACATTAGTTACTTAAAAATTTTAAAAATAAAAAAAAATAAAATAAAATAAATTATTGTTTACATTTGTTTGAACCATGTTAAGCATGGCAACATAAATCTTCTAATCAAACTTAATAGAAAGTGTACAAAAATTCAAATACAATAGAAAAATCTACATATCGGCGAAAACTATAAAAAAATTGTTGGTGTGTGGCAAATATAATGGCAAATTAACCTTGTACAACCCGAATATAAACAGCTTTACAAGCATTGCTTGTGAATGTAAACACTGCATGAATTTTCATGGTGACGAATTATTTGATTTTAATGTCGTATGAAAAAATTTTGTTTTCCTGATTTGTTATTATAATACAATTTGAAAATGTCATACCAATCGGGGTCAATTCCAGATCAACAGTTTTTATGGAATGTTTTTCAAAGGTATATTTATATCGTTTTATCGTATACTCTATAACGTTGTCGATATTGTAGTGTTGACGTTGACCGTAGTGGTCACATCTCTGCTGACGAGTTGCAGTTAGCATTGTCTAATGGAACCTGGAGTCCTTTTAATCCTGAAACGGTCCGTTTGATGATAGGGATGTTTGATCGAGAAAATAAAGGAACTGTGTCTTTTCAAGATTTTGGGGCTTTATGGAAATATGTGACTGACTGGCAAAATTGCTTTCGTTCCTTTGACCGCGACAATTCTGGAAATATAGACAAGCACGAATTAAAAACTGCTTTGACATCATTCGGATACCGCCTATCTGATAATCTTATTGATATTCTCTTGCGCAAATTTGACCGATTTGGTAAAGGAACAATATTATTTGATGATTTTATTCAGTGTTGCATTGTACTTTATGTAAGTTTAAATATTTTTATAATGTGTATAATTTTTCAAACTTTCACATCTCCTTTTAGACTTTAACATCTGCATTCAGACAACATGACACAGATTTGGATGGGGTCATTACTATTCATTACGAACAGTTTTTAAGCATGGTTTTTTCTTTAAAAATATAATACTAAATTCTGCTATATTTATATAAGACATTCTATCAAATAATACATTGGATTAATTTTTTAAGTTCTATATTGTAATATATATTTGAGCCAATTTAAAATCATTTGAATTTGTACATAATTGTATTATTGCAGTTCAATTTTGAAATAAATATTTTTGTTTCTGGTGCATACAATCGTGTAAGTAAACAAACATGTATGTAAATAGATTATTGAAAATTGGATTTACAGTGTATATGAGCAATAAAACAAATTGTATGCAATAAGTAATTTAGATATCCATTTTATTTGTTACATTTACCAGCTGAATTCAATTTCAATACATTATACAAAAGGAATAAATATATGATAAATATACTATATTATAACACATACACTATATTAATATTAACCACAAATCTGTATATAAGAACAATGTTTTTTTATACTTTATATTATACAAATATTCTCATCCTTAAACTATCATTAGTGTTTCGCAAAATTTGAAATAAAAAGTAACGTTAATGTATTTAATTTTTATTTACAATTAGCATTAATGTTATGCAATGATATTATTCAGATTGATTATATTTGCCTATGGTATGTATCACTTACAGGACAATCCTGGCAAAGATAATTAAATGTCTCCCGAAATGTTTTTGAAACTTAGAACGAAAGGCAATTTGAAAAAGTTTTGCTATTCTCACACAAAAGTCTTTCATAAAAAGTCTCGTCATTCGTTATTCGTGATAAAAAAACTGTTTTGTGCTATTGCATTCATATGGGAAATCAATGACAGCTGTTAATCGCTAGTTTATCTAACTTAATTTTATTTATATAGAATTTGATGAAAAGCTGCAATTTATATGTTTAATTATTATTATATATACATAAATGATTTGTTTCTAAATTTAATTTCATTTCATGAAAAAAGGACAGCACCTATTGCTGCATTAAGCACATCAGTGGCAAAAACACTGTTTTAATATTACAGCTTAAAAATAACTTATTTTAGTTTTTATAAGTTTTATTTTATATAAAGAAGAATTAAGAATTTACATACGAAAAACACAAATTCTTAGTTGACAATCGAAAGATATACTTAATAGCTCATCTTTCACTTCGTATTTGAAAATAAACAGAAACAAACTTTTAAGATATTTGCTAGAATACAAAACATGTTTCTAAAGATTGAGTGAGCTAAAATATAGTCAATATAGTCAAGAATTGCCCTGTTAAACTGGTCTAGGGTAAGCACAAAAATCTGATTGCAACATGACGTGGGCAGAGCAGCTGTATTTAGAAGAAAACATATGAGAGCGGTTTGATAAGTCAGTGACTTTTTGAATAAAACAAATTTTTTTTCGGCAAATAAACATTTTATTTTTCTACATAATCACCTTTTAGCTCGATACATTTAGTCCAGCGTTTTTCTAATTTTCTTATTCCCTCCAAATAATAGGTTTTCTCTAAGCTCTCAAAATACGCGTTTGTTTCGGTAATGACTTCTACATTCGACTCAAATTTCTTAACGCCCAGCCATTTTTTTAGGTTTGGAAACCTAAAAAAATAATAATAATAATAATAATCGCAATAAATAACAAACATAATCAAAACCATTAAAAAATGATTTATCAAAATCATTCGATATGAAAGACTATTACAGTATTGCCTGGGGATAGAATTTCAATCAAACATATCGCAAATTAAAATGACCTAAGTAAAATATAATGAGAAAATCTTGTAGACCCTTGCATATCGATGCAAAGATTCCATTAAATTCAAGTGAACAAGTTTGCAAAGAATAGTCTCCCAAAACAGATGAAGGAAAGACAGGGATGAATGGTGTGCAATATCAAAACCTAACAGGTAGTTTGAGGTACCACTTGGTATCAATACGTACATATATTGCATATGCGATAAACGAGCTTATAGTACGTTTCCCCTGCTTACTTACTAAGTTTAACTTCCTATATATTATATACGTTTGTCAGATCTTTGACTAAATCGAATAACGGTTGAGTTGTTTTGATATGAGCTCCTGTCAACAGTAGGGTAGGCGTTCGTCGAAAGAATGCAGTCGAACACGTTCCCAATCAAACTGCCATCCAAATCGGTGCTGACTCCACTCCAGTTTCTGACATAATGCCTGCCATTTCAGATAGCCTTACAATTTTGCGGTATTCTCCTCATTCGAAATAAAAAACTAACCGCTTCTTCGCCATCGTTGAGCCACAACAAAGGCAGCAAATAAATACATCGACTTAGCTTTAGAGATATAGGTACGACCAACGGCATTTCCATGTGGAGAAACTTCTTCAGCTATCTCTTTGGCTGCGTAAGGATTTCTCATTGACTTTCGTGATTGCAGACTTCAGATGTCCTGTCGTATGTGCCAATTTCCTAACCTATTGGACATGAAAGGAAAACGACTGGTTGACAATAAAATAACGGTGATAGCTAAAGGTGACACTACCAACTTGCAAAAGATGGAGTTGCGCGGATGCAGCATAGGTACGAAGTACGCCAAGCTGTTGCATGAGTACCGTGATGGAGTTGCGCGGATGCAGCATAGGTACGAAGTACGCCAAGCTGTTGCATGAGTACCGTGATGGAGTTGCGCGGATGCAGCATAGGTACGAAGTACGCCGAGCTGTTGCATGAGTACCGTGATCTGGCAACAATGAGCGGGAATCAATGTAATATAACCACCATCTTACCCATGTTCGAGACGCGTAATTGGTAGCAAACTTGAAGAAGCGAAGAAAGACGTCCAGTTTTTAGTACAAGCGAGTATTTGTCAACCATACAAAAACTGTTGGACTAGGCCATTATATATGGTAAGTAAAAGCAATGGAAGTGCATCAATTATTAGCCTTCCACTCGAAAAAGTTGAGCCGAGGTCAAATGAAGTACAGTGTGTATGATTAAGAGCTGACAGCGATTTATCAAGCCGTCCAATATTTCCGATATTCGTCGCTCTCGCGTTTATTATATGCACTGACCATAAACCACTCGCATATGCGTTCTAGTACAACTTGAGTCTTGCTCATTTCCTAGACGAGCAAGACAACTTAAACTTGTGAGCCAGTATTAGTGGGCATCACAGCATAAGAAGTGACAGTAATATTCATCGATGTTTGGGTGGTGCATATTGACACGCCGGAAGCAGTCACAACACACCTATGACGTCAATTCAGGACCCCATATTTATGAAAATAACAAAACTATTAGGGATAAAGGATAGGCGCATAACTGCCTACCAACTTTACGAAAATGATAAAGCGGTTTCATACAACGCTGAAAACAGCTGTAATTTGTCACGATTCCAGCAACCGGCTCAAAATTCTTCTTTTAGTAATGGTGGGTCTCAGGATTGCGCCGAAAGTGTTTTGGGACAGTTACTTACAGACGTCAAAATCAAACCAGACTTCGTGAAATCACTGCACATAAACTTGGGCAACGTAGTCAGACCTGATTGTCTTGTAGTCTTTGATTCTAGAATGCGCTGCCCTTCGAACTTTATGACCTTGTATAAAACGCCTTCTTGTCAGACTTTGTCAAAGTCCTGAGTAACGTCTAAGAAAACACCTGGGCCCTATTGCACCAACACTTTTCACTTTGCTTTTTGACAGAAAAAGTTTTTTGAATTGAGCGGAGGAAATGCTAAACCTCGGGGGGTCAATAAATAGCAGTAAAAACAATTTTATTTATTCTGTAGGCATATAAATTGAAAGAAGCTTATATATATTTTTCTCAGTATTGCTCCACTTCCTAATGATCGATGGTATTTTTGAGTAATATACGAGTTCTTTCATGAACATTTCCGTTACTGATTGATTTTGTGTTATGCTTTACATTATATATTGCATCATATTCTGCATATATTCTATAAATTTGTCAATTCTATGGATGAAGGCTGTGAAAATTAATGACATGGTGACTGAAGGTGGAGATATAAAGGTTGGGTGAGAATTGAAAGGGAAGGGTTTTCAGAGCACTGGAATGGAATTGGTTTGCCTACAACAAAGAGTATTACATATATAGAGTGTGCACCAGGAATAAATTTATTGGTCAGACTGCGCGTCTAGTGGTAGATGTATTTTAACCAAAATTTTCAGAAAGGCATTAGTAAGCAAAATTGAACTAAAGAAAATATAAATGCATATATGATAATAATGAACATGATTTTAAATGTTGTATTAATTTTGATTATAAGTAACTGTTTCTAGAAACAAACAAGAATTTTTTGTTTTTGCATATTTGGGTAAGACGCTAATACAGTTAAAGTAGCAAACTTAAATTTTAGCAACAAATAACGGTTTATACATGCGTGTCAATAGCCGTAATTTTTTCTTTCAGAGTAGTAAAAAAATACTCGCAATTTACAAAAGAAAACATGTGAAGCAACAACAAAGTTCCTAAAATATTCAGTTAGGTTTTACTCGCAAAAATTTTTGTCTTAAGTTTTATACCAACAAAATTCAATAATCAGTTTATATTCACTTGAATAGTAATAAGTTGCAAAATTCCAGTCATCTCCGTTAAAATCATATGAGCATTTCATTTACAAATAAATTCAAATACATAAATGGTTGAAAAATAGTTTACACTCTTGACATACACATATAACAGTTTTGTTTCATTTTACATGAAAATTTTATTCATTCCTCAAGACTATTCACAATAACACAAGCTTGTACTGCACTGTACTACGGTCAACTGTCTAAGTTAAAATCAATTCTGTTTAAAGGTTTCAAAATTCCCATACAAATCTTCCTGATTTGAACTTTATTTGTTGTCGAAAACAATAATAATTTGAAATGACAAAATAACAAACAAAACTCTCATGTTAATACATTATAAATTTACGTCCTTTATAAGACTTTCTTTATGTTAACTCAACAAATCTTTAAATTTTGAATTACTATCAATTAATTATCGTAAAAGATTTTTGAATTGAAATTATTTATTTAATAATGTTGCACACCTACTCATTTTTGCTTTCTTTTTTGCAAACATACAAGTTTTTCGAAATTGATTAAAATTTGAAACAAAAACATATTTTTTTTCACAAGTGAAGGTAAATCATTTAAATATCATTTATTTATTTATTTCAGCATTTGTTTCTAGATATTTATTTTATTTATATTAAATTCCTTATCTATTGAAGTTTGTAAGTATTAGCTAAATTATAAAACACAGCAAATACGATCGGCAGTAATTATTTGTTTAATTAATAATATACATATTACTACTTAATTTATTTTGGTAAAAGCAATTTATTTGGTATAGTGAAATATGTAATTATTGAAATATGTAATGTATTCATGTATGGGAATATGCGTTCTGTTCTTATGAATTTTATAATGTAATACGAGCATGTACTTGAGAATTTGATAAGGAATTTACTACAAATGCAATAACTTAACAACATTCTAAACAACAACTTTCGGTTTATTGTAAAAACGTATTGTTTCGATAATTACACATATTTACAAAAAATCAAATATTGTGCTTCGTTTTCACTTTATCATTTTAAATGTCAAATGTTGTCAGTATAATATATACGGGTAGACATATGATGTCATATTCGCATCCTTGTCATGTAATGAAAACGCATTTGCCACACAAGTCAATTATAATTGTCATTTAAAATGACAAAGTGAAAACAAGGCGTGATAAACTTAATTAATTGAAAGTGAAGCAAGTAGATAAATTTAATTTTTAAACCCTGTATACATATTACTATTATAGAAAATAATTTAATACCTCCACATGATACTAAAATCATTAAATTCATAGGCTCCGACTCAAAAATTAATACGGATACATATAAACATTTTAGTAATATTTATTATATAAAGTATTATTGAATATTTTTCGTATATGAGTTATATAATATTCTCTGATTTTTGTTCTGTCAACCCAAGTGCCAAGCATGCTTATATTGCAAAACAGGCTATACAGTATAAAGTAATATCAGAATTTTTTGCTCTGACAACTCCAAGCATAGGAGTCACGCTTAATCAGTCCATCTCTTTCATGATATATATTTGTCTACCTGTAATATTGGCACGATTTTAAGATGTTAAATGTAAACTCAATTTTCTAGCAGACAGTCAAAGCAGAAAATAAATTAATTAGTTTAAAAGTGTGATTAATGTTAGATCAGTAAAAAAATATATTTTGAGGAAAAAAGTTCACATTGCTTTTAAAGCCGGGCGATTCCGTTTAAAATTTACGCTTTTCAACTGTTTTATTGTGTAAGTGTGTAAAAAGTACATTGAAAAGGGTCGTTGATTTCCATATAATAAGCACCAATATATATCTCGTTCTATTATTTGGTGTAAAAAAACACGATTTTACGTTTTTTTCATTTCTTTTTTCCGCATACTATAATATGGTTAAAGAAAAGGAAGTTAGTCTGGTTGGTTTTCTTTTTTGTCGTGGTTAAATGGTGCGGTCGAAAAGTAGGATAAAAGAATTTTTATATTTGTGTTAAATATAATCCAAGTTTTGAAGGTATCCCATTATGAAAAATAATGAAATAAGTTTTAAAATGAAACTTTTTGATTGTTGATTGTGTCATATAATCGTAAGGCATTGTAATTAAATATGTTTCAAAATTCTGCCGGTCTTTCCGAGCAAAGAAATTTAATTGTAATGCACGTTTAGATGCCGTAAATTATCTTCTACCATCGCGTAAAAATATGTTTGTGAAAAAATAAAATTTCTTTTAAAGCGAAATTAATTTTATCAAAAATTTAGTGTGTGTTAATTAACATATCGTATCAAACGGCAATTTTAATTTCAGTGCTGAAAATAATAGTCTTTCCAGTATTAGTAAACCAAAGATTTTGTAGATCAACACAATAATTTAATGGTTTTTCTTAAATTTTGAATGAGTAGATATGATCCTTAATTAATTAGAATTAGTACTGCGTGAGATATATGCTTCGATTGATTTTTTTATTTTATTAATTTTAGTTAATGCCACAATATTTGAAATTTTATAATTGTCGCATAATCATGTAAAATTTATGTCGATAATCATTATTTCTTAAATTTTTTTTATTGCACTTAATAACTCGTATCAAATTTATTTATTTTTCCATAATTTTTAATAATTTAATTTTAAATAACACTAAGTATAAAGAAAAAATTTTTTACAGGTCTATCATGACATTACCTAGTGCTGCTCGCGTCTATACTGACGTTAATGCACATAAACCGGACGAATATTGGGACTACGAAAATTATGTTGTTGATTGGGCTAATCAGGATGATTACCAACTGGTTCGCAAACTGGGACGTGGCAAATATTCGGAAGTGTTTGAAGCTATTAATATAACAACTACTGAAAAATGTGTCGTAAAAATTTTAAAGCCTGTTAAAAAGAAAAAAATCAAGCGTGAAATAAAAATACTGGAGAATTTACGTGGAGGAACTAATATTATTACATTATTAGCAGTTGTAAAAGATCCTGTTTCGCGTACTCCTGCCCTTATATTTGAGCATGTCAACAATACAGATTTCAAGCAGCTCTATCAAACGTTAACCGACTATGAAATTCGTTACTATCTGTTTGAGCTACTTAAGGCGCTTGACTACTGCCACAGTATGGGTATAATGCATCGCGACGTAAAGCCGCATAATGTTATGATTGATCATGAGAACAGGAAACTTCGTCTAATTGATTGGGGATTAGCAGAATTTTATCATCCGGGACAAGAATATAATGTACGTGTTGCTTCTCGTTATTTTAAAGGTCCAGAACTTTTGGTCGACTACCAAATGTACGACTATTCATTAGATATGTGGTCCTTAGGTTGTATGTTGGCGTCAATGATTTTTCGAAAAGAGCCTTTCTTCCATGGTCACGACAATTATGATCAGCTTGTACGAATTGCTAAAGTGCTGGGCACTGAAGAACTGTACGCTTATTTAGATAAGTACAACATTGATTTGGATCCACGGTTCCATGACATGTTACAGCGACATTCTCGCAAACGATGGGAGCGATTTGTACATTCAGATAACCAACATCTTGTTTCACCAGAAGCACTTGACTTTCTGGATAAACTATTGCGTTACGATCATGTCGAACGACTCACAGCGCGTGAGGCAATGGCCCATCCGTATTTTTTACCTATTGTAAATGGACAGATAAAATCTAATAATCAGCAATAAGAGTAGGCTTTTGAAAAATCAATTATTCAATTCACACCTGTGTTGAGAGAGTCACAACTGGAAGAGGTAATAGAGCTACAATGAAACAACAAAAGTGAATGTATTGAAATCCGATAAACAGTGCAGATACACGTATACAATATATATACTTATATATAGACTTATGTATATATACATAAATATATATATATATATATATATATATATGTCTATGTATGTATATATATATATGAATATATATAGATATATATATATACGAGATATATGCATATATATAATTACAAATACAACTAAATGCCTAACTATATATTATTAAATTGTTTTCTCATTGTATATTAAATTTTTTTATTTGCTTTACATCAAGATATTCAAAAAAAAACCTAAATAATAAACGCATTGAATTGGTTTTATTAGCATACTACAATCATATTAAATTGTTCAACGTTTATAAATTGTTTTATTAAACTAATAGCACAGTGTTTCGAGTATTAGTTTCAGAATTGAAATTAAGTTTCTTTCTTTTGTTTTTTCCATATGTTTGTACATCTATAATAATGCAACGATCAATTCATATTTGTTCCGCAAAAATACTGGGTTGAAGTAAATATATCAACTTGTTTTAAATTATAAATATTTGTTTGTCTGAAAAGGTACTTTTTAATACAATAGCATAAAAAGTATATTTTAAAATTATGATAATGCTGTTGCAATATTAGAAACAATCGAACAAAAGTGCGATATATACTTTATCAGGTAGAGATATCAATTAATTGAGTACATGTATGTAAAGTAGATGCGTGCGTTTATGTAATTTACAAATTTGGTTAGTCACCTTTGCAAATATGATATTTCGAACATATAACATCAGATTTGATAAAAAGAATCGAAAAACTATAGTATTACTATAGTAAACATTCAACATCATATAGGAAGCCGATGGATGATATAACAATCTATGTAAAACATACAGGCAAAGAATCAAATATCATAATAACAAGTTGTGACTCGGAATATAAGTTATGAAAATATTGTTACCTATTAAATCACTCATATTCATACATATAATATTTATAATGTATAGTATTTATTAATAGCTGCTTCTACAATATCAAAGTCCTTAAAAATTTAAATCATGTAATCAATTTTATAATGTAGATTTAATTTTATCAAGTGAAACTTAGAACTTAGAAATCATAAAATATATTTCCAATATATTTGAAAAGATAGTTTTAATTCTAAGAGGGTGAGGGTTTTTTGGTATTATCAAGATAAGCTCAAATTAATTTTTAAAGAAAAGATTTAAGGCACATTCGGTACAATACACAAACAAAAGAGATAAAACTTTCTTCAGCATTGTCTGCTCTGCGTTCTTTAACATAGATAAGTATCAATATTTTCATCTTCGTTTCCACGCAATCTCTCTTAATAAGTAAAACAAACTATCATAGCAGCCCTATGAACTATCTTTACTTAATGAATCATTCGGGATTAGTAGGTCTATACGATCGGATACAAGAATTAAAACACAAATTACTTCAATGAAATTCAAGATTATTCAATTATTTTTACTTAACAAATATGAATTGGAGATAAAATTAATATTTTAAATGTTACATATTGTAAGAATTGTGTAGTACAAATAAAAATCATCATTAGATGTCAATTATTGGAGATCAGTATCCATTTTTCTGCCCGAACTACTTTTTGGTAGATCACATGTTACGGACACGGGTGATCAGAGAAATTAAATATCAACACATGTACATATTTCAAGTACAGTCATTACTTAGAATTTATGAAAAAAGTCTATAACGAACAAGAAATCATACAACTGGTAGTGGGAGTCGATCTGCAGTTCTAAACGCTCGAATTGATTAACTGAAGTATTTCATGATACAGCATGTCCGATGTAATAATTTTACAGTTTGTGAAGTACAATTAATCGAGGAAGTGCTTTAATAAAAGTTTTTCAGGTATAAAAGTCAACTTTATCAATGGTATCTGTTGATGGCTAAATTTATAGTGTTAGAAAGCTTATATCTTTGTATATATATAGAGCAATATTATGGACTAATGAAAAAAAATAGCGTCTGGTTAATGTTCCAGAATATGATGGATAAACAGTAGCAAATATTACTGGAAAAGTTGTAGACTGGAAAAGTTAAGTTAATCTTTCTTTTTAACCAAGGAAAGATTATGACAATATGTGGCATTATTTTTCAACATTTTCTCATGTTTTTCAGATGTAGTTTCAGTGAAGTTAGTTGAACTCCAGATGTGTTTCATGTCTGCTTCGTCCTTAGTATCTTTCATGTGTTTGCATTATGTAATTGATTGTACGCAAGGATTATTGGTTAACCTGGGTTTCAAAGTTTGGAAAGCACTTTCTCAACGCAACTATTCTGCTGGACTAATCTCATAGTGGTCGTTGTCTTTAGGATTAATTAGTTTTCAAAATTTTTCGTTTTTTGTATTTTAGTGAAGTAATACGTTTTCGTAATACGTTGTAATACGTTTTCTGACCGTTGAAAGTTCAAGTAGCTCAGTCGATTGAATATTGAAATGGCAGATTTAACTTCAGGAAATTTATTATAATATCTTATAACATTAGTTAAGAAATGTAAGACTAAGTCTGAAATTATTTGCTCACTAACGTTTGTTAATGTCTTGTCGAAGACCATGGATTGGTTGACCATTAAAAGTTCAAGTAGCTCAGTCGATTGAATATTGAAATTTCCAGATTTAACTTATTTATTATCATATCTTATTATATTATATGTAAGACCAAGTCTGAAATAATTTGCTCACTAACGGTTGTTAGTGTCTTGTCGAAGAACATGGATTAGTTTTTCAGTAAAAAAGTTCTTTTAAAAGTTTTCATGTTATATTTAGCAGATTTAAATTACATACATAAACCATGTCTATTTAGTATAATATTTTGAATGGATGCAATTGGTCATTATATGACATATTACATGTGGCTTGTGCACTTTTTTCAAGTTTTATTCTGTTGCAATTGTCCAGATGTCCGTTATCGTTATGTATAGTTTTATATATTTGCACACATTCTGCAAATTTAGTCTAGCCTGGAGGCGCTAGATATGTAATTTATAATATAATATAAAAATTTTCTTAGCATACTTTCAGGGCTTGAAAGTACAGCTATTGTCTAACTGAAATGATCGTTATATTCCAGTGTAATTTATTTAAATTGGTATAATATTGAAATTTTTGGTTATTAGATCAACTGATATTTTTCTTGATTTGATGTCCAGGCCTCCGTCACTGTTATGTCTGTTACGTTAATATGTGCTAAAGAGTAAAATATTACTCTCACAAAGAACTCTCATACCATGGGTTATGAGAGATGCGCTTGTTTCTCATTGCGTAGTTGACAATTCTGAGATACTTTATGTTTGTATGTTTATGTTTGGTACTAATAAGCAATTTAATTGGAATATTTAAGGTGAAAACGAAGCTATTTTGCTACTCGTTGTCTATCAGGTATGCCACTGTTTTCCTTTTTCGCCATCTAGGTAGTGCCACCGCCTGGAGATACAAGATAAATAACTAAGCAAAATTGCACTTAGGAGAAAAATATTCAATATTCCATGTTTTGGTTCTTTTTTTTGTTGTTAATTCAAAAGTATATTGTTATATATTAATAATATTAATTAGAACAACACATATTGAAAATGCGTTTTTTTATTACATACTTCGTTTCAATATATAGTGCTCACAAACACTAAAATATTACTAAATATTACAATATATTAATTTTTATGGTTATATTTAGGAAAACTGATAATAAGATAGTAAAAACAAACCTTTTGATTTTACTAAACATTTTTCACAATTCATAGATTTTAGATATGAAAATATAAAACTATGAATTTGTTTATATATATGGTATTTTATTATTTTTAATAAGTCGAATTAACAATTTCTTTTATTGTAATTTATGTCTTTAACAGTGTTTAATTCCCAAAAACAGTATTTTCAGACAATAATATTATCAGATCTGATGATGAAAAATCATATATCCCATTAAAAATCATATCTTGTCAAATTCTCAGATTTTATATTATCTTTTTTTTTTTTAAGTAATAGGCTATTAAAGCACCCCGACCTAAAAGATCTATTGTGCGCCTAAAGGCCCAACTAGGACAATTTTAGACTGTTTATAAATCTTGTAATTGTTGTGGGCTTAATTTTACCTATTTGACTTGGGACTAATATCCCGCTTCCAAGGTAATTGAGTCTACGTCTTGCCACCGCTGGGCAGTTGCATAGAACATGTTCTGATGTTTCCTTCTCCTCATGACAGAGTCGACAGGAGTCACTTTCTACCACACCTATAATCTTCATGTGGTAATTAAGTCTACAGTGTCCTGTAAGAAGTTCAGTGTAGATTTTAATATCGTTTCTGCTAAGGCTAAGGATAGCATCAACTTTGATGTGATCAGGATCAATGAATCTTTTTGACTGTCGCATGCCTGTTTGGTCTCTCCAGTGCTCAAGTAGATGTCATTTCTCCCGTTCACATAATAAGCTATTTGTTACCCCGCAGAAGGGCTCTGGACCAATGAAAGGAGTACATACACCCTTCTTTGCTAGGGAGTCTGCTATTTCATTGCCCTCATGCCCTTCGTATCCCGGTACCCACATAAGAGTAACATAGTTCCTCGATGCTAGGGTGTTGAGAAGTTGAAAGCATTCCCAGACCAACTTTGATTGGAATAAGGATTTTGCTAAAGATTTTAGAGCTGCTTGACTGTCTGAAAGGATGCATATTTTGGTACCTCGGGTGCCCATTCGTATGCATTCTCTTGCACATAGCTCTAAGGCATGGACCGCTGCCTGAAAAATGGAAGCAGTTTTTCCCATAGCGATTGCTTTGTTATGTCTTGTTAATTAATGTAAGTGTGCAGCAACTGAAAATGTATAATCAAACCAGGGTTGCATTGCTGTTACTATTTTTTAGCAATTATTTTTGACTACGAAAATAAAGTAAGCAAAATGCAAATGCAACAACAAAACGTACACAATACAAATGTGTGTGCACGAAGCACGGTTAAAATTTTCAACCCTGAATAAAACTACCATATCCTTGCAGCAGCTGATCAGCTTACCTTTACGTGGATTTAAGTTAAGACAGATTAGTTATCCTAACTAATT